GTTCTGCAAATGTCGTAATTTTTTTAAAATTGGAGAGAAATTAAAGAATTGAAATAGGTGTCTACTCTCGTTACGTAACGCGCTACGGTGCCAATCTGTGTAGCATTCGTAACTAAATAGTTGAACTTAGATTACTTAAAGATATCTTTCGGGCGTCAGAGATACAGGTAGTTTTATTATAATTATAATAATTTATATAATTTATAATTGTAACATACAAATAAAAAAGAAAACCTTGTTATTGACTGAATAATTCAAACTACCTTAAGTCTGTATGGAGGTAGGCGATTATTAATTAGCAAAAATTAGGCAGAAAGGTACCGGATTTGTTTCGCGTCTTCATATCCGGCTCGAAGGACCATGTAAAAGTTTGATACAATACTAACACAACCGCGACTATTATGGTTGCGCGCCGATTATATCAAAAGTGCACTAAACATATAATAAACAAAATATATTAAAATGGTGGTTATTCGCGAACAAACGGCTTTTCCTACATAATGGTACTACTTTCGCCTTAGTCATGATGTCTGAATTGTGGACTATAGATATGAAGTGACGAAGAACTTTTCGAACTGACGGCTTTATTCTATAAAAGATTTATTAATATTAATTATTTTTGTGTAATTTTTTTCTCGAATTAACCAACGTTCTTATTATTGTTGAAAGAAGATAACAGACAAGCATCGGGGTAACCTGATGGTAGGTGAAATATCCCAGCCTTATAGCAACTACACAAAATGCGTTGTCAACCTATTTTGGCTTTAGACATTTGGAAATCCATAGACTAAAATCGAATCGCGATTAAGCTTTCGATTTTAGTCTATGGACAGCTTTTTCATCTGTGGACGGTGGTTCATGACCCGGATTATTTTGATTTTTCTACCGCCAATTTAGTATGCAGATTTCCAAAAGAAGTCTAACGTGTTTCAGAAGGATTAGCCATACTTCGATTCTTCCATTTCTTAATTTCAAGCCTGTGATATGTGTCGACGAGTAAAGGTACTTTTAAAATTTTCTTTTAATTACCTAGAGACAAAAACACGTAAAAATATGAATCTATGGTTTGTCTTACAAGTTCGGTCAATAAACCTTTTGACCATTCACCAATTCGGCTTCGTGAAGCTTTCATAGGCTAGGCGGAGGAGACTAGGATTATTGGGTCATTAATCACACCCCACAGACGTGACTGGACGCCACCTCCTCACTTACCCCGTAGTTGCGGTAACCCAGCTTATCGATATCGATAAAATAGAGACGGTCTTACCGCGCTTTTGCATACAAATCTCATCGACAATAAGTAATTATTGTTCTTCAACGACATCTGCAGAATTCGTATAAAAATAAGTTTATATAAATATTATTCTACTTACAAGGTATTTTTTGTTTGTAACAATTGTTTTAGTGATTAGTCTAAAAAGGAAAAAAATACGAATATATTATACAACAAACAAGATGTGTTGTCGACCTATTATGGCCTTATGCTTTTAAAACCATTAATACTTTAACTTGACATTTTAAAATCACGATTTATACATTGACAATAGTGTACGCGAGTAAATAAAACACTTTTAATGGTTGAAACACGAAATACTGAACTAATTTTTAATAAACTGCCCGAAGTTTTCCATGCTTTGCACTTCGTGATCCTCTCGTGACCGTAATAAAAACAGAAAATTAATTTGACTTTTATATTTATCGTTTTTAAAAGTTAAAATTTTATACAATTTGATACAAGGTAATTTTTATATTGTAAATATCGACTAAGTAAAACAACACTACGTTATCGACCGCTACATACATTTACACGAGTAACTTGTAACACAGGTATCTCTGCCGGGCTCGCTCTTAAGCAATCTAGTTTCAGTCACTTCGAAGTCTTTTCCCCTCACTGTTCCTGTATAATGAAACCAAAAAGTAGTTACAGTACAATTTATCTAAATACTTTACCTACACATTTAAAGTACATTTAATTTGCTTTTTTTTTTACTTTAGTATACTTTGTAGTTCCGTTAATTTATTATCGTTTGCTGATAGTAGTCACGTACTTCTTATAGCTTGAGGAGCACTAAAAACCGACGCATCGCCACTCTTAGGCGGATGAACAAGCAAGAACCCTTTTCGCAAGCCCACAGTGCAACAATTATTTCGTCAAAATTTTAAATTGTCTGTAAAATATATGTTGGGAAAAAAATATTGAGTTTGAAAACATAAAATAATTTAAATAAAACACTTTAACGGAAAATCAATCAATTAGCCATTAGAAATAAATATAAGCACTACAAACAAAACTGAACAGCTCGTTATAAGATGTTGTGGAAAAAATCGGAGGAGGCCTATCGTAAGGTAAGCGAATCCATTGATTTACAATTAATGCAAATTAAAGGTCTTAGCTAGTTAGATATAGTTAATGGTTTTTTGAAAATGTAGAATTTCAATTATTTTTAAAGGGAGACTAAAAATATTATGAATATCATTAAGATTTAAGATAAGTATTTTTTTCGTAAATAAAGGCATTTCATTTCACAATTAAAACTTCTGCAATACGTAGCTTTAAGCACGCCTAAGGCAAAGAAAAACAAAGCCAATGTAGTTTTTATGCCTGTTGAAAAACACGTTTGTTTACTTTCAATTCCTTTAGGGTTAGTGTTGAATGCTGATAAAAGTTCAAAGTTAAATCTCCATTTTGTTGGTTGGAAAGTGATTCGATGAATTTTAACGTATTCGGTAGAGACAATTAACTTACTTTACTTTAAATAAACTTACTTATATTATAAATGCGAAAGTAACTCTGTCTGCCTGTCCGGCTTTAACGCCAATACTACTGAACCGATTTAAATTAAACTTGGCACACAGATAATCTAGAGCCTGCGAAATGTCATAGGCTACCTTTTAATGCCAAAAAAGGATTGTTAGAGGTGGAAAAGGGGGATGAAAGTTTGAATGGAAATTTGTGATTTTTTTTAAGCTAGAAGAACAATGAAACTTTCTTGTTTGGCTTTTTGGGAAATGGAGAGAGTAGGAGTGATGTGATAAATGAACAGCCTAAATAATTAAAAATTCTACCCAAAGTCACAATTCCACGCGGACGAAGTCGCGGGCACAGCTAGTAAGTAGTCTATACTTCTTCTTAGACGGTTATAGGACGCCAGAAAATTATAGAATTAATAATGTACGGGTCGTCGCGTAGGCTCAATTCATACCCTTTATAAAACGTGTTGTGCATCCACAGATAAGAAGATCGTACAGTTTAATTGCATTTTGGCTACCGTCCCTGATTTCTAAGTCAAAATAGGTCGACATCTTGTTTAGATGTTATTTGGCTATGTCAGATTTTACGCATTATAGAATCGCTTTATGTATTGTCTATCAAAATCATTATAAAGCAATTCGTTTGCTTCATTATTATGTAATTAAAATCTTGGATTCGCGTCACGCTGGAATCTTAACCCCTAGCATTACCAACCCTCGAAGCTTCGGTCACTTCAAAGGACACCCTAAGCTTGACCAATAAAGTGTATTTTGACATGATCTGTGGTTTCCGAACAGGGTGAAAGCCGAGAAAAAAAGCACGTGTTCTATTTGGGATTACAAGCGCTCTACAAACAAAGGCATCGTTGTTCCAGTTTAATTTATTTCGGCATGATCTTAAAGCCATGTTATGGTATCTCTAAAATATGTGGTTCTTTTATCATATAAAGCATTACGACCAAATATTTGATTTCCATAAACACGATTCTTGTCAGTGAATATTAAAAGAAAAGCATGTACCTACTGTCGTGAACGTTTTTTAGATTACTTAAAAAATAATTTTAGTACATTTCTCACTATTTGTTCTTATTGGTTGCAGCCTGTTTTATAGACAGACTCCCTCGATAAATAGAGCATTCAACCAACACTACAAAACCAAGCAATAATTTACAAGTATAACCAGTAGTTCCAAACTCTTCAGGCGTATAATATTAGTGTATTCTTTTTAGCTCGGTGTAAATATTGCTTTTTTATTATAAAATTAAACAACACAATGACGAAAAGTGAAGCGATTTTTTAAAATTAAAACCTCTGATGTTTGATGTTTGGGTTTATACCATTATGTTATTTTTGAAACATCGTACCTAGTAAAAATAATTGGTAGATGTCACATTTGACACTGCATATATACTATTACTATGAGTATATACAACATAGATATGTGCCATCCTACTTTTAAATCTTATCCCATTAGTTAAGAAGCTTACCATATCTACAGGAAGTTACCCAACATCGTCTCAATATCCAAAATCGACAACTCATTAAGATCTTAAGCTTCTCCTGAATTCTAAAGCGCTTCGCAGCTACCCTTTTGTGAAGCGTTTAATCTGTTACTCATGTAGTGTCCATAGAGCGTTTGAACGTCAGTATTCACGAACCGAGGTCCTCGGTAAGGCTACGGTCTCCTACAAACGCCGTAGGCCATACTGCGTGGCGTCAACATTACTATTACACAATGTTAAATACTGTCTCTAGTTTACGGGAGTATTGCACATTAAAATAAAACACATTAACATATATATTAGTTAAACTTACTACAGTCTCCACGGCTGCTGCAAAGCAACTGAAACGTCGCCATAGGTAAAATAATTTTCAAATAAGTTTAACTAACTTATATCGCATTTTAAAACGTTAAAGAGTTTTATTTAAATTAGACAATGTTGGTCAGTCGCAAGTACATTTCACAATTTCACAAAAGATAACCGACAAGCATCTGGTTTACGTGGATGATAAAATGCCCAAGCCCTATAATGTCTAATTATGATAGCTTTTATACCTATTTTGGCGTTCTACATTAGGAACAAACTAAAACCGAAATACACATATTAACTTTTCACGGCTTTTCTATCTATGGTTGCAGAGTTTTCAGTTAACTAACGATTTTGTACCGTAAGCTTTCCACACATAGAGATAAGCGAATGAAAGAGACAATATTATTTTTACAACTTTTTATACGGGGCAATAGTGACATGGGGAGTGTGATAATCGTACGCCGACCAGAACAACTAAACACACCACCAGCAGATTATAGCAATCTACTAAATGAATCTTTGCAAGAGCAAGCGACGCTGTATGCGACTTATAGCGTGTATAGACGACCGGAGTCTGAGCCGAGCGGGCGCGGGAACTCAGCGTATGGACTGAACGGAGGAGCATGTGCGAACACAATAGCCGCATTCTCATGGACTCAGTCTCACTAAGCTGATTGCGTGACGTCATTACATTGAGGGTGCTGCACATTGATGCAATCGAAACTGTTTAACTTTTTATACACGCTCAATGCACTTTGAGCCCGCATTTTAAGTCGATTTTAGTTCGATTGTAGTAGTTCCCGACTATTTTAGTGTATAATATATATATTTTTCAAATAATATAAGATGCTTAAGTTTTCAAACTAAAAAGATAATAGCATATCATTGTTTATCGGGCTGTTCGGAAGACGTAAGCGAAAACTGGTTCTCGATTCCACCACGAGCGGTCGTTATCATTGGGGGATGTGTTAACTCAACACAATCAATTTCATAATTCCTCGAGCAATCGAAAAACAAAGAGATGCTGAAATAATAATACTTCAATAATTAAAATGTATTTGCTACCCAACACATTATTTTGCTACGAAACTCTTAGTATCTTCATTGAAAATATTGTTATATGAAGAGATTTATTAACTAAAATAAAATAACGAAATATCACCAAATAATAATAATGTAGTTAATTAGCACTAACAACAAACTATTTCAATTTTAATTTAGCTTTGATCACGTTGTGATGCCTGTTTTAGGTATAATAAAAAACTATGGACAATTAGTAAGCAATATTTCTTTGCATAGTATAGAGACAGTTTTTATTCTTTACAAGTTTGATGTTATAAATTAAAAGTGAATAATTTATAGCGGTACAACATGAACGCGGTCCTCGAAAGCCGAAACTTCACGCCAGCGGCCTCGGGTCTCTACCACCTCCTGGACTGTCACACGCGCACAAACCACACCCACTGAAATTATCACCACCGTCGCCATATACGTCACTACCACAGCCCTTCAATTTTCAGGTTGGTTATAGTTTAAGGTCGCCTGTATTTCATATTAATTGTATTGGTTTGACCAATAACGACATACATTTAATAAATAGATAAATAGACTTTACATATATACCTAACCTTATAAATAAATAAAATGTTTTAAAAACATTTATATGATTATAAAAAATGCTTTCAAAAGTTCGTCCCATGGTACACTTGTCTACCCTATAGGCCAGTTGTCTATTTACCTATTTAATTACATTACATAACAAACAGCTACGGTAATAATAAATTTAATATTATTATATTGTAGTAGGTATAGCTTACTACTATAGAAATGACTATAGCACAAATAACAGATAAATAATTGTTTTAAGTTTAAATTGAATTAGTATTCTACACCTAATTGAAACAGTATTCAATATTGCAGTTCAGTATAAGTAATATCAGCGAGTCTGCACCTCTCAGTACAGCCTCCTCAGCTGGTTCCAGCGGTGCTGGAGGCACTGGCGCTGTTAGCCCACTGCCGCTTATTGCCGAACCGTTTCTCGCACCTCCGCCGCCTGGCTTGCTTCATATGCTTATGTCTAGTGATAAATGTCAGGTAATTTTTAGTTTCAATGATAAATAAAAAATGATTTTTTTATACATCGCCACGGGTCTGTAAAGCGTCTGTAACGTCGGGCTGTAGTTAAAATAATTTTTTGATAAGTTTAACCAATACTTTTCTTGTGTTAAACCGTTTAAAGTGTTCTATAAAAAGATTAATGCTTTCATTAGATTAATACTTTTAAATTTCTTTATTCCATTTGATTTAACGCAGTGGAGTAGTTAAAACCTAGTAAAGCTGTATAATGTAAAAATAAGTAGGTATTGTATATATGTGCTTAATAACAACAAAGTTTCGTTTAAGTGTGAGTAGTCCTAGTCTTGAAGTCTTGTGACATATAATTGTTAGATAAATGCAGTCGAGGACACAAAAAACTAAATAAATACAACGAATACAACGACAAGAAGACAGCACAGTAATCAGTCCGGAAAGGAGAATTTACATTTTATATCTAAGTACAATTAGGTACTTCCTTATTTTATTCTTATGAGTATGAAATTTAATAGGAACTTATGTGGAGCGCGAAACAGTTGCAACTCCAAGGCGACCCGACTTTACTTCGGCCGCCGCAAAATGCCTTCGGCGCTCCCTTGGCGCCTACTTGGGAGCTTTTACAAGTTAGTAGGCATATTACTAAGTATTAAAAGTTTAAGTAGAGATTCCACTTCTTATCTTAGAGGACAGATAAACATGAAGTGCGGTTTATGTTTCAGAAAATTTTTGATTAATTATTAAAACATGTTAAACACCCACGACCCGTTGATTATTAAGCATACATTGCTATTATTAGACTAACAAGCCCGACAAAACTTCTCTACATCTTTTTTATTCTTTAGAGAATCATATGAAATATAAAGAATTGCTATTTCATAGAGAGATAAACACGTAGTATCTTGCATCATGCTGTTGACGGGGTCTTTGGTGTAATGGTAGCAATGTATGGCTCAAGGGGTCGACGGTTCGATCCCCACTGTGTCCAAGATGTTTCTAATCATTCGTCCGAAAATCCGGATAGGAATCTGGGTGTAGTAGGAATATGGAAATTTGCACGGCACGACATCCACAGATAAAAAAAGATTTCAAGTTTTATCGCGTTTCGTTTTTAGTCTGTGGATTTTCGAATGTCCAAAGCCAAAATGGCGTGACGCATCTAGATTAGATCCCTATGCTTGTCTGTTCTCCTCTACCATAAAAAAAATCAAGCAAATGTATTGCAAATCTGTAGCGTATGATTCGTGCTGGTAGCTGATTTTTATGGTTATTTTTTCTTAGTAAAATGTATAATTTGCGATGTAGGTATTCAACAGAGATTCGTCTCCTTTATCCTGTGGTGTGCCTTTCTGACTTAAAGGGCGGGTTCTGAGTCGCGATTGGGCGATACGGGGGTGACTTTTCGCCTACTTGACTTACCCCGCCCATCGGCCGCGACACAATTGACTTATGTACTCTCTATTATTTACTTCGAGGGGCTCCTCGCATGCATTTCCGAAAATCCAAAGCCAAAATAGGTGACGGCTTGTTTGAATTTTATATGGCGAGAGTCCTCAGCTAGTAATTATTTAATTTTATTCAAAAATATATCCTAATTTCATTTATAATACTTACTTATAACAATATACAATATATAAAGCTGAAGAGTTTGTTTATTTGTTTGAACGCGCTAATCTCAGGTTCGAATTGAAAAATTAGTTTTTGTGTTGGTTATAGCATTTATTGAACAAGGCTTTAGGCTATTAAAATTCACAATGCGACCCGAGAAATGCGAAAGAAGTCCCTGGCATAGCTAGTTAGGTAAATAAAAGCCGCGGCGTATATGTACATACTTAGGTACTAAATGTCATATTTCGTGTTGCCTTTTACATTACTGCTAAGATTGGATACTTTTCTTTATTTATAGGAAACAAGCGCCCGTTTACTATTCATGGCTGTGCGTTGGGTAAGGTGCTTAGCCCCATTCCAAGCGCTAGCCCCGTCAGATCAACTGGTGTTGCTTAGAGCAGCTTGGAAGGACCTGTTTCTATTACATTTAGCACAATGGTCTGCTCCTTGGGATTTAGCTCCACTTTTGTCTGCTCCAACCGCAAGAGCCAGGCTGCCACCGGAACCGCTCGCAGACTTGGAACTTAATACTTTACAGGTATTTTAAACAAATGATGATCTGTCTATATCGCACTGCGGCTGTTAAGTCCAAATTCAAATTTAGAAAAAAATGTTTTAAAAGTCGGAGGAGGTATTTAAGCTTTTATTAATAACTTATGTGTGCTGTTTTAGGAAATATTATGTCGGTTTCGACAAATAGCACCGGATGGTAGTGAGTGTGGATGTATGAAGGCCATTGTATTGTTTTCTCCTGGTAAGCATTTTACAAAGAACTAATTAAAACTACTACAATTTTATTATTTTCATAGTCCAGTAATATGACACACAATATTTGAAACAAAAAAAATAGATAGAAGAAATCAGACTTAATCTAATTCTCGTACGCTATTTAATTTTGTATGTTATGTACACTAAAACTATAACTACACATAACATTAAAAAAACTTAGTAAGTAGGCCTAGAGACTTTTATGTGGATTTCTTATTCCAATTTAGTTTAAAGAAATTCAAAATTACATTTAAACAAAACACTTTAACGGTTTAAAACGCGATATATAAAATGATCATTTTCAAATAAGTTTAACTATATTGACTTCTAGTACAGTAAGCAAAATTACTTTATTTGGATATTTAGTATGATTTTTATAATTGTAATACACCCCCGGTACCAGTTAACATAAACGTGGGCCGAAGTTAAAGATCATTTTCAAATAAGTTTAACTAATATATCGCGTTTTAAACCGTTAAAGTGTTTTATTTAAATGTGTACTACTCGCGTAAACTATAGACAGTATTTATATAGAATAAGATAAATAATATTTTATAACAGATACGCCCGGTCTCAGTGAAACACAACCGGTGGAAATGCTGCAAGATCAAGCGCAATGCATTCTCGCTGATTATGTACGGACGAGGTATACTCGACAACCGACGAGGTAAGATATCTACCATTCAAGAACTTAAGCTACTCAAGAAAATATAGAAATATAGGTATCTACTATCGACGCAATACGTCAATGACCTTTTGAAAGAAACAGACAGCTTTGTACGCTAATCTCTACAAGTTAGGAACGGGCAATCTACCATGAAAAAAAGAAAGAAAGAAAACAGTATTTTTTTACCATCATACAATTTTATATTAATTAAATGACTGTAATAAATTCATCTATAATTCGCTTAAGAAGATTACTCGTTGCGAGGCATGGTTCAGTGGGTTTTAGATGGCAAAAAGGGTTTTGCCTTCAGCAAATAGTGTACAAGGCTACACCGACCACTAAGACTGCAGTGTGACTTCCAAACGTGACAAATATCTGTATAATATTATAAAGCTGATGAATTTGTTTGTTTGATCGCGCTAAACTCAGGAACAACCGGTTCGAATTGAATACTTTTGCGTTGATTGGACCATTTATCGAGGAGGATTAAAGAGGGAAATGTGTAAAAATCATCTTTTAGGGGTTTTGTTGCGTGCGATGCGAAGAATGATTCCTCTTAAAATGATCTACAAAATGTCCGCGGCGGTATGTCTATCTTTTAAAATTAAGACGTCCTAGGTACTAGGTACAGCTTAAATGTATAGACTTGAACAGGAGGTTTGCAGATACAAATATTAATGCCCAAAATAACTATTCTAAGTGGACAAAGTTGCTGACACAGCTAGTAATATACCACTAGATAAAAAGAAATACTAATATTTCTCAGATTTGGACGACTATTGCTCTTGCTACCATCGCTTCGAGCAGTCCGACCACGGTCTATAGAGCTCCTTCTATTTCGTGAGACTGTCGGCGATGTGTCGGTAGCCACACTACTACATGACATGTACAGAATGCAGCCAGCTCCGACACCGGCTTTCGTGCCACAGATAACTGCATCCACAGACCACTCTTCGTCACCGTAATTTATTAAATCGCCAATAATTATCAAAAGTTATTCGTTAACGTTAACAGCGATAAGTTCTGTTCTGTAACTACGTCTTAGGCTTCCTAAAAGCAGCGCAATGTTTTTGTCAGTATATCTCTTGCTTTTCTTGTCGAATTGGACTACTTGAATTAATTCGAAATATTTATAACGTCGAAGTTGTACCTTTATGGTTTGTAAGGATACAACTATATTTCCCAAATGTTTCTAATGTAAAAAATAAATAGTCATGTTTATAATAATTACTTAATAAGACTCCTTGGCTACTTGCTAGTTTTAGAATAAAGTAACGATATACACTTTATGTTTCTAGTCACATTCGTAGATTTATTTTTAATAAAGTAAATAATGATTTCAAAGAAATAAACAATATACACACGAATGCCATTGCTCATATCATACGAATTTTATACTTAATAAGAAAATGTCACATTATAATTAAAAGTTTATTTATTTACTGGTCTGCCAGCGTTAAATATAAATTATTGGCAAACATATCATTGTAGTAAGTTGTAATTATTGTTGTTCATATTCAAAAGCTCATGTAACTAATAAGAATACGTTATTATTATGAATGTACCCCTGTGGTTTAATTGGTAAACGCATTGCCTAGCAATACGTTAATCGTAAGTAGTTTTGGATTCAATTTTCGGGGGAAAATTATAAATTGTTTCGTAAGACAGGGTGTACAAGTCAAACCAAATCAGTAAATGAAAAAAGGTGAGCGAAACAAACGAAATGTGACTTCCCAATGTAGGGAAAACTTATATTCCAATTATGTCATCTGAAGCTCTTTCTGTAAATGGTGCGTAATAATTGAGTCTTTTTACAATAATCTGAGCAAGTAACGCGTTTTCTGTATATAGTATTGTTACTTATTACTGTCGAAGGTATACTAAAATGGAATTAAATAGTGATGTATAGTCTGTAAATTACATTTCTAGTCATTCTAGTCACACTGTTTGAAGATTTAATTTATTGTATATATATATTTGCGACGTAGTTAGCACATTATAAATTAAATTCGTACTATAAACTGTATATTACTTTACTGAAAATAAACATTGACTTCATATAGTGGTTTATTATCATCTTAATAAATAATAATGGTTCTATGCTTGTATGTTTTAATATTAATCTATTCACATTAGGATTTCATAGATGGTTGTCTCTTTCTTACACTCCCCCCTCAATTTTACTTACTGATGATATCCCTATTTTTTTGATAATCGTCATTCCTTAATTTTTTTCATTCAAGTCTGATACCAAAATGCTGGCATAATAAAAACCAATATATCTAGAATCAATTCTGTATTAATCAATTAATTATTAACTGTATAAAAAACATAATCTAAGCCATAAATTAAAGACATGCTAAATATCAGCCAGCTACATTGATTTTTCCAATAGAATTAATTGCTTCAACAGAGGAAAGGTCAACCGAGTCATCTTCATCAAGATCCTCTTTTTCAGGCAAGGGTTGCTCGACGGCTGGGGCTGTTCTTGGGAAATCAAGTTTACTCCAAGCTCCTGGCTCAGCTTTCTTTAATTTAATCTCAACCTTGGTACCTAACATTGATGCACTGCTCTTGCCTATGTCTATTACCTAAAATCATATATTTTGTCAAAATAACTTTTTAAGATAAGACACAGATTACATTACATTAGCTAACGTACCCCTCTCAATTCTAGATCTATCTCAAATGAAGCATTTCCCTCTTCACAAAACAAGAGCTTGACATTGAGCCGAATTGGGTTCACATTTATGTAACTTGCTGATGGGTCATATTTCTTAGCATATACGCTTACTATTACATATTCCGGTGTTTGGTGCCAATCCCAACGACATTTCACAGTACCAGCTGGGGCAGTCTGGAATGGATATTGAAGTTATACATAGTCATCACATCTTTTAAAAGTGATATTAACTGTTATTTATTAATTATTGAATTAGTATAACACCTATTTATATAGTCTAGGTAATGTCTATAGATAATGTGTCTCATAGAAGCAAGAATACTGAATTTATTCTATAATTTTTTATAAAAACTAGTTAAGAAATCAATTTTGAACTGTAACTTCAAAATGTTAATCACTATACAAATAGGTTTTTATATGAGAAAGCCCCTTTATCCTAGATCCCATTGTTCATTCCCATCATCCAAAACTAAAGTGAGAAATTAAGATACCTCTTTAACCCATTTGTGTGTACCAGTTGTACAACCTGGTTGACTTAAGAAGGTGTTAAAATCAGTGGTCCGTTTTTGACAGCAAGACCAGAATTTTAGGCCCTCATGGAAAATTGGACAACCCGGGTGATATGTGCATATACCCTCACTGGATTGAGGTCCCTCATATGACACACTGCATCCACCATTCTTGCATGTTGTGCCTATAGGTATGGTCCTGAACAATATTTATATTACAATTATACAGAGAGATCTTGGTGATATTGAAATGAATTAGTTTTTTTGTTACACTGTTTTTACAGAACTTTGCAAAAAAATAAAAAATAAATACCCATCACTTTTCACAGCCGATTGGCTCAAACTCTTTTGCACACTCTGCTTTAAAGAATCAGCTATAATTGGTATTAAGGTAACCACTGGTGTTTCAAATGCAGGTCTTGGAAGTTGCGGCCCAACAATCGGTGCTCTTACTTCTATCACTGTCTTTTCCTCCAGTTCTTTGTCTATGACCTTTTTCTCTGGTTCTTGGGGTTTCTTTGGTAATTTAAAAACATTTATTGCTTTAAACAATTGTTACTAATTTAAGCGATTTCTGGTCAAGCTTCATGCCATACTAAAAATGTTAAATGATATAGGAATGTTGTTTTATGTCAAATATTAATTTAATTTTTATAACCTTAGTCCATCTCAAATCAGATAAAATTATAGTTAACCCTATAAAGTATGGAGAATTAGACAAATATATGAAAGCATTAATAAACTTACCACATTACTATGTTTCGAATGTGTACAGCCTTTAATATTTAGAAATTCAGTGAAATCAACACTTTTCTTATTACAGCAAGACCAACCTTTATATGCGTCGTGGAAAACAGGAGCACCCGGATGATGACAACACTCATCTGGAAAAGGGATTAATGTTTTGCTTTCATTCATAATCACATTATTTATTTAAGAAAAAGGGTGATTCTAGAAAAATCTAGTACCTTTATCGTTGTCATTTGGGTCGAAAAGTTGCCCACAACCCCTATTATAGCAATGTAAAAGGTTCTTATTTTCAGGCATTTTTTAAACCTTGTGTTTATAATGTACTTAAAAAATGGAAACTGATTTTTTGTAATGTACTGGTTATAAATAAATTTTAGAAACTCAAGCTAATAACTTAGCATGTACACCAATACACCATTCAAATGTCACAATAGTTTTTGACTAACTATTCAACTGTCAATAACTAGGTAAAGACAAGTATGTAGTAATATAATATATGTTGACAGTTGACACAGAGGTATAAAGAAATTCATTTTGCGATATTGTATAGGCGTTTTAGAATTAATATTAACCAAAATAGTTTTAATGTTTCACAAATTTGAAAATGGTGAACGACATATGACATAGTAGAAAAATTAACACGATCTATAATTCTCTGCGTATGGAATATACAAGGCAGACAAATATGTAATCACAAGAATCAAGACTATATGTACAATTAAATATTTTATTAGGTATAAGTAATGTAGTTGCTGTTAAATTAACATGATAAACAGTTTTAAGTGACTTAAAATATGTTGTGGTAACGTCGGCTCTAGTGAAGATGAATTTAATGCGCAAATTGCGAGGTTCCGCCGCATCAACATCGGCGGAGCCCGAAGCAGCGAGCTCCCACGTACAGCTGGGCTTAATGCACCTGAAAAAACTCTTCGCGGAGTATACTCATCCGGCACAACCGCTGACAGATGCAGAAAAAGATGACAAATTATACAATATGCTCCCACTATTCTGCAAGGTATCATTTGATTGATTTTTTTAATAAACCCTTTATGTGAGTCAGTTTACTTTAATATTTTTCTCAAAAAAAAATAGGTACGTATATGATTGAATCACACCAAATTTTTATCACAAAAAATCGTGAAACACAATTATAAACATTCTTATAGCATATTTCATACTGTATTTTAGCCTGCACTATTGTTTACCATCAGGCAGAACAGTCACAGTCAGTAGTATCTTGTTTCGATGGAAAAGTATGTGATACAATTTTTAAAATTACACATTAGGTAATATTTTCTATAGGTTTTTGGCTCCAGTCCTTCAACAGAAATGAATGAGAAGTTTTGGGATATATTGTCATTTTGTCAACAAGTTTCAAAGCTAATGGTATCAGAAATAAGAAAGAGAGCCAGCAATCAGAGCACCGAAGCAGCTAGCTGTGCTATAGCCAAGTTTCTTGAAATTGAAAACTCAGAAGAGTCTAGCAATGGATGGATGCTTTTATCAACTTTAAATCTTTTGGCTGCGGGAGATCAGTCATTAATACAGGTAATATTATTGTTGTGAATATAAAACATAGACCGATTTTATCATGTCGAACTTGGTCAAGTATATTAGTAAGATACATACATATATGGTTAGCTTCAATTAGCACTGTGATGATATGTAAATATTGTGAGTAAATAAATAAAGTTAAATGTGTTACCATGTTACAGGTGTGTAATAAGAAATCTGAGGAAAAAAACTACTTGTGATTGGCTAGCATTTATAGCTTAATGGTTTGACTTGGCCAGCATTATATTAAATGTTTGACAATGGCTTAATTTCTGGAAAAAGCTAAACAGAATTTGGTTACTTGTTGGGAAAACAGGATTTGATGTTATGTTGCGTAAAAGTAAATATTTCTTTTGATAGGTAATGACAACTGCGGCTATTCCCTCAACACTTGTCAAGTGTTTATACCTATTTTTTGATCTTCCTGAGATACCTGAATCTGAAGCAGATGTGCGTGATGACACAAGTGAATTTACTCCAAGGGAACGAAGGGTTCTTCTACAGAAGATATTTGTACAGGTATAATATAATTTTATATTTGTTTAATCTATGTTGAAGCTAAGAGTATTATCATGATTTTTCAAATATTCTTTTAACTTCAGTAATAGAGCTAATGTTTATATGTTTAGGTTTTGGTCAGACTATGTAGTCACCCTTTCCCCTGTGAAGAATTGGCAAGGAAAGATGACCTGAGCCTATTATTCTCAGCCATAACATCATGGTGTGCCCCGCATAATATGATGTGGAGGAAATCAGCTGCTGAAGTTTTGATGACATTATCTAGACATGGCTTAACACAATCAGTTGTTCAATATATACACAGTAAGTTTTAATCTATTTATGAGTCATGTGTAAAGGAACGATGTGTGGTTCTTAGAAATTGATACATCTTAAGCTTATTAATCAGAATTTTTTATTTTGTTATTTTTACAGATAAAGGATGTGTCGGCTTGTGTATTGAAAATATGCAAAAAATACCAGAACTTACACCCTTAGAGGTAAAAAATATTAATAAAACCTAGTTTGAACAAATTTTGACACGGTTTTTGTTTCATTTTGTTATTACATATTACCGGTCGTATAAACTAAAATACTGTCTGTAGTTTACTCGAGTAGTACACATTTAAATAAAACACTTTAACTTTTTAAATCGCGATAAACAACGACGATTCGGATGCCTTGCAGCAGCCGTGGTCACGGGGAGACTGTCGGGCCGAAGTAAAAAATAAAAATAAATTTTTAAATAAGTTTAACTAATATATGTCGCGTATTAAACCGTTAAGGTGTTTTATTTAAATCGTATAAACTTGTTTAAATTAGTTTTGAATATAGTATTCTTATAGGCAATTAAAAAAGCCTATTATTATATACAATGTCCTTTTCAGGTGGTTGAAATGTTTGTCGCTGTTTTTTGTTTTCTCAAAGATTCCAGTGATGTCAGTCAATTATTATTAGATGACTTTCGGTCTTGTCAAGGATACCTATTCTTATCAGAATTTCTTTTAAAGTACGTATTTGAATATAAAGACGTTGAAAATTATTTATTGCACTTTGTAAATATTAACGTACTTTTTATTTCAACGAAATATAGACATTTATTAGACAGTTACTAGATGTCAATGTAATGTGCATGTATTTTTATTTGTTACGCTTTGAATGATATTTTTTTGCTTAGAATTTAATTTTTTTCTGTTTTCAAGTGTTACATTTATTATTGTCACAGACATGAGAGGCAAGATGTACCTGATTATTTGACATCAGGGTAAGGTTTTATTATTTACTACACTAATATTCAGTTTTAATTTTCTTTTTGTAATCTTTAATTTAATCTGTTTTTGTATGTTATAGCCAGTGAAATATTAACTTTTGCTATTGGTTAAATTTTCTCACTTATTAGTTTTATATGAAACTGTTTTTTAACCTTAAATAGACGTCAAAATTAAAATATTTAAAATTTTCGCAAAATTGATAATCCAATATCTATACTGTATTTTAAAATGTTTAATACCTTGGTCCTAAACTCAGTCTACTGTCCGCTTATAGCCAGAAATAGTATCCATAATCCTTTCCTTTTCTTGCCTTTGTGTACCTATCTTTCTTACCTTCTCTAATATACGCAGCAATAGAATCCACTCTACGCTTATGACCAGAAATAGTATCCATAATCCTTTCCTTTTCTTGCCTTTGTGTAACTATCTTTCTTACCTTCTCTAATATACGCGGCAGTAGAATCCACTTTACGCTTATGGCCAGAAATAGTATCCATAATGTTATTCTTTTCTTGGTTTCTATATTTATCTTTCTTACCTTCTGGAATATACAGATTGGAGGAAGAACGCGTAAGTGGCACAGAGGCCCGAGCTGCTCTAAGAAACCTGGTTTTAATGATTTCGTCATTATGCGCTTGTGGTTTCTCGGAATTGCGTCCCACGAGGGCTAATACGGAACTGTTCCAGTTGCAAGGATTCGTTCTACCACAACCGTCAACTCCTGGCCAGGCAGTTAGGAATGTTCAGGCGTTTCAGGTATGTCTTCTAGGTATCATGAGACTTTAAATTTACTTAAATATGTTAATTCGCCAGATATCGAAAATAATAAAAATTCTTGTTGGATACATTTAGTAAGAGAACTGAACTAAAACTGATAGAAAATCGGGGAAAATGTGTTTTATAAATTATCCACTCTCCATTCGTTAAAATACCTAGTCACAAAAAAAATATCATTACAAAATTAAAACGAAGACTCAGTAGACAGTGTTTAAATATACACCTGTCGTTCTTTATGTATTAGTTTTAAAAATTAAGTTTATGTGATAGCCTATAACTATAATCTGTGGTTTGCGTTATTGTTTTCAGGTATTACAATCGGTCTTCTTAAAGTCAAACTCGCCAGCTCTATGCTGCACAATCCTCGACGCCATATCCAGCGTGTACCACGCGGACAATGCCAATTATTTTATACTAGAAAACCAAAATACCCTCAGTCAATTTTCCGAGAGGATCCATACGAAAAATGCGGAGATTCAAGAGAAATTCTTCGAGCTGTTGGAGTTCATCGTGTTTCAATTGAATTTTGTTCCGTGCAAAGAATTGATATCGTTATCCTTATTACTGAAAGCCAATAGGTCAAGGAGCTGTAGCATTCTATGTATGAAGACGCTTCTAAACATTTTAAAGTGAGTTGCACCGTCATACAGATACTCAATTTTTTTAATTATGTTCGTTTTACTTCTTTTAATATATTTTTTTTTCTAGGCATAACGCGATTTTCAAAGACGTATACCGAGAGGTCGGAATGCTAGAAGTGTTCGTAACATGCCTCACACGTTATGCTGTATACCTAAAAGATAAACAGATACTCGAAGAGGAAATGGAGAGAAGAGAATCGGATAGGAGTTCCAGCGATTCCCCCAAAGCTCCGGAGCGGAAGAAGCGGCAGTCGAGACAAGATTCTCTGATAAGAGACCCCAATGCTGATCTACAGGAGGAAGAACTGGGTGAATTAGTTATGGAGGGACTGACGGCGTTACTAAATGGAAACGTCAATAACTGTAACGTGTTTCGAGATTGTGGAGGCGCTAAGTGCGTACACGGTATGGTCGTTTATGAGTCGTGCAGGACGAAAGCTTTAGGTAAGTCTTGATCTATACTAATTATATTATAACGCTGAAAAGTTTGTTTGAAAGCGCTAATCTCAGGGATTACTGAAATTTAAAAATTGTTGTGCTCGTTGGTTTATATATCGAGGGCAGGCTTTGTGTCTTACGACCAATAGGAAAAGAAATAGTGGATGGATGACATGAGGAAAAATGGAGGAATTTACTCATCTTTAAGGGCTTCTATTGCCGTTTTTGTGGTAAACAATTTTCGTCGAAATACTTTATATGGTAAAAGAGCATTAGTCAGGTCATAAGAAATAATTCTGCCTTCCAAATGACTTTAGCGAGATGCCTATTAATTAAAATCAAATTCAAATAATCCAAAGTTATAAATGTTTAAAAATATTCAAAAAAATCAAAACAACACCATAAAAAAAACTATTTCCATTATTACTTGTTTATTGTCAAATTATTATTTATATTAATAAATTTTGAGTGTTTATTAGTTAGGGACTCAAAGGTAGCTCTCAGTATGTCAAAGTTCGTAATTATTTTCTCTTAGGTGTGATAAGAGAATTGATTGTCAGTGGCTCTGGAGAAGAAGACATGTCTATGCTGCTAAGTGGAATGCATGCGGCGTCCAATGATGCTTACAGATTAAAACTTCATATATTAAAAGCGTTGCTGGTTTGTCTAAGAGACTCACATCGTACCAGAACTATATTTAGAAAGGTAAAAATTAAAAAAAGCACCATTTTGAATGATAGCTCTTTTATGGTCTCTACCATAAAAGAGCTATCATTCAAAAATGCGTATGGTTCACTAGATGGTGGTTGAAATACCCCAGCAAGTTGGTAAATCAACAACACAATACGCTGTTTGCCATGGGTTTGAAACCAGCATGTGTTGTCGGTTTTTTTTTGGCTTATTTTACTTAATAATGCGATCATCAAAAGTTTTTTAATTATCCTTCTTTGAAATATATAATATAAAGATAAAGATTTTATTTTTTATACTAAACTACCCTATAATTTTCAGGTTAGCGGCTTTGTATACGTTACAAGTGTCCTGGTGTCTCTGGAAGGGAAACTGAAGGGAGATAAACTCATGGACCGTGATATGTTGCAACTCATACATATCGTCTTTTACACGATTAGTACGGCTATGCGATTTGAACCAGCTAACGCGAAGTTTTTTCATCATGAGGTAAATGCAACCAACGAAACACTACTTATATCTGTTATATCTTAGACAAACCTATAGAAACCTAAAGTAAACAAGTAGTATACGTCGTACGTATAGCTAACGGCAGATGTACACTTTTAAATAAAATGTTTTTAACAGTTTATAACGCGAAATATTTTAGTTTAACTTATATTTGCTCTATTTTAATACGACACGATGTTTTCTCCAGTGGTCAAGTGCACGAAATGTCGGATCGCAGTTAAATGTTGCGTTTTCAACCGTTAAAGGTGTTTTGTTAAGAGTATTTTTTTTCCATCTTCCGTCTGCAACTAAACGTATACTTTGTAAGCGTATACAGATTTTTATATAAAGATTCTTAAATTTGTAGTATTGTGGTTATGAAGTGTGTTTCCATAAGCGCGATAGCTTATGAAATGTGGTTGGGCAGAGAATCAAAAACATCACTTGTCTGTGAGAAAAATCTACTAGTGAAATGGGTACAGTAACTGCTGTATCCATTTTACATATCCCGTGAATATCATAACATTTTTTACTTTTATTTATTTAAATCTTAACTATAATAAACATTTCAGATTTGTATGACAACGCTGTACGAGACAATAAGACTGCTCGGCTGTTTCGTCAACGACACGGAACTGCAAAATGACGTAGAGCCTGGCGACCCGGAACTTTATGAAGTCTTTCATGACGTTTTCACGAGCAATATATTAGAATCTACGTAAGTTCATTCATGCATTTACTTATTAAGACATTTTATTACTCATTGAAATACAACATACAAATTGTAGTTTTTATAAAAAAATCGTGTGCCCTAAATAATCGTATACAATTTTAACAAAAAAGTAAAAACTATGACAGAAAAAAATACTGTTTTTTTATGACATTAGAGGATAGACAAGCGTGGAATTCACTTGATGGAAGATAAAATAATAATAAGCTAATTTAAAAATCGAAAATATGTAAATTGAAAAAAAAAACCAATCGAGCTACTGAGTCGAAAATTTTTAATTAATTTTCGATTTTTAAATTATATAGTGCCTTCATGTGCAATAACACGTAAAAAAATATTAAAGTTCTCAAATATTAATAAGCTGTCGACCCATTTTTGGCTTTGAATATTTGGTGAGCCACAGACTAAAACCGAAACGCGATTAAACCTCACGACTTTTTATCTGTGGACGGTGGTTTTTGACCTATACGAAATTTAGATATTCCCATCGCCCATCGAATGTCCAGGTTTCCAGAGGAAGTCTAACATGTTTCAAAAAAAGGTTTTTTGATAAGAAACATGTTGGACCTGGTTGGTGGCACGACCCGAAATTTTTAGTCACCATAATTGAAAATGCCAATTTTTCTCCTCACTGCACATTGGTTTCGTATTGCATGATCGTTGTAATTCAAACTTTTACAATATTTCCAGATTTCCAGACAAGGTGCCAGTTGTGTTCATCCACGCTTGCATAGTTTTGCGACTGTTGTATGACGTTGCATTAGATTCCTTTGATAAGCCGTCTTTTTTTGGATCACTCAATGTAAAATCTCCAAGCCTGACGCGACAAAGCTCGGCAATCAATGAGGTAATTCATAATAATTCAATTTCATACTTCACACATTTCATTACTACGTATTGATTTGATGGCCCTCTCGAAAGAGTAATACGGGATCTGTCTTACCATTAATAATAATAATTTATTTATCAGACCATGGATTAATTTCCTAAATCTAATGTAATCTAATTTTTGTTAGTTGGGGTTATTAACAATTTACATATATTATGTGTTACATATATTATATGTATGTGTTAGTCAGTAAAATAAATACATTACAAAAGGTGCTAAGGGGGAGTATAGACTTTGCTGTTTTACTGTCACCATAATCATTTATCTTTTAAAGCTTGATTGCTATTAAAAGTTCCACTAACAGAAAAATAAACTCAATCTATCCGAGATATTGCACTTGGTCATTCTTATTAAATGTGTATTTATCTTCTAGGCAAAACCGGCAGGTAGATCGGCGCCGCTTAATCTGTCGATAGGAGCGCCATCTAACGAGGCGTGGGTGATTCACTCTGGAGTCGTGATAGTGCTTGCGAAATTGTTACCCGCTTTGCCCCGCCCACATGAGCATGAAGACTATGCCCGTGCGCTGAGAGATTATCTCGCTCACGTGCTTAAGAGTCTTGTTAGAAGGTTGGTTTGATTTTGATCTATCAAACTCATAATATCAAAATAAACTTTACTTTGATTGTTGTATTTTGGGTATTTACGTTAAAAAAAAAACAGTTTAAACATGAAAGTTGTATGAATGTTAAAGTTTAAATTTGCATAGTAGTTCAAAATAAAGTATATAATATATTTTAGATTTAAATAGTTAAGTGTTTTCTTTAACAGTTTTCGATATAGTTAAAATTATCAAATATCTACTAGCTATTGAGAGATTTCCTAACTCTAATTGTTGAATTTTACGAAAAAGCTTTTCATCAAAAAAAATATTTATTCGTACGATGTACGGTGTGTTGATTTATTAGTATTATTAAATACATCCCACTTACTACTGTAACAATACTATTTAAGTTTATTCTAATTTAGCCAATTTTATTATAATAGTGAGCGCAATCAGCAAGTGATGTGCGGCGGTGGATTGGCCGGTGTGGTGTTGAGTGTGTGTACAGCCGCTTTGCGTGCCGAACGGCACCCGTTGCATGCGCCCGCTATGTACGTGCTTGAGAGATTGGCTGCGCATGCGTTGCGACCACGTGAGCTGAGGTAAAAAAAAATAGTTTAAAACGTTTAATTGCATTTAAAACATAATACAATCAATATTATATATATTTGTGTACCTGTTAATAGGGATTTTCTACGAATGGGAAACCCTCTAAACTGCTTGGCACCAGAACCAGGGCAGGTCTGCAAGCCTGGAGGACCTGTGCCACTTACAAGAATTAAAACTCTGGTGTCTATGACAACACCGAGAGATTACAGGTGAGTAAATACCAATACTTTAATAAAAATAACTTTCTGTTCTAGTCTCGTCTGTTTCAATAATATAAATTATTCTTTTTTTCAGATCACAAAATTCGTGCACTCTACCGCCATTCGTTGAATTCGACATGTCAGCGGAAGGTTTTGGCTGCCTTTACTTGCCAAGTATTGCGCCGCAGTCGGCGAATTTGAACGCGCTAGGATCCCAGGATACGTCCACTCTTGGAGGGATTGGATCAGGTGTTTATTATATTGCTTTTAATATATGTGACTAGGACAGAAATTATACGTACTATCCTAGTTAGTTCAAAAAATAGAGGAATAATTTTCTACCAATTCCATTTTGACGGCATTGTTTGCCAAAAAAGAAAGAAAAATATGTTTACATTACTTACATTTTTTAAAATTTAACAATGTAATAAATATAAGAGCTTAAATTAAAAAAAATATTTTAAAAGTAAATCAAGAATTTTTAATTGCGCTGTTGTTTTCATGGAACATATTTCAGTCATATTTTTTTATTTAATTTACATAATACGTTAAAATTTCATAATATAAAACTTCAGGTGATCGAGTCTTTCCACCGCAAACCGGTTTAACGTACTCAACGTGGATATGCGTAGAGAAGTATTCAGAAGCACGTACAGACCCGCACTGCGTACGACTTCTAACTCTAGTCCGCAATATTAATAACTCGAGGGACGATCATCTCGTTTGTCTTGCTCTTGTTTTATCTGCGAGGGACAAAGCGATCATCGTTTCGACGCAAGAAACTCTTGTTCCACATAGTGAGTATTACTAATAGAATCATTGGTAAAATTGTCTTTATTTTACCAATGATTCTATTCATTTAAACAAACTTAAAGAAATAATCCTATAGTAAGCGTTGAGTGAAAATTAGTTTCGTAATTGTGTGTGTGTTCGTCGTCGAAGGTTGTGAGTCAGAGAGGGTTAATAATATGAACGCCAAAAAGGGTAGGAGGAAAAAAAATTTGCCCGGGGGAAACCCCCCCCCCTAAAAAGAGGTGGTGTTTTTTTAAGGGGCCCATAAGCTAGTGGTAGGTTATTAATAACAAAGTGTATTTCTAAAGAAGTATATTTCTTAAAAGTTTTTTTTCTGATTGTTTTCTAATGTCTTCAAGTATTTTTTTTATGCTTTATTTATTTTAATGTGTATGTACAGATGCGTAAAGATAAAACTATTGTGCAGATGTTGGTGAATGGGAACCTGAAGGCACCGGCGAATGTGGTGCCCGAGTATGGTGTCCTGATCTTCAGCACGAGGGCCAGTGGCATCATTTGGCGCTAGTTCTTAATCGTGCCGTTCTGAAGAACTCTTCCTTCTCATTGTATCTCGATGGTAAGTGTGAATTACGTTTAGTAGTATAGTTTTTAGCATTTCTAAGATCTAACTAAATCTCGTTAAAAGTTATAAAGTCAGTATTTTTAGGTGTGTCAAATTTAGTTATTTCTACCAATATTATAAATATGTTGTTTCGAAGGCGCTAATCAGACGAACTACTGCTTCTAATTGAAAAATCAAGTAGCGCTGAAAAAACCGTTCCAGGGGGTATTTTAAGATGTGTATACAAATTTATATATATATGCTTTTATGTTATTTTCTTTATATGGCGAATCTGCCTGCTCCAGTAGTAATTAAAAATCCATTATAGATGGAAAAATTTCACTACACGGATTAACTTGAACCAGCATCTTCAGCGTTCCGGGCTTTTGCCCTTTTCCTTTTGGCTTCCCGTTTCCCCCCCCCCTTCTTTTTTTTTTTTCCCCTTTTTTTTTTTTTTTTTTTTTTCGCAATGTAATTATATTGTACAAATTATACCCTTCCATAGGTCAACACATGCACTCCGGCAAATTGCACTACGTGAGTGCGAATCCAGGTGGTGGAGCTGCTACCTTATCTGGAGCTTCCAGTGTCTATTGCGTCATTGGTACCCCGCCTCACTGGCGACGTTACTCACGACTGCTGTGGAGACAGGGACCCGCCATTTTGTTAGAAGACGTAAGTGTATCTCATAATTGGGAATTAAATATTTATATTACCATATTAGCTAAAGTGTTTTTCACACAGGAACAGACTCACAGAGACTCTTGAATACAAATAATAAAACGTCACTATAAAGTATACAAAATATTTTTAACAAAAAGAAAAAAGATTTTGAAGAGTAAACTACGATAATATTTTATTTTATTAGTAGGATAGTACAATATAAGTAGTTTGTATTTTGATGTAGTTAAATAGAAATTATACAACGAGATATTATTAAAATTTCTGAAATCGGTGAAATATCTACTTTTCAACCCGAACAATTATTTAAATCGGTTTTAAACGATGAAGATGGGTAAACATTAAAAGCAAACGTAAATACGAAACGAATTGACGCCCCCCATTTTTTGGTTAAAAAGACATCATTTTTACAGGTGTTAACAGCGCAAACAATATCGGTTATCCACCAACTGGGACCGCACTACGTAGGGACGTTACAAGCTCCAGTTGTGCCGGGCGCCAACCAAGAACCACTAGCACCGTTGGTGGCTGAAGAGAAAGTTATTTTCGGTATCAACGCACGTGCCATGTCACAGTTGACACTGGCCAAGATCCGCAAAGTATACAGCAAGAACGACAACAAAGCGATTGCCAAGCAGCTAGGCATGTCGTCTCACGAGAACGCAACGCCTATTAGGATCCTACACAATTCCGCCGGTCATTTGATGGGCCCGGCCAGGTGTTTGGGCGGGGTAGTCGTCGGTTATTTGGGTGTCAGGGTGTTCTGTCCCAAGCCTGCTGCTATTATGGTAAGCTGAATTTAATTGGCTGTAGTTTACGAAGAGCGCATTTAAATAGTACATAAGTAAAAACGCCAAATCAGTTAAACGTTTTTTAAATTATATTAACTATGACCCGCCGTGACTGTAGCTGCAAAGCATCTTAAATGTTGGGTCGTATTTAAAATTAAGTTTACGTACATATTTCGCGTTTTACATATTTAAACGTGTTTTATTAGAATTTTAAATTAAGAGACGTTTTTTACGTTACACCGTACGTACACCTTTTTAAGTTGTATTCATTCTAGTACTATTTACGACCAGCAGGTAACACTATTTATGCCTGGATGAGTGGGATCGAGGCACAAAACAGTACAACCGTGTTTTTCGGAGCATCTTTTTTAGAAGTTATCATATTTATCGTGCATTGTACCATAAATATTGCTTAGTCATATTCATATGTAATTGTCTTTTACGTGTGGATGCTTTGTAATCATGCCCACCTACAATTATATTAAACGATGTTGTTTCCGACATGTAATAATGAGATTATATATCTATTACTTATATAGTTATTGTATCATAGATGGCGCTGCAGTCTCTCTACATAATTCTTTTAAATTTTAGATTGACACCGTCGGCGGATGTTCCGTGTTGCTAGGCCTTATTGCGATGGCACAAGACGTAGAGTGTCTATACGCAGGTGTAAAGGCGTTAGTCTGCGTCGTGCGTTCCAACAAAGCAGCTCAAGCCGAAATGGACCGAAGGAAAGGATATCAAACACTGGCAATGTTGCTGAAGAAGAAAAAGCAACTTCTCAATTCACATATATTGCATCTCATCTTCGGCCTTGTCGGTACTGTGGATAGCCAAAAGGAAACATCTTCTATACCGAATCTGACTGCGTTTCAGGTGAGTAAAATAATGCTAATAATACACTTACCAGTTTAAGCGCGAAAAAAATTTAATTTTGAAAATTTTTTTACCCCATTTTTTGTGGAGGGGGGGAGGGCCCCCCCCCCAAATCTAATAAGTTTTAAACCGTTAAAGTGTTTTATTAAAATGTGTACGACTGGCGTAAACTGCAGACTATATTTAAAACAATGTAATTCAATTCAGATAACTCGTCTCAAAAAAATTTTAAACGGTTTAAAAGGCGAGTTTTATTAATAATTTTAATTACGGACCAACGTTTCGGATGCTTTGAAACAGCTACGGCCATGAAACGACAGAAGAGGGAAAGTGTCCCTATAGTTAAAGTCAAATCTGCTGGTTAAAAACGCGAACCAACTATGGCAGTTGGTTCGCGTTTTGAACCGATATATTATTTATGACATTTTATCTTTTTTATCTATGACCCGACGTTTTGAGATAACTTAAAGTAGCCCCCTACCGTTTCTTACTAATGTATTATAATTTGCATGTTTTTAGGACCTAATTTGCGATCTAGAAGTATGGCTCGGTGCACCCGGCGGTCTAATAAAGTCACTACTAGAGCATCTACTGGAATTAGCGACAGAAACCGCTCACAGGACGCACAACTTACGCACAATGAGGGAGTTACAGTTGGTACCGAAATTGCTCTATATCGTCAACGATGTAAAAGTCGGCAGCACAAAGAACGTTCTGATCAACCTACTTGCTGCTCTTCTGGGTGGCCAGCCGCGACCGACGGACCTGCTGTGCCTGGGCCAGTTCATGGCCTTCACCCTACCGCTACCATCACAAACGGAACAACATATCGTTATAATAGAGAACGATTTTGACAAAGAAATCGATGGCGAACATGTTATTCTAAGAAACAAATGCTTATGCGTGTTGCATGCATTGTTGTTCACGACGCGAAATTTGGTGAACACGATCGTTTGTGAGGAGATGTCTCGCGTCCTCGGAATGGATTGGCTGCTTAGTTTCATGCAAGAGAATGTTCACCACACGACGGTGTTGTGGGCGCTGAGGATCCTAGTCATTTTGTGTTCTGGTCAAGGGCAGCAATCTGGGATAATGCAAAGGTAATATAGTATTATATTTTAAAATAATTGTTTATGTAAAGATAAGTACATATACCATCGAATTGAGTAACTTCCTTTTTTAAAGTCGGTCTATAAAATATCTTAATATCGATGACGTTGCAAAGTTTATTATAATTATTTATTTATTTTTGATTTATTATATATAAGTTTCATTTCAGTTAATATTGATTATAGGAACTTAAAAAAAATATATGTTTTAACTTTAACTTGGTTTACAATTAGCACATTATGGCGTTTCAATAATTAATTAGAATGCTGTATTTGCCGGTTTATTTCCTACCCGTGTTGTAAAATTTTTTCCACCAAGAATCTATTTTTGAATTAAAATAATAATTTTTAATCATTTATTTTTCGGAAGTTCTCTCGTAGCCTGAAATGGATATGAATACATAATATATTCTTTTTGGTTATATTATTATTTTTTTCAGGTTTCGCGAAGGTGTAGGCAATGGTGGTTGGTTGCGACACACAGAACTGATAGCAGGTGGACAGCAAGCAGGCGTCATGTTAACTGCTGCTGTACATTCTCATTCGCATTTACACGCCCCCCCTACTTTATACCTCAGGGTTCACTCTGCTGGCCTGGTAAGTGTATAAGCTAATCACTACTTAAAATTGATTGTTACTATAAAATATTATTATTTTAAATATTTATTTTATTAGTACTATTAGTAAAACTAAGCATTATTATTATATTTAAGTAAAACACTATAACGGTTTAAAACGTTTTTTTTTCCCAAGAATATACGCGTTGCAATCGAAATTAAAGAAACACAAACATTTCAATAGTGAGGACGGCCTCAAGTTATCAAAAAGCCCCAGGTGTCCCACATTAAAACCTCTAGATTCGAACGCCAATACACCGTTAGTCAATTCTGTAAAGACCAGGCCAGTTTCGCTAAATACCAACTACGACGGAACAGATGGCGCTAGCGTAGCAATTTTTTACTTGGATATTAAAGACACCCTTGATCTTTAGTCTCTTCTTACGAAGAGATGTGGTTACCCACAACCACAAAGCATCCGAATCGTCGGGCCGTATTTAAAAATATTTTAAAATAAGTTAAAATTACCAGTTAAAATTATTTTTAAATTAATTTAACTATTATTTTCTGATTAAATTTAAAGTGTTTTATTTGTTACTCACGTTAACTGCACACAGTCTTTAATTATTATGATAATTAATTAAAATTCTAGGTTATCTCTCTTCCACCTACAAATTCCCGAGCTATACTACCTGCTGTTCGGCCTAACTCTTGGCCAGCCAATGCGGCAGATAGGCCCCGATAAGACGGTCTCAGTGGAACGGGTATGGGCTGCGGCATGGGGAGCCGCGGCACCACAGAGACAATCTTCCGCTGCACTTGCTGCTAGGATCACATTATGCCCTGAAGCTGTGGTCATACTCTTGGCTACTGTCAGGTCCTTGGTACATGCTGAGTCGGGTTCATTACCGGAATGGCTTGGCGATCATCCTGTAGCTATTATACAGGTAATACTCAACTGTTAAGGTAGAAATTAGATTGCGCAAGAAATGCGTATAAGAAAAAAAAACGACGATGATGTAGGATTGACATCAATTGGTTAGAGCAAACAGCATAGAACACCGGCATTGTTGATGGCGGGTCAAGTCCTGCCCGTGTACTTTTTTTTAAATGTTTTAGTTATTATACAGGTATACAAACATATGAGACACAAAAAGGGTGGGTAGGTTACGTAAATGTTACAACATACAATGTTACGTTGGTTGGAGATTATCTTCAATGTTTGTTTGGTGGTATTTTAATATTTTAAATAATATAAGATGATGAATATCGTCGCTATTCTATAGAATATTACGTATGTTTCAGGTGTTATTTTCATTGTACAACACATTACCGGATTTCGTAACTTTGATGATGACAGCTGAAGTACTCACCGCGCTATCATCAATTCTCTTTCCACCAAACTCGTCGGATGAGATTCATATGCGTAAGTATGAGTACGTGAAATTAAGTGAAATAAAGATTTTTTTATAAAAAACGGTTCAAGAAACTAGAAAATATATAAGAAGAAGAATGATACTTCTTTAAATGATCTCAAAAAAATGTCCGCGACAGTATATGTCAATCACTGAAGATTAACTTGCAAGAGGTACTTAGCTACAGCTATCATTTATAAAGCTGAGATATGATTATTTTACAAACGAGGTTTTTTGTCAAAATATTTTATGTGATAGCCAAAATAACTATTCCACACCAATAAAGTCACGGGCACGGGCTAGTGATAAAGATACTTGACAAATGAAATAAAATCATAAAATTATTGGTTTTCCTACCCACATCTCGTTTTTGTTCAATCTTTTTTTTATATTAATATGGATTTATTCTCATCACAGCTATATGTGAAAGCGGTGAAAGTTCGGGAGCATCTACTCCAGGATCGGAGAAGGAGGTTGTATTGGTTAGCAACGCGGCTGCGCTTACGCAGCACCCCGCTAGGCAGGCGGTAATGGACTTCCTCAAGGTCATTGTGCTGGATTCACTCCCACTTAACGTTACAGCTAAAGCCTCTCCAGTAAGTAAATGTCTTTAGTAAATAACATGCTTAAATAACAGATGTTGCCGTGTAGTTTATTTAGTGCGTAACCCCAAAAAGGTGGAAGAACGCATGCGCATACAAGAATACAATATCTACTAATTCTTGTGGAAATTGTGTAAGATTTTTGAGCAAGCAAGATTTCAAATGAAATATTTACATTACAACTTTTTAAGACTTCTTTAATTAAGAGGGCATTGATAATTGTTTATAGAGTCCCATACAAACTGACTCGGTGGCTCCGTCAATGTTTTGTTCGCCCTGCTCAGCGCCAAGATCATACTTTTATTGCGTAAATATGTGGTTATTTTAAACATATCCTAACATCTTCAATGAGCTTTCATCTCTTTCCAGACTACGCTTTAAATAGCACTATATAGCTTCATATCGCGCATCATATTGTTTTCATTTTGTTATTTATATTAACGAGCAAGGTAGGTAGTCTGAAAAGAGCCTTACTCCTTTGAATCTTCGCATGTTAATGGGTCTAACGGTTTAAGGCACTATAAGTAACTAATATAATGATTGGACGAAAACGCTTTTTGGTTTCCTGGCTTTAGCGAATAAATAAAGAACGGGTACTTAACCATTAGATTATTACTAACATTTTTTTTTCTATTTATATACATTTTATATATAAAATGTTTAATGAAATATAATTTAAGAGTATTTTAATTCTTATTTATCGCCATGTATTGGAAAAGGGTCTCAAAAGAAAAAACGTTTAAGCATTAAGGTACTAGTTCAAAATGTTTAAGCAAATTCATATTTTCTAGGTAATCGACCTAGTGCTGGACGCATCCCCAGCCAACTCGACAAGCGACCAGCAAGTAGAATATCAGACGGAGGTTTTGACCACCATAATGGAAAATCTTTTGAACACAGAACTCTTTGGATCTGAGTGTAATATTTCAAATGTTTGTTACCTGGCTGCGAGACTCGTTGATAAGTTGTGGCAAGGGCAGCTGTCTAGAGATCCACATGAAGTAAGTAATCGTATTAAAATACTAATATTATATATCATTTTTAAATAGATTATAATCTCAAAAATGTTAATTAGATACTGTCTATAGTTTACGCGAGTAGTACACATTTAAATAAAACACTTTAACGGTTTAAAACGCGATATATTAATTAAACATATTCGAAAATGATTTAAACCGTTAAAGTGTTTTATTTAAGTGTTAGTTAAATATAAAGTTCGACGTTTCGAGCCCTTTTCAGCAGAAGTACTTGCGATGAAATCAAAATTGCGAAAAAAATATTTAAATGAACCAAAGCCACTTATATTAATACAATTTTTATAAATCTCTTGATACTTTTTTTAACACTACAGCAAGGTTACTTGTATACTAAACTTAGATCCTAGGTAAAAAAAGGTCTCTTAATAGCTTTTACTATTTTATTTCCTTTACAGGTTTTCGATTTTCTGGTAAAGTTAGTGACGCAAGCTAAAAAGAAGTCCTTAGTTATATCCTTGGAAGGATTGCACCACTGTCTGAACCGAACGATACTGTTTTTACTATCCCGATGTACGGATTCAATCGCCGATCAGATGTCTGTACTAGAAGCTTTACATAAGCTAACTACCAACAGGTAAAAATGTTTTTCCTTACAAATGTCTTTAAGTCCTCAACTATACAAAGATTGACTGCACTCTTAAAATGGCCGCGAAATTTGAACCTATAAACTTAAAAAAATAATTTAAAGTATATTCTTACTTATATATGAGATACTCTTTTTGTCGCACTCTAATTCTATTAAAACCAAGATATTTCATATTTAGATAATTAGTACGTAAGTTTTTTTTATCTTTTTTAGTTTATATGGTATATATTATAAATAATAAAGCATTAATAAATATTTTCTAGATTACTAATATTCGGCGCGGGCAACCACGAATTGGAGTTTATTGGATGCCTTACATACTGTTTGCTGCAACTGAGTGCGAATATGAAAATCGCATTAGATTCGCATATGCGGACTACTTGGCATGTAAACCCTAGCGGAGATTTGGAATCTAGGGATGACAAATTAACTGCTCATCAAGGTAATTAATACTATTTGCTGACTGTTTTAAACATGAAGATTGTTTTAACCATGAGGAACTTAGTACTGAAATACTCCACCATTTATTTTATAACCTGCTTTTCTCCTGGGATGGAGTTTTGATATTTCCATCATCCTTTAATGTTCAGTTTTAGACCACGTCCAATATATTCAGACAAATGATAAATGTTATAATGTGGGCTCTGGTGGAGAATGGACCTTTTGATTATTAGCCCTACCATACCTTAAAACCAATGAACCTGTAATAGTATAATTACAATTATATTCTCGAGAAGATAAGTAATAAATTAGCATACTGTAATTAAAGTACGCATCAAATGTAATTCATATTTGCACCTTTTTTGTAATTTAAAAGGTTTTTGTAATGTTTAACCTTCTACCAGGTCGTAATTTAATGGCTGGGGCAGCTCGTCGCGTTTGGGAGGAGCTATATGCTTGCAAGAAGCCAGCTATTGAAGAGGTGTTCAAAGTAAGCCTTATTCCGCCGGCTCAGGGTGCTCGCGCGCCAGATTTGGGCACAGTGCGTGAGAACCTACATGACGCTGCGCATAAGCTTTGGATGAACTATATAGATACCGAGAGAAAGGTGTGTATATGTTTAAGTAACGTGTGGTACTTGCAAATCATGCCATATTATGTTATGTCAAAATGTACCCAATAATTTTATTTAAAATTCATCAGGTTTATTTAAATAAAACAGTTTAACGTTTAAAACCGAGTATAGTAAGTAACTTAAATACTGTCTAAAGTTTACGCGAGTAGGTATATATTTAATAAAACACTTTAAGGTTTAAAACCAATATTATTTGAAATATTTGAAAATTTTTACTTGCCACTTATGCTTTGCAGCAGCCGTGGTCACGGGGGAAAGGGGCTTTAAAACCCAAAAAAGGTTTTTTTAAAAAAAAAAAAAAAAAAAAAAAAATTTATATTTGGAGACTAAAGGTCAAACTAAAAACTGGTACTCTAACGCCATCTGTCCCGTCATAGTTGGTATTTGACTAAATAATCTGAAAAGTCAGGCTGTAGTTATGATAATTTCCAAATAAGTTTAACGAATATTTATCGCGTTTTAAACCGTTAAAATGTTTTATTTAAATGTGAATTACTCGTAATATAAAATACAGACAGTAGTCAATCAAGATTATTTAACTTCCGGTAGACCCGAAAAAGAGAATTCTGCCATTTGTGACTAGAGCCTTTATCGGTTATATTATAAATATCTTGATTAACGGGACAAATAATTGTTCAGACAATTATTCTTAAAGATTACTTCGGAAAGTTCTCTCAAGTGACATATCTTTTAAAGGCTGTATATCGCGTACCATGGGAACTACACAACCAAATACAATCGAAAATACAAAAAGTAACAGGAGGATTGACACGACTCGCTTCTCGAACGAAAGTGAAGCGAGACGACGCAGGGAAGCTCCGTCCTCGTCTTCCGAAACACCATGCATTGGCTTATATGCAGGATCATGTGCAGCTTGTTAGGTAAGACAGTTTTTAGAGAATGGAGAACAGAAAAAAAGATGGCTTTTTTTGTATTTAACAATGACAGCACATAGGCAATTCTATTGTTTATATACAGTAAAAAACATTTTTGTACGCTGCCTTTTACTAATCATAATATATCTGGAACCAATATCTTCTATTCTTTTGTAATGTTTACTTTTGGACACAAATGAACAGGCGTTTAGCCTGATGAGAATTTTGCAGAAGAACGTTAAAAATGTCACTTTTTAAAATTTTAATATTTTTCACATGTAATTGCTCAGGATGACACTACTATATGAATTAAAAACACTCAAGTTCTGCCCAGTAGTTGTAAATTTTTTTTCAATCTATAATCGATTATTAACGTCACTATTATCAATTTAAATAATAATTTTAATGAATTTTATGGTTTATGTTTCCCTGTTATCCATTTTCTTTATTATATTTGATTTAAAATCACGAGTTGATGTCTTCGCTATTTTTACAGACAATCTTGGCTAACGTGTGCTCAATGCGCAGCGAATACAAACGCTCATACGACGCGATATGTCCAAGCGGAGTGGACCGGGGTCTGGCGGGAATTGACCCGTGAGCGCGCGCTATGGGGTCCGCCACGACCCTCGCCGCTCGACAAGTGGGCATTGCATTGTACTGAAGGACCTTGTCGCATGCGCAAGCAGCTGCGACGCAACTATTCATTTTACGCACACTATCCATTTAGACCACACCTTGAGAAGGCTGAAAATGTAAGGACTACCTCCATTTATGAGTTTATTTGCCTTATTTTTTTATATGAGAATAATTAAATACTGTCTGTTCTGTTTAAAACGCGATATATATTAGTTAAATTTATTTAAAAATTATTTTAACTACGGCCCGACGTTTCCGATGCTTTGTAACAGCCATGGTCACAGCTCAGGGTCACGTATCTCCCCTCGACCACGGCTGAATCCGAAACGTCGGGCCGTAGTTTTAAACAGTTGAAGTGTTTTATTTAAATATAGGATTAACTGACAATCTTATTACATACATTTGGAGGCATGCTACGTTTCTTTTTAAATATGACATATAATTATTTACATGTATGTACAGAAGCATGTGTCCAATACATGCAATAAAGTGGAATCCTATTTCCTCTTGTAGAGTCTGAGCATTTCTGTGTCCGTTTTACTGATCGATTTTATCTAGACTATGATCAGAAAAATGAACCAAAGCTATCTACAGCTTTCCCTGAATTTGAACCCAGGAGCTCTCGTGCTTAGGAAATACTCTTGACTTCCGAAAGCGGGTGTTAAATAAAAAAAATGATTACCGTACGTTAAATATGAGATATTTTTAGAAACAACTAAAGTACAAAGTGGCTCAAAGTCGAGACAGCAAAGAGTACTACAGAGTTTACCAGCAATGGCGCACCGCAAGCAACGTGGGTGAAGCAGACAGCGTCGATGCTTCTGAAGTGCAGACTTTTGATGATGAAATTACCAGGTAGATGCCAGTTTGAATACTTAAACATTTTCACGTGTTATTGCACATGATGGCGTTATATAGAGAAAAATCTATTGAGATTACATTGTGCGGTACAGTGTGCATGTATCAATGAGTTGAAGAAAATCGACGATGACATGTAGCGCACGGTAGTTCAATTGTTTCGAGTAAGAGCAAGAAACACTGTGAATGGCGAGTCAAGTCGTGGCCGTATCGTTTTTTTCCATCTTAATCAATTTTTAATTTAGATACTAGTTTAATACTGTCTATAGTTTATGCGAGTTTTACACATTTGAAGAAAACACTTTACCGGTTTAAAACGACGTTTTGGATGCTTTGCAGCAGCCGTGGCCACGGGGAAACGTCGGGCCGAAGTTAAAAATCATTTTCAAATGAGTTTAACTAATATATTGCGTTTTAAACCGTTTAAGTGTTTTATTTAAATAAAATACTAGTTTGTTTAAAGGTTTAAAGTACGTTATATAAACTCTACTTCATCACTTATTTAGTACGAATATTATAGTGTAACTCAATCAAACAGACTCTGTTTTACATTATTGCAGTAACAGAGAAGCATCTGTGGAAGTGGTAAATGAAGAAGGCAGCCCATCGGACCTAGTCAGTAGCGGGGTCGTTAGTAGAGGAAATAACCAATCTCTAGAAGGTTAATTTTAAATACTATTATTTATAACTATATAGTATATAAATAAATATAAATATTATTATTCTCATAGTTTCAAATCGATTTTTAAATCTAGCTAATGAAGATGGCCCGGATAATGAGGACGAAGATGAACAACCACCTCCACCCGACAATCAGACGCTGTTACGACTACTTGAGCATCACGAAAAGGTATTTCAAATTTCATTCAAAATTCAAATGCTTTGATAATTCTAAGAGACTTTGGAACGTTTGAATTATAAATAAAGATTTTAAATGACGGAGGAATAGCTTCAAACAATAACAGAAGAAGTACAAGTGTCTATAAGCTTGTGCGCGCCTCGTTACGACAAATTTGGTAATTTGTAAATGGAACTAGTTGTTTTTTATTGTATGCAACGTGGTCTTTAAAAATATTTAATTTTCAGATAACTCATATGTTTCGTTGTGCACGGATACAAGGTCTTGACACTACAGAAGGCCTCCTGTTATTTGGAAGGGAGCATTGTTATGTGATAGATGGATTTACTCTGTTAAAGAACAGAGAGATTCGAGATCTTGATAGCTGTCCGGACGACTACGAACCAATACTGCCCAGTCAAGGCATTCAGAGGAGCAACCAGAGACAGTGCTCCAAGTTTTTATATGAAGATATCAGGTACGCTTTTTATGTTTCCTATACAAACCGGACGCTTCATGATTTTCAGTAATAAAGTATTATGCCAATCGCGAAAGGAGGGGACTGATTTTTTATTTAGCTTAATTGGTTAGACGGTGCTCTTGCGTACCTCTGTACGCAAAATGTGGGTGCCAGCTTAACAGCTTAAATTTCGTCATATAAAAGACCTATCAAGATAGGTCTTTAATATGACGAAATTTAGACTGTAAGAAAATAAAGTCTTAATCTAAATTCAAAACGTGTTTTACTACAAACATAGCAAACAAATACAAAAATCTATTTATACTAGTCTTTTTTTTATTGCAGAGAGGTACATAAAAGAAGATATCTCTTACAACCGACTGCTTTAGAAGTATTTTCTAGCGATGGACGTAATTACTTATTAGCGTTTCCGCGGAAAGTAAGGAATAAGGTAAGCTTTTTGTTATGTGTTAGTTAATGTCGAAATTTTGAATTTATTCGTAATAACGCTTCAACTAAGTAATTAATTTGGCTCTTTCCAACACAAACTTTCCAAAAAATAGAAAACAATAATTAGCTAATGTCAATTGTCAGTACGAATTAGATTATTTAAGAGCCATCTATCGATCATTGAATTTCATAGTTTTGTTTGCATGACACTTAAAATTTCAGGTTTATAGTCGATTCACCGCCTTAGCTACTGGCATGGCGGATAGCGCCGCGGGGTCCGTAGCGGGGCAAAAACGAGGTGTAGCAGTGGAACAACCCGCGGGCATTCTTGCCTCCCTTATAGGAGATACGTCGGTCACACAGCGTTGGCTTGTGAGTATTATTTCCCGTTTTCAATTTTGTTTACAGTCAAGTAGTTAATCAGACTATTGTGCCATACTGAAACAATTTCTTGTTTTCCCGTGGTTCGAACCCAGGACTTCTCGTGCTTAATGGTATGTTTAACCATTTAGCTAAAGTGGCGGTCTTTAATTGGTTTAGTGACACAGTTTTGTCTTTTAGTAGTAAAGAGAAGAAAAATTGGTAGTAATTCAGTGTATTTTATTGAAGCAAATTATTAAATGTAAATAAAAAACTTTAACGGCTTAAAACGCGGTATATATTAGTTAAATTTGTTTGAAAATTATTTTAAGTACGTCTACTGTCTCCTCGTGACCACGGCTGCTGCAAAGCATCCGAAACGTCGGGCCGTACTTAAAATAATTTTCAATCAAGTTTAACTAATATATATCTCGTTTTAAACCGTCAAAGTGTTTTATTTCAATGTATACTACTCGCATAAACTACGGACCACATAGTAAAAATAAGTTATTTTAAGAGCGTACTATTTTATCTTTTTCTTTCCAGCGAGGTGAAATAACAAACTTCCAATACTTGATGCATTTGAATACACTAGCAGGAAGATCTTATAACGACCTCATGCAGTATCCTGTATTCCCGTGGATATTGGCTGATTATGAGTCTTTGGAGTTAGACTTGACTGACCCCGCGACATTCAGAGACTTGAGTAAACCAATGGGAGCCCAAAGTTCCGATAGATTGGAACAGTTTAGGAAAAGATATAAGGTGAATTTGTTTGTAGGATTTACGGCACCATTAATACTGATAATAATACTCTAAAAGTAAAAAATGTGAAATCTTTTTTGTAACTCGGAGAATAAGGAAAACACTTTCCACTGATCGATGTTTATTTAAAAATATTATTTTGACGGGGTCGTTTGTGTAATTTTAGCAATGTATGGCCAATAATCAACGTTCGTGGTGCGATCCCCGCCGGATCCAACATGCTTCTAACCAATATACAAATTTCTGAAACATGGTAGATTTCCTTTCAAAATCTGGATAGTATGTTGGTGTTAGAAATATCGAAATTTACAGATGACAACACGCCGTGAAGTTAATCGCATTTTGGTCTTGGATTTCCGAATATCCAAAGCCAAAATTGGTCGACAGCAAATCTTGTTTACGTTTCATATATGAACCACATAATTTTCTGTCCTCTCTATGCTAGATAAAATAATAAAGTCCGAATTACAAATACAATTCGGTCTTTGGTATGTTTTAAAAATCTGAAACTTATATATTGATATTGACAACAGGAATGGGATGATCCCCACGGAGAAACGCCTCCTTACCATTATGGTACACACTATTCGTCGGCTATGATCGTTTGTTCCTATCTTGTGCGTATGGAACCGTTTACGCAGCATTTCCTCCGACTGCAAGGGGGACATTTTGATTTAGCGGATAGGTGAGAAAATACATTTATACTTAATAGTTAAGGATTCGAATTTAAATTAAATAATTTAAGAAGTCATCCTATGTTAACCTAAATATTTATATAACATTTTTTTTTTCAGAATGTTCCATTCCATAAAAGAAGCGTGGAATTCGGCGTCGCGACACAATATGGCCGACGTTAAAGAGTTGATACCCGAATTTTTCTACTTACCCGAATTTTTAGTGAACTCAAACAATTTCGATTTAGGTAAGTTCTACTGCATTAGGTAGTCAAAAATAGAATATATTTTTTTGGCGTTAAATATGTAAGAAATTAGTTGTTTTTTTTTTAAATTTTGGTTATTATTTTTTTAGGATAGAACTACCTCGTTTGAGTATTCTTTTGTCTTCTATCTTTTCTTTATACCCCTCTTTTTAATCAGGTTCAAAGCAGTCCGGCGTAGCCCTCGGTGACGTGGTCTTACCGCCATGGGCCAAGGGTGATCCGCGCGAATTCATACGGATACATCGCGCCGCTCTGGAATCGGAATTTGTATCGCACAGACTACACCATTGGATCGACCTAGTCTTCGGCTACAAACAACAGGGTCAACCCGCCGTGGAAGCCTGCAATGTCTTCCACCATCTCTTCTATGAAGGCAACGTGGACATTTACAAGTAATTATTTTCTTATACCATACAGCTCACAGACCCTTATGTAAAAGATATGAAATACTGTCTGTAGTTTACGTAAGTAGTTAGTTAAAGAACAAGTTAAATAAAACGGTCTGACAGTTTAAAACTCGAAATGTATGAGTTAAACTTATTTAAAAATTATATTAACTACTGCCCGACGTTTGGAATGCTTTACAGGAGCCGTCCCCCCGTGACCACGGTGGTTATAGTGTTTTGTTTAAAAGATATGAATTTTATTTGTCTTTTGAAAACATAAGCTTATCTCGCATACGGGCCTCAGACTTATGTATTTTTTCAGTATCGACGATCCGCTGAAAAAGACCGCGACAATAGGCTTCATCAATAACTTCGGTCAAATACCGAAACAGCTGTTTAAAAAAGCGCACCCAAGCAAGAAAATGTCCCAACGCAGTTCGACTATACTCGATCCTAATAATATTATACCGTCGCAAGGTATTATTACGCCTCCGGAGAAACTGTTTTTCCATAATTTGGAAAATTTGAGACCTTCATTACAACCAGTTAAAGGTAAGAATCAGACCTTTTATATTAAGTTTTCTTTTATTTTATTATTTATAATCTGACAGGCATGTTGGTGTAATATGGTAATATATAATGGTCTGTCTGTCTGTCCTGCTTTATCATTAAAAAAAGATTCGTCTTCTTTTTTTATCGAAAAATTACATATTTTATGTTATTCTAAAGTATTACTTTCATTTCAGAGGTGAAAGGCCCAGTTGGTCAGATACTCTATACTGAAAAAGCAATTTTAGCAGTTGAGCAGAATAAAGTGTTAATGCCACCAGCGTTTAACAAATACGTAGCGTGGGGCTTCGCTGATCACTCCCTTCGTATTGGGAACTATGACAACGATAAATCCGTGTTTGTTTGCGAAAGCGTCGCGCAAGCTTGCGGTGAAATAGTCACGTGTGTTTGCTTGTCGGATAAAATGATCGTTACCGCTGGAACTAGTACGGTAAGTTGTATATAATACTTTTTTTTATTCCTGTGTAGGTCTTTCATCCCCTACGAGGTGGGAACTTCTTAAATCTTCTCTTATATAGAAGAACATATCCTTGTTCACTCATGGAGTGTAAATAAATTGAAATTGAAACGATGCTTGTCAACTTTATTTTTTAATATGCCGTGGTCACTGGGAGACTGGAGAGTCTCCCCGTGACCACGGCTGCTGCACAGCATCCGAAACGTCGGGCCGAAGTTAAAAATCATTTTCAAATAAGTTTAACTAATATATCGCGTTTTAAACCGTTAAAGTGTTTTATTGAAATGTGTACTACTCGCGTAAACTATAGACAGTATTTAAAAATAAATATATCTATAAATTTCATTTTTCAAACCTTTAACAAAAAAAATAAATGTCCTCTGTACCTTAAGTGCATGTTTTTAGTTATAAAATTGTATATCTTAGCAATAGATTCAGTTTGTACCATTTATGGTCATGGCTAATTTAACAGACGCTAACCAGTGTCCCGAAGTATTTAGACATAATTATTAGGGAAACAATGTTTAGAAAAACGAGAGACGTAGGAATTTAATAATTTATTTAATTAATTTTCATGTCATGCAAAGTACCACTTAAAATACTTGTCATAAGATGCAATTTCGTATGTATTAACTAAAAATCTCTTATATTTAAAATTTCTTTATTAATATAGATGAAATACTTTATATTAAATGCAATAAAAATTAAAAAATACTAATTTCATTCTACAGGTGGTAACGATATGGCAATACTGGGCAAGACGCCGTCGACTGACAGTCAAGACTTGTCTATACGGCCACGAAGAAGCGGTCACTTGCTTGGCTGCTAGTTCTTCCTACAACCTGGTGGTCAGCGGCAGTCGGGACGGCCTCGTCATCGTTTGGGACGCGGAACGGGGCACGTTTGTTAGACAGCTTTTGCCCCCTCATTTCGCGAATATGACTCAGCCACTTCCCCCCGTGTCTGCATTGGCTATTGATGATCTAACGGTGAGTTGGTGATGAGAAAATTCAAACTTTCATTCGATCGTTAATCATTTGATCCAAACATTTCACTTATCTTTTGTAATGGTAGCAATGTGTGGCTAATGATCAACGGGTTCGATCCCCACCGAGTCCAACATTTTCGTAATTACTTTATCATTTTTCTGAAACATGTCGGACTTAATATTTAATTGGTAGTAGTAATATAAAAATTCTGCCAGGGCCACTGACCACCGTCCACAGACGAAAAAGCCGTGAAAATCGCGTTTCGGTTTCAGTCTGTAGATTTCCGAATATCAAAGGCAGCATAGGTCGATAGCGCATTTTATTTAAATGTTAAACGGCTGGGGTATTACACCTACCATCAAGTAAACCCAATGTTTGTCTGTCTCTTTCTATCATAAACAAAATCTTTATTTTAATGTACAGGGCGACATTGCTACTTGTGCGGGTAGTTGGGTGCAGGCGTGGTCTATAAACGGCGAGGCCTTGGGTGGAGCAGCAGCAGGTACAGGTGACCGCGCTCCGCAATTGCTGTGTGTCGCGTTTAGTCAAGCCCGTGACTGGGATCCGCTGAATGTCATCCTAACAGGTTCTTCAGACGGCGTCGTAAGGGTAGGTGTTTTTTATACACTTCTTAAAACTACCTCCAAATTGTTGTTAATTAATTAGGCATAATTAAAAAGTGAAATTCCGTTTCCTCTCGTGGGGCATGGGGTGAAACATATCATGTTAGGTTCTATGTGCACTATATTAAAATGTATTAACCTTTTAAGCTCAACTCTAGTTGTACTTACCAGTTTGTGACTGCTTTAGGAAGTAAATAATATATCTTAATAAGATAATATAACAAAACTCTCTTATTTATAGATGTGGTCAATCGAATATGTACCCAAACTTGATGACGAAACACACAGTTCGGAAGCAGGAAGTGTTGATGTAGCATCCGGCTCGGTAGATATCGAGAAACAGGCTGAACAAAAATTGACCTGTCAAGAGAGTGAAGAAGTTAAAACTGAGAGTGAAGATATTAAGACCGAGGGTGAACTAAAGTCGGAGAGTGAAACTAAGGCTGAAGATGCAGAAAAGAATGAACGGGAGGCAGCTATTAAACGCGTTGAGGCGTTAGTCAAGCAGATGAGTTTGTCACAAGAACACGAAGGCAGTAAGCCATTTATACTTATTTAAGTCACTTATACGTTGAACTGCTATTTTGGAACGTCGTCGATATATCGAATCGTAGTGCCATAACTGTTATTTTTATAAAGGATTGCCTTTCTAATTATCATAATTATCTTTGAGGTATTTACTCCTCGCAGCATATTTATATCAAATAATATTCCGATCCGGTCGAATTTTATTAAACTTTATATGCATATACAGTATGTCTGAGACTCGGCATGAATCTGAATTGTCCCCCTTCTATCACCAACACCGTTTTTTAGTAATTTGATATTTTTTCATCCCGCGCGATAACTGATCAATTTTGTAAGTTAGTAATTCCCTAGAAATTATTTATATGGCAAAACAACGTTTGCCGGGTCAGCTAGTATCTATATATGCTCCTAGGCGGAAACTCCAAAAGTAAAATCTTAATATTTAAGTATTATACATTTTGATATATATGGTACATTTTGCCCATCAGCGGCTCATATTTAATTTTTAACCGTGCACTAATCTTTCCAGGCAATCTCGCGAAATCAGGATCGGAGAGTTCTTTATCCGATATCGGTGAAACAACCAGTGCGAAGGAATCGTCTCGCCGGCACGAAGACAAAGACACCTGCAGCGACAATGAGTACCAAGAGAAGCATGATGTGGACTCGTGCGATGAGGTCAAAAACTATGACGTAGACTCTGATGATAAGGACTACGATAATGAGAAAGGTCTAGACAAAGACAATGTTACGCACAGGAGTAAGTTGCAGAAACAAGAGAACGTCGTGCTACGGCATAAGTCGAAGGGAAATCCGTTGTATCGTAAAAGTAAGTTGGGATCATCGAATTCCAGTGACTAGACACGATCCTTGTCTGTTTTCTGTTAGTCCAATTAAATTAGATTTTCTATCCTTGCAGTATTCCCATGGAGAAAAAAATTGGTTTGAAAATTCATAACACCCAAAAAAAAAGGGTGCAAATACATTCTTAGATCGGATGATCTACTAGTCTTAACCATGTTTTCTGTAAAACCCCCAATTTAGAAAAACCCCCGTAATCCAATTTTTGCAAACTCATTCAATCAAATCAATAAACTAACGTTCATACCATTTTCTAGCTGTATAGGAATAAATGTAATTTCACCTCTATTTGAAATGATATATTAAAAAAGAAAATTAAAAATATTTTCTTAATTTCTTGGCAGGTGGAGGTAGTATAGGCGGTTCCAGTGAATCGGGCTCCGTAGAGCGTGGAACAGGCAGCGGGGAGGGGGAACTGCGGAACAGCAAATCTGACACGAGCCTCACAGACTCGTTCGTCGTTCTCGAACATTCCAAGGACGTACCTGCACATCCACCAGTGAAAACGGATACTAGCACGGGTAAGTCTTAATTATGAAAAAGTTTATTCATTTAAAGTAATAGTGCGTCTGACAACAGGAGGCAGAACGTTCTTACCGACCCCTACGACGACTTTGTGAACCAACACGTCTGCAAAACCACCTTAGCTAATGATGGCGCTGCTAAGATCTAAGTATCTGATTTAGTATCCGTCCAGCTCTTCAATCTCCCAAGTCAAGTCCAAGTCGAAGCCGAAATCTCCCCCTTGGTCTTGCCACCAAACGCCCAGTCCAGTTTAAATGGCATTCCAACTGACTACAAACGAATTATTCATCAGAAGGGAAGAATATTAAAAAGACTTTCATACAAGATACAAATCGGTTATATAATATAATTGTTGCACGCTAAAAACTATCGGGTATTTACAGTTGAGCAGCCGGTTGTCCGCTGGTCGCGCCGTCTAGTTGTACGAGGCAAACTGACTATGCACACAGCGTACGAGCGACGCGACAACCTCTCTCCGGCTGCTGTTACAGCTCTAGCTGCAGCGCGGACGGGACGCGGCGTTGCCGTTGGGGACGCTAGAGGACGGGTAAATTAGTATCTATAAATAATAATTATTTTAAATAATATCCTTTGTTTCTACACTTTACAAAGTGCCTGTTTCCTGTAAGGTGCCTGGAAGAAATTGCCATTGGCGACAAGGCCGCCTTTCAACTATTTTTTAAATGTAAATTAGTAATTCCTTGTATTTATATTATTTTTTTGTGCAATAAAGTGGTTTATTATTATTCTTTAAAAAATACACACACACAACGGTTTCAAACGCGATCAGCTTAACCTATATAAAATTTATTTTTTGAATTAGTTTTATGATTACTTATTTTATTCCATATTTTGATTATTATTGAACCCGACGATCCGGCTACCCTGCAGCAGCCGTAGTCACGACGGGTCGTAATTATATTCTTTTTCGCGAGTGTGTTCTTTTTTTCTTTTAAATTGTCCACAAACCAATCAATCAGTTGCCTACTTGAAAAATAGCAAACAAAGTAGGGTAGTAAGAGATAAGAGTCAAGTATCACTTTTGAGATGGAGAAACAGACAAATTAAAATAACCTCACACATCTTAACAGCTACTAATTTAAGACGATATAAAATTGCTTACAGATATTCCGTTGGTCGGCACCGGATATGACAAGTGCGTCTGGTGCAAAGGGAGGACCGGCTGATCATTGGATACGCGACGACACAGCACCGCATTGCACACAGTGTCAAGTGAGTCTTATATATTTTATTACAATATAATAAATATGGACACAGGATCGACACAGTTCTGTGTCTCTTCTGCTGAGCTAGTCTGTTTATAAGAAACGTTTTGACGGGCTCGTTGATATAATGTATAGCTCATCATCGGGTCATGGGTTCGCTTCTCACCGTGTCCAACATCTTTCTAATTAATTTATGTTTTTTTCTGTAACATTTTAGATTAAAAAATAACACGCAAAATAAAAAAGTAATATATATTTATTTAATCTTGTCCTAGAAATGTCTGCCATATAGGAACTATAGGTTTTCCAAATCATGGGTTTGCTTTTCACTTACGACTACTAACAAATGCCCTATATTAGGTACGATTCACGGCGCTAGAGCGACGCCACCACTGTCGCGAGTGTGGCGCAGTCTTTTGCGGCCGTTGCTCCCGCTACGAGGCGCCTGTACGTCGTCTACGTGCGCTACGCCCAGTACGCGTCTGCCAACGATGCCACCACAACATCCAGAACTCAAAGGACTGAAGTGCACTATAATCACTATACAACAGCTTAGCTAGCACATACATAAGAAGTAAGCTATGTAAACCAAGCCAATGATTTTAATGGTTCCACAATTGATTGGCATTGATATAAATTGTAGAAGCGTATTTTAAAATGGCGGGACTCGAAACAAATAATAACAGCAGGGATGTGTACGGTACGCTCAAAAAATAGCTCAGTTTATAGAGCAATAGCGGTTTCGATCGATTTCAAATGCTCCACATTTAAAATTTTGATCTTTGCTTGTATGACGTGATTAATATTTCATTGGTAATTGCATATTTTTACGACATTAAAGTTACTAAAATTTTTTAAAGCATGTTGCGACACTAAGAAATATAAGCTATCAAGTTAACATTATGTTTATTTAATTTTGCAGCCAAGAATAAATAGTATATTTTTAAAGTTAACTAATTTGTGACAATAGAAAGTGCTCGATACCGGTTCGGATTTATTATAACGCGCAATTAACACGCACTTAATTTTTATCGATTTACAAGACTTGCGAAAATGTTGTAACAAAAACTATTTTCGTAGAAATACAGCTTACAATTTCAAAGTAGCTTCTGAAAAGTGTAGCAATGCGTGCAGAAAACAAAAGAAATGCGTGGAATTAAAATGGCGCGGGTCAAATTGTCCCAACTGTGCTGACGCCGGGTCTCAAAGACATACTAAATCATATAATTAATAACTTTTTCCGATAATAAACAAGAGGGTAGTTGAAGATTGCATTGCAATAATACACTTTGTTGGCCGGGCGAGTACAAAATAAATCAGCAGTATTGGATAATCTAATCGAAAGTATATATTAGGGTTAAATATTAAATTATTAGCTGGTGATAGAGAAATAATGTCTATTTATTCGCTAAATATTTTGCTAACACTAATCTTGTTTGATATTCGAAGATGCTTATACGAAGTAAGTGTAATTAAGCTATAACCAAATAACAATAGGTTTAAAGTTATTAGTAAAGCGGTCACATGTTTATATACGCTTCTAGGCTTGCAACTATTCTACTAATAAGAATACTTTAAGCGTAGATTATATTAACACTATTTTATTTTGACGTTTATACCTTTATATGTATAATAATCAATCATAAAAGCAATGCAATTTAAATTTGATATAACCACCATTTTTCAGAGGTTTTTGTATTGGGGCCGTTTCTGTATTACGAAAACAAAATTGTTATCTATATTAACACCAGACCCCCCCCCTCCCGCGCCTTCCTTTGCAAAGTACGTCTCTTAAGTTTATTGGTTAGACATCCTGTTTAATATTCACTATTTAACACAAAGGAAAGTATATAATCCCAGGTTCCATCACTCCTTATAACTACTGCATTATCTAGTCATGACTAGATTTTACATTGTAATAGTCAATAAAAAAAAATGTCCCCAATCTTAATAGAGCTCAAGTATTACTCGAACGGACCCAATATTTATGTTTTTTTTATTTATTTAGTAATTAGTGCTAAAAGAGAACGCATTGGAAATATTTACAGGATATTTATTATTTTCCTTTTAAAATTAATTATGCATTGGGTCATTTTTATTGCAAATGTATCTACTCCACTATGAAGTATTAGCCGTTGTTAATGTTTAGTGTACTACATTTTATCATTGATTAAATATTATATATTACACTAATTTATATTATTTAGGATCTCAAACTTTTTATATATGTTTTAAGATTTTTGATAATTTAAACCAATTTAATGCATTTTAATATGAATTTAGTTGTAAAAATCTCATTATTGTGATATTTTCTTGTATATGTACTGTGTTGGTATGTTATATTGAAGTTGTGGATTTTAGTGCTAGTCATCATTTATATTTATTTAGCATTATTTCCTTCGTAAATTATATGTGGATGCAGATTAAAAATTATTTTAATAATTATATTAAACAATATATAAAGTTATCCATATTACTTAGATATGTTGCATTTAAGGTGAATTTCCTTCTCTGTCAAGTGAAGTAAATATAGAATATATCTAAAGTGGGCAATTTTTTGTTTGGTAGAAAACAAAATGTTTGTCTGTTTATAATTCTTGCACTGATTATGTTTTTAACTATCTTTAGTGTTAAGTGCTCGGAAACCGTTTTATTTTGTAGTCTACACGTTAATAAATAATTAAAGAAACGGCAAGAATAGTGAAATTCTTTTAATATGCAACAATTTAAAGCAGAAAACCATCGTTTAATATTTCTAAGCTGTTTGCGACTATAAAATTACGTTTCATATAATCGATGTATTGATAGCGTTACTATAGATGTGCGAGGTATATCTATTCAAAATGTTAAATTATAAATGAAAATAGTCGTGTTCCCTGGTTTCTCGTGCATCTTGCCCACAAGCTCCTTAAGTGTATAGTAAATCGCAGACAATAGTGTCGTTTAGGTAGTGTGTAGGCAAAAGTTTATGCCGTTGATTAAAATGTATTCATGTATAAATAAAGTATTGCAAATTAACTCCGTGGTTTTATTCGCATTTGCTTTTAAGGGAATGACCGCTAAAATGAAGTTGTTTTTAAATAAAGTCGTTTTTGTTTGTATTGGAAGTTTTAAGATGGAGGGAGAGTAGACTGACAATGTTGCAACGAATGTGTCAGCAATTGTTTCTTTTATTAAACAGGTAAGATTTTGATCGTGTCTACCGTACAGTAATGAACATAAATACCTATGTCTCTTCTAATACGGATGACTAATATAGTATTTGTGTTAATTTTTTTAACGATATACATATATTGAATTGCCATGGTTTAAACGATAGCGCAATAAATAAATGTTACATGTTACCACATACCTAATAATATGTTTTACACTTAGCTCCGTTCAGGCTTTATAAATAGTATAGATGTCGCTTATCAGAACACTAATTTCAAGACATGGTCGAACATAAAACAACATTATTACTAACCATAATATGTATTTCTTTATAATATTTGAACTCTCATTATCTAAAAATATCTACATACATATAATTATAACCTGGTATGTACATATAATTTAGCCAAAGATAAATTCAGAAAAATATACAATGTTACGTCCAACAATTAATTTTGATATAACAATAGCTGAGTATAATACGAACAACGCTCTAATGCTTTAAAATACAAGTTCTATTGAAACAAAGGCTTACGTACAACAAACATGAAAATATTTACAAAATAATGTATTTCTTTAGACAACTATTTCTAGATAAGGAAAAAATCTGTCGATTTTCAATCAGCAAGAAATCAAAATGTTTGTTTGGACTATTATTTAAAAATGTCATTCATACAATCCTATTTCAATAGAAAACAATTGAAACTGAATTACACTGAATAGACAGTTGAAGTCGCTCACTTTTTTTGTACTCAAAAAATGTATCTACAACAAACGGCTCCACAACTTTCATACATAAAGTGCTCAGTGCTGTAAATATTATAGACACCAAGTGCAAAGATAAAAGTAAGTGCTTTAAAAACATTGACCTCAAAATTGATAGAGTACTAAATTCTTCTATAATTGGCTTAAGTACAAAAAGCAGTGCTGGCGCGTTATACAGATTATAAAATTTTGTTCGATAAAAAACGGAATGTAAAAATGTGAAAATCGTTGTGCAGTACAATTGTGCTCCTCTAAGTAGATAATAGAAATGAAATAAACATATTTACTACAGATGCATCTCTGCTACGATCCAAAAACACATTTAACAAGTCGGTTCGATGTAAAAACCGCATTCAGAGAAAACTCGAAATAAAAAACAAATAATCAACATTAAAAAATAAATCACGCTAAACTTACGAACGTAGTTTGATCGACCTAACGTAAAAACTATTTTAATTCCTCAAAAAAGTTACAAAATAAAGATTCACAAACGGTTAAGGGGTGAGAGTAATCTACACATATACAATTATATACAAAGGAGAAAACGTTTAAAAAAGTCTTATGTTACAAGCACACGGATCATTCAAAGTGAATACTGTATATTTACGCTCGTAGTGGCTTGTCGCTCCTAATACTGTCCTTGGACGAATGTATCGCGGACTATTTATAACATATAATTACGTAATATACTCGACGTAATGTGCAGAGCGTAGCGATGTGCTTTTCAACTATGCTTTAAGTACAACATTCATATAATTTATATTGTTCTCAATGATTCCACTTTTCTCAATCCAGAACATTTTCTAGCCACAAACAACTTGTTCCTGTAGTGGCTTAACAGTCATAGAGCGACTAGCTCATTCGTAAAAGTTATTACTAGCTTAAATAGCTCAGGAACCTTCTGACAAGTGTTTCTCTTTCGTTTCCCTGTTCCTTCTTCTTTAGACTTCTATTCATTGTGGAAACACTGATTGTTACTTCCGCTATCTCTAATAAACATTTAATTGAATATATCCTGTCATAACAACATAGTATGGCGCTTTCGTCCCCTCTATATACATTAGGGAACTAAAATTATGTGTGTTAAGTAACTTTAATTGAATCCGTAATTATTACGTATTAGAAGGGAAATTATTGAAAAATAATTAAATACCGAGACATTGTTTTAGAAACTAAGTACAATTTTAAGTCAACGATTAGATACTAGAGGGCGCTTTACTAAACTAGTTGAGATTTTCCGATATAAGTCGCAAAGTGAAATAGTATGTGTCGAAAATGTGTTTCATGTTTTTAAGAACTGCCCTCCGTTTTTCTATTTTGGGTACCGATTTCAATGTGCTGGATTTTTTAGGTTAAATAGGGTGTGAATGTTATCTATCCGCCTATTTAATTATTTCACAGATCGTTTTGAAACCATTGTAATAAGTACAATACGTATCCGCAGTTCGACGTCATACAAGTAAGATCCCAGTAAGCATAACAAGTAAACATCGTATAAAATAAGTTGAATATAAAAAATATACAATATGCAGTGACGCGGACGAACTCAGTCATTGCTGTCGATTTAGGAACAATATTCCATTAGTCTGGCGTTTTAAGTACGTTTAATTGATAAGTACTGTGTTAACATTTTAAGTGTCCATCTTCAAGCTAATTTTCGTCAGTTAAATACCTGGCTTTACAAAACCAGGTTCTTCTCAACTTGATTGTCTACAAGGTGCGTTAACCATTATATCATTAATAATCTCTATATTTGATTCCAGTATGATAATAATGTATAAAATATTTTTCAACTAAGCAAAAGTTCTCTAACGTCAGGTAAAAGCTTTTAGAAGCTCTAAACATTGTTTAAGTGAATAAACGATAGAATATTAATTTTCCAGCGAAGTTCGTTAATATATGCTAATAATAAGCAGTTATATATGCTTTAACACTACAAACAGATGTACAGCAGTCAATTTAAAAGCTTCGAGTAACTGTTTTAAATGACCGTATTTTTCATATCTCCCGCGAAGCAAGGTAAACTATAATATCCATAATACATTTGTTTGCAGCATAATACAGTATATATCTCAATTAATAGGAACAGTAGAGAATTAGTTATGTCTTATATGAGGCCAAACTAATTGTTGCAATATCATGTTTATAGTATTCTAAACCTGGAAGCTTAATTTAATATAAGATTTCTACTATAAATCTCGCCAGGTGTTTTAAAAATAATCCCATTTTGTTTATAAATTTGGGAAAATAGCGATAAATGTACTGTTCCTAATAATGTCGTTTCCAATTTAAGTACGTCTCTCTTTACTTTCTAGCATTCCGTACCAAAAGCAACGGCACCTCGTATTATCAACATCTCAAGAACACATCACAGATGACGCATTTCTGTTGCAGCCTCATTCAACATGTTTTATGAGCCGTTATGGTACGGAACTCATCCTACTCGAATTCTTGAATCGTCATTTTAGTATTGTGCTGGTGTTAGGAATGGGTTGGTAGTCGCGTGACCGGCGAATGATTGTGCTCTGCCAGCGGAGGCGAGAGGCGGCGCGCGCGCAATTCTTCCGAGCCATGCATCCGGATGCGGAAGGGCACTCGCTACCGGAACCGGAACCGGTTCTTCAGTGAGCGCACGCAGACCAAGCGATAACTGTTGGCACATCTCCGCTACCGGGTCGCTCTCGAGCGGCTTTTCCTGAAACATTATATTAAACAAATTAACTACTAATAAATAATTTAAATAAAACACTTATAACGGTTTTAAAATTGCGAAAAATAAGTTAAATCATACATAACTTATATTGAATTTATATTAGCTACAACCCGACGTTCCGAATGCTATGCATCACCTATGGAGTGACATATTTCGCGTTTTAAACCGTTATAAGGACTTTTCAGGTTCGTCATAATAGCGTCACGACATAGTCTGTTTTTACTACTAGGGTCACTGTAACATGGATAGGATGATTGTAAAACTGACCTCGACCGGTTCCACGGCCGGCACCGGCGCAGGCGCAACAGGCAATGCGGGTATAGCAGGAATCGTCGGCAATGGTGGTGTAGCGGGTGAACCTAACCCGAGTCGCTGTCGTTCTACGGTCGATGGCAGCTCGCTGATTCGCAGTGACATCTGACGTTTGAATGGTGAACTGCAAGATCATTTACTTTATATTAAACTAGTGTTATATACATCTTTTATTGTATATAACATAAGCATGCTTGTACAAAGTTGAGTTATATTTGTAAGATTAAATATACTTTTTATAATAAATGTTTAGTATTAAAAATGCAAAAACTCTCTTTTCCCTTAAGTAGTTAGTAATGATTTTTAATGGTCTTGTTAAGTTTCCACTTATTAAAGTATTTAAACATTGTACAACAACTTTTTTATAATTAAATAATAATACACCTGTTATTATAAAGTGCATTTCACCTGAGATAATATTGACATAAGGTAAAGGGAATATATTTATTTATTTACTTATAGCAACTTATTCAATCCTTAGAAGGTTATCCTAAGGCGACAGAAAGTCTCGTGAAGTGATGTCGTCAATTCACCCAAGCCACACGTGAAAATGTAACAAATAAATAATACATACTTGTTATTTAGATGTGCGAATCCACGGAAAGATCCTTGTCGTTCTAATAGATGAGGCGCAGCGTGAGGTCGTTCCACCGCGAAAGGATTGTGCGGCGGTGGACGTTGAACGGACGAATCGGTCCCCGTGCGGGGAACTGGGACTATGGGCGTCGGCGGAGTAGGGATACTGGCGGGAGGCGTCGCCACATCTGCTTCGGATACGCGACGATTTATCACTGGAAATAAAGCGATGTTTATGTTGAACTCCTGTCAGACATTTTTTTGGTTCAAATTCACTTAATAAAAAATTCACACTAAAATTAATACAAATGAATTTACATAAAATTCCTTTATATGAGGATATGATATCAATGGCAATGGAGGGTAGAAGACCCACTCATGCACGATCACTGAAAAGCGTTACAAACGTCGAGTTAAATAATTAGGACATAAAAATAAAAAAAAAGGTCGTCATAAAAGTGATTTTGAATATTGAGGTCGTTTGGTCTATATAATACTATATATAATTTGTTTTTCTACTATTCGAACGTATCACTTCAAATTCACTATCCACTATTTTTAACAACGGCGTATAAATAAAATTTACAAGGGGAATAACCTAAGTCTAGGTCAAATGTGTTTTATGTTTTTTGTGGCCTAAAAAAGCATAGTTTGTGGTGGTAAATTACCTGATTTTCTAAATGAGCCCTGGCGCGTGAAAGCATGACTCGCGGCGTCGATACTCATGGACACGGCGCATTCTTTATCGCGTCTCTGTTTTCGTTCCAGGCAGGCGGCGAACGCACAGCCCACAGCGTGTGACAGACGCTCCCCACTATCGCGGTAGGCGAGGAACCCGTGACTCATCCATCGACGTGTTGTTCCATCGCGACATATATAGCTGAAAATTGTAGTATTGGATTTAGATTTTTTTATTAAATAATGGGATAGTCGACCTATTAACATAAAAAACGCGATATATTCACTTAATAACTTATTTGAAAATATTTTAACTACGGCTCGACGTTTCGGGTGGTTTGCAGCAGTCGTGGTCAGGGGGGAAACATCCGAAACGTCGAACAGTTAACATAATTTTTAGACCCTTTTAAAGTATATATTTGGCGATACAAGAGGATAATGCAAAATTGTTGTCGCCTTATTTAATACGCTGATAAACAGAAAGAAATAGTGGTATATAACTAAATTAATCTACATAAAAAATGTTCGTCATGCACATCGTTGTTGTATCGCATCATAATTCTATGAAACAAAACAATAACGATTTCGCATTACTGTTACGTAATCATTTTAAGAAATCTGACACGGACACAAAACAAAACCTATATCGTCTTACATAATTATTACCAGCTGTGTCAGCGACTTCGTCCGCGAGAATCGTTATTTTGGGCATCAAAATTCGTTTTTGCAAACCCCCTCATCTTCATAGACTTAATGTTAAAAGATAGACATATAGCGTCGCGGACTTTTTTTAACATTTAAAGAGGAATCATTCTTTCATACATATTTTTCGTCAATTTTGAACCGTTTTTGCAGCGTACGCCTCGGAAACCCATAATGATGCATATGTTTCCCAATTTGTTTTAAATTTCTAGTTATATCTTCGCTTGTATTAGTCACATGTTTTGCCTATAACCCGTAGTTCCTGAGATTACCGCGTTCAAACATACAAACAAACAAACTCTTTAGCTCTATAAATTAGTATAGATAAATCTTTTCAAATACTATTATTAATTAGTAGTATTGTATGTAAATGGAAATATGTATTCAATTCGTTGCTTATCCGTGTCAATTGATACCTTTACACAGATGATTTCAGTGTTTTATACAAGAGTGCATCTTGTAGATTCCACATCTTTATAGACCAATAGGAGATTTACATTATTTGACTAAGTCAACCACTGGTTTGTGAATAATTTATAAAAAGACAAAAGCTGTATCTTTGTCACGCCACATCAAAGAATAAGAAACAAACAATTGCCAAGATCTTTTGTTTTTTTTTGAACAAACTTGTTTTATATCTATACTAATATTATAAAGCTGAAGCGTTTGTTTGTATCTTTAAATAAATAAAATAAAATTGTATAAAGCAGCACGCTAAGAACAATAGGAGCGAAGAATCAAGAATGATTCCTCTTTAAATGATTTAAAAAAACGTTCATGACGTATTGACTTTTAAGACTTGCAAGAAGAACGCGGTCGACCTCGTGGGCAACAGCTTAAATTTATAGAGTTGATACATTTAAATAAAACACTTTAACGGTTTAAAACCATATATTAGTTAAACTTATTTGAAAATGATTTTTAACTTCGGCCCGACTTTCGGATGCTTTGCAGCAGCGTGGTCACGGAGACAGTTCAGTCTCTTAAGTTAAAAATCATTTTCAAATAACACAAAAAACTTTAACGGTTTAAAACGCGGATATATTAGTTAAACTTTTTTGGAAAAAATTTTTTATTTCCCCCCCCCCCCGACTTTCGGATGCTTTGCAGCAGCCTTCACGGGAGAAGTTCATTAAGTTAAAAATATTTTCAAATAACTTTAACTAATTTCGTTTTAAACCGTTAAAGTGTTTTATTTAAATGTGTACTACTCTTAGAAGTTTTAGAGTTGAGTGAGTTACAGTTTTGCGAAAATTAATTCTGATGCCCAAAATAACTACATATTCTACGCGGACGAAGTCGCTGACACAGCTAGTAGTTTATAGAATTACTAAAACTAGTGTACTCAAAATAGTTTTTTTTTTACAAATAACGCTATTAGTCTGTGTTACATTAGCTTGACATTTTTACGTAGATCTTTAATGGATTAAGAAGACACATATGGCTTCTTGTAGTCACTACTAAGACGTCGTAACTCAACATTTCAGACAATACGCCGCATCGAATTACATTTAACGCTTAGACAAACACCTTAATTACTGCGGGTCGTGATAAAACGCTATCTTTTTTATCAGTGAAAAAACTCCTTAGTCTTTTCCGGTATTATGTTAAAAAAGACGTTATGTTGCACTCCATAACCCGAATTTTACAATTTACTCCCCCCATTTTAAATTAAATACTAGCTAAATACTGTCTATAGTTTACGCGAGTAGTACACATTTAAATAAAACACTTTAACGGTTTAAAACGCGATATATTAGTAAAACTTTAGTTTAACGGGCCGAAGTTAAAAATAATTTTCAAATAAGTTTAACTAATATATCGCGTTTTAAACCGATAAAGTTAATCTTGAAAGTTAGACATAAACTGTCGCGAATCCCCAGTCCCCATTTTTTCCACATACCCTTTTGTATGTTTTATATGTTTTATACCCTTCAACTCAAAACAAACTCTTCAGTTTTGTATATTAGTATAGATTTATGGAATGGTTACGTCATACCTAGGATAAAAGAAATTTCAAATCTTGTTTGTCGATCTATTCAGGACTTAACGCTTTATATCTATCGATCTATATCCACTGAGAATTGAGATTAGTACAGGTCGCGAGCTAGACAAGGTCAGAGACTACGTCAATAACTAGAACTTCACTTGAATGGAATGTTGAATTTCGATTTGAATAAATCGCTATTGAAACAGTGACGTAGAGTTTACCATCGCACTTTTATATCCGTTCTTTGCCAAAGGTTAAATTTGTATGGGTTCTAGGAATTTGTTGTATTTTTCAGGTTAAGATAAAACATTCTTAAAAATTCGGTACATGAAATCCACTATAGTCCAATTTAACGACTCCACAGAACACAAAAATGATTTTACGTTGATTTTCGTGTCATAAAGAAATGCCCTTGGGTAGTTTTTTGAAACCAAAATATATATTTTTTTATTACTATACATTTTCATATAAAAAAAATTGTCACCTTAGCAGTATCGTTATAAAAAGTACGAGATTTCTATGTTTTAAGTGTAGATAAAATATTTTAAATTCAAAATAATATGGTACAATTTGAATTTTTGATGTTAAAATATTTTGCGGGACGTTCGGCCGTAGTTTGCCCATCCCTGGTCTAGTCTATAACAGACAAATCTTAAGGCCGTATGCATCTTACCTGAAGCCACGTTCATGATTTCTGTCCGGAGCGCAGAAGGAGACTTTCTCAATAGTTTGGTCAACAAGTAGACCCTTTGTTTCTTCTTCCACCACTCTCAATCCGTCTCCGCTCACGTGTAACACAGCACGAACCGGTCGACGACGGGAGTTCTGGAATTACGAATTGGCTACTCAAAACGATGCTAGTAGTAGCTGCTAGGGCCGCAATATAAATAACTATACTATTTTTAGATCATGTGCAGTTCTGACTCAGTCCGACTTGCACCTGGAAATTTTTTACTAAATATAAATGATAAGGATGCAGAAAATAACGTAATTTCTCAAACATGCTTGGAAATTTGAGTATTATTCTGAAGACCGTCTTCGAGATAAATCGAACTTAAACGGCCGGCAACAATAAACCATATCTGTCGTGTTTACTGGCCAAATAAATTACTATGTAAAATCATATTTGATATTTGTTGTGTAATTAAAAATGGAACGATTTTCAACATGGCGACCAAAGAGGTAACTTATCAAAGGTTTAATATTAATTTCGAACTGGCTTGCACATAGAAGCTGACTAAAAACTATGGTTGTTCGTCACTTCTTCATTGATTTTTAAATTCTGTATTTTATAACTTAGTTTAAATTTCCGCGCATTATTTGATACATTATTTTACTTGGTCGCATTCATGGACATTGTCCATCAATGCCTCTCTTGCTTGCCGCTGCAGTAATGTACTATTCCTCAGTATTGTTAAAATATCGACATTGAATAGGTTCAGTTGAAATCTCAATAACGACTAAATCTAATTATTGTCAGTCACAAATCTCTAATCAAAAAACATAAGGTTTATAATTTTAAAGGTCTTTGAAACATAGAAAATTAATAAAATACAATCAAGACGAGTTAGAATGAACAGCTTACACCTCAAACTTAACAGAGGCCGTCAACTCATCCCTTATCAGTTATTACCTCGTTTTCTTCATTTTCACTTATTTGTCACGTATTTAATATTTATTCAATACAAGTAGCCGATAACAAACTTTATTGTAAAGGAGAACAAAGTTTTTTTATACGAATATATAATTAAATTTTAACATTTGAATTACATCTCATTATTCTTAGCTCAAAACTCTACAAAGCATAACAATACAATGCTCGTACAAATTTTACTCAGACAATAGATTTAATACAATGAAAAAATTACGATAGCAAGTAGAACTACCGAAAAGAAGCAAGATGTACTCACACGCTTTCTTTAGATTTTAAATAGATAATTTATCTTTTTGGTCCTATTTATACGTTAGATTCTAGACAGTATATAGTATTTTTTATTTATGTATTATTGCTATATTATTTATAAAAGACACCACAGAAAATATTAGTTATTTTATTTAATGATAGAGGGGGACAGACAAGCATATACTTGATAGGGGGTAGCCATATAACTTCTATACAAGAAGCGCTGTCGACCCATTTCAGAAAATATATTATTTGGATATTCGGACGGCTTCAATTTATATACGATTTTGAAAAAGAGTAGTTTAACTCACTCGAAGTAGTTTAAGCGCTTCCTCGCACACTTGCATCCCCCGGGATTCGAACACCTCGACGCAACCGAGGTACTTGACCGGGAAGGTGCAAGTGCCCGCCCGCACCGCCGCCTCGTCCGCGATCCATTGGTGCGGCCGCGCAGACTCGGGCGGCGAGCCCTTGCGCCGGCGGAACGACTCGCGGAACGAGCGTCGCAAGCGTTCCATTCCGGCGCGTGGCGGCGACAGCGTTGCGCCCGCGCGCGCCCGCCTCAACGAGCTGCGGACGGATGACTTCTGAAATGGTTGAAAGTACAGTAAGTATATAGGTAAAACACTTTAACGCGAGATATATTACTTAAACTTATTTACAAATTATTTTGACTACGAACGTTTCGAATGCTTTGCAGCAGCCGCAGTCACGGGGAAAGTGTAAAGATACCCTCCATCTTTGATGTCAAAGTAAAAACTGTTACGCTAGCGCATTAACTACAGACAGTATTTAACAATAAGTATATTAAAAAGCCGATAAACCGGAAGAGTGGCTCCAAGAGCAAACACAAAATGCCGAGAAAACACAGATATGCCGTAGGTTGGAGATTTTTTGACAATTTACATAGAGCAATGAAAAATTGACGCTTAATGAAATTCCGATATACATAATATGATAATTAATGCATAATCTTAATAAAAAAATCATAAATTAATTCCCAAACAGACTAGAATCGGTGGCAGTAAACTTTGCATTATTAAACCAATAGGTACTTTAAAATTTGCTTATAACTTAGAACGCATGTTTTGAAGCTTGAAGATCGATAATTCAAACCGAAACAAATATTACTGTTACGGCATATTCACCTAGAAAACCTTGCAACACAACAGGGAGGAAAAAGAGATATTTCTAAACACGTTCCCAACAGACACCAAGTTGTAAAACACGCGAAACAGTACGCACTAAAACTCACTTTATGTGAAGTGAGGTGAGTAAACCTAAATATAATGGAGGCGTAAGAGTGATCACCAAATAAAGCTTTCATAGTGAAACTCATGTGAATGTGAAAGTCTAACACAAACAGCTTAACAGCAGTCACTATGACTTATCGCCTACCCACGAAGATCGGCGTTACGAGCCGCGACTAACTACGCGACTTCGTTGCTCGCTCCGTTCCGATTCGCGTTTGTTTGACTCGCCGTTCGCAACGCCGGTCGCCGCTGTACATGCTAGACGGGTACATTGCTTTAAATTTGTCTCAGTCGCTAGACGCTTCGGCTGTTAAATTTTAAGGTACTTTCTTTTAATCATATGGGTCGACGTTTTCCCAGTTCCCACCATTCCACCTATAGGTAAGTGCGGACACAGGCTAAGTTAAATGATGACCAATTTAAACCCTAAATATTAATTCTTTAAATAAACTATATCATACAGTCATTTAAAATCAATTGCACCGAAGCAATTATAAATCTGTTTTAATTTTTTACAAAACGTCAAAACGTAGGTAGATAATGCTTAAATACTGTCTATAGTTTACGCGAGTAATACACATTTAAATAAAACGGTTTAACGGTTTAAAACGCGATATCTTAGTTAAACTTGTATCATTTATGTCCTTTTTATGTTATAAAATTATGCTATTAATTGGAACAGTTCAATAATGATTCCTCAAGTCAAAACATTATTTGCTTAGATTGAATCGAGAGCTACTAGCAAATGGCGAGACGATTAATTGAGACAAGCTGAAACGTTCATCTGCTAATTGCTAATCGAATCTCGTTTCAAGGCAGACTGAACATTCAGTTTAATGTACGGAAAAAAATCCAACGAAATTCTTGAGTCTTCATTTAGTCATATTATAATTAATTTTAGGACTGCCATACATTAGTTTCGTGATTAAATAAGTAGTTATATGTCACGAGAAAGTGCCACAAATATTGTCTTGGATTTATATATTAATAGATCATTTTGATATTTTTCTTATTACAAAGCAAGACAAACAAGCGTGAGGTCTATATGATGGAAGAGGAATCACATCCCTATGGAATTAACATTAACATCCCATTAAGATACGCTATGGCCTCATTTAGGCTTTAGACATACTTACACATACTGAAGCCGAAATGACTGAACATTTTACAGCTTTTCCATTTAAGGTGTGGGTTTCAAAAACCGGACGAAATTTCTTTTATTAACTAGATTGTGTAAACTTTAAATGGAGCCTAAGGTGTGTAGAAGCATCATAGGTAACATTACCTTCTGAACCACATGGTTTAGAAAGAAATTGCACGACAATATACTTTATATAACGTATGTGTGATTTCCATTATTTGCTGTAATCGCAACATAATTCTCGTTTGCCGCATAGATATCGCGAGGTATCTGACAAACATTTTTCGTTCCAAAAATTAAGACACCGGTAATTGTGCCACGATAAGATAATAAACGGGGTGGGTTGTTCGGGCTTTGATTATTATCAATTTAAAAAAATCAACAAATGATAAATAGTTGAAGTCTGTATTTCGTATGAAGAATGTATATAAGAATCATTTGAAGCATACAGTCAATTTAATAAGCTCGGTCCCGATATTTACCTATAATTTGATTATTGAGATAATATCTGTCCTTGATATAAGTTGCAACCTAAACTATGTATGCTAACTAATTGCAGTCATTAACCATATTCTACATTGTATTTTTACCTTCACAAAGATACAATATCATTTTATTTTCAAGGCTTCCATATTGCCTAGATACAAGCTTAGATCCGCCTCAATTTAGATTCGGCTTTTTTGCAAAAAATACTTGTTTGACCACCTCTTGAAGATGTTAGGCCACTTCGTAACATAATTTATATAATATTATTACTAATAGGTATTGAACTCAATCTAATATTATTCGTTTATAACACCGTAGATTATGTCGACTACTTATTGTAGTTACCATTAATTTTCCTGTCGCGTACATCAAAACGTAGGAAGGAATGACTGTTGGTATAAATTTAAAGTCTAAAGTGAATACTAATCCATTATTTAGATTCCAGTTAATTTACATACGTAGTTGTAGGATTGATGAATAAGACATGTCGAATTCAAGGATATAAGAGATTATAAAGACAGATATTATTTAATCGCAAAACTTTATCATTTAATTAGGACGTAACGACTATAGAGTTTCACAACCAATAAATTCTTTTTACTCTTTAGCACAGATGTTAAACCCTCGACTAGAATAAACATACTATACTATATATAAATAGGTCTGTGGCCGGGTGGACGCAGATTATACTATTTAACGGTCTAATAAACACTCAACAGATTATGTTGTCCTCGTTAGTCCATTATGAAGTATGGGGTGATATATAGTGCAACAAATAGATTCACACGATAAAGTACTTAAAAATCCAATAATAATAATCTCGAAACCGACACGTGTTTATGAGTTACCCTATTTTTAGGATACCTTTTTTGCATCGTAAGCCATTCAGTGGCAGCCTCCAGTATGTTCAGTTTCTGGCCGACTGCGCGTTCGTGGTAAATTATGTTTTTGTTAGCATTTCTACGGCTTAGTAAAGCGTTTTAACTATGTAGAATGGAAGTGGGAATTCACGATGACATCATCTGAATAAACCATCAGAATCTACTTAAATAAAACACTTAACGGTTTAAAACACGATATTAGTAAAACTTATTTGAAAATTATTTTAACTACGGCCCGACGTTTCTCCCCGTGACCACGACTGCTGCAATGTATCCGAATTAGATAGATAGGTATTTAAATGTGTACTACTAGCGTAAACTACACACACTTTTGAGGTGTGCTTTAAAGCATCCGACACGTCGGGTTAAACTCCAAAACGTTATTAGGTATCGTACAACTTATCATATTCGCAATATACACTACAAATAGGTATGTACCTAGTAACGAAAGGTGTCGCTTTTTGTTCCTACCAAGTCTATAGTTGATTGGCTACCTACAAAATGGCAACCAAAGGTTACACTAGGTGGGCAATCTTAGATCATCAACGCATAACATAAAGACTATGATTTAAAATGTATTTAGAAATATGCATATGTAAACGTGTAGAATACAAATTGTTTTGTTACTAAGTTATAAGACGATTTGTGATTTTATACAGGTAGAAAAAAGTACCGAATTAAAAAACGTTCCCTAAATAGCCGGTACTCGTTACTTTTGGAGTACCTACGTCAGACGTTACAATATAAAGTTCTGCTCTAATTCATCATTACTATTGTTATGCAAATTAAAGGTTGCGTTACTATAAATCTGCTAAGTACCTAATAAAATTACTTAAGATCACAATTGAAACATTATTCACATGATGTAAGTACCGAGATGAATTTCAAAATTGGTCAATTTTGAAATGTAATTTCAGAATAAGCGAAAGAGTAGTGTGGATCAAAATCTTATGGAAATAAAATTCGTACCATTTTCAAGTCAGCATTCTGCGCTTGGACATGATCCAGCGGTTCATGTGGTGATGAGCCCTGGTTGCCCATTTTATCGTTATTTCTGAACTAGTCTTTACACTACACAACTATCCACTTCACAATGTCCACCTTACGCGAAGTATACGCGTTGAATTTATTTATCATAGTAGTGATTCTTTCACAATCGTATTTGCCGAAGTTAACTGTTTCCTCCAATGACTGAAACCCGCTCGCACAATGAGATAACTTCGACGAAACATCACAAACAGAGCACAACACAAACAGTTCCACGAAATCGTTCAGCCTTCGTCGTTTTTTCTTATTTGATCTATTTTATTGTTTACCTTATAATTATCTAGGTAAAGGTTGTCTCGCAACAAAGTCTTTTACAACGGACTAATGACACAAAAGTCTAGAGATGCAGATTCAAGATGAAACACGAAATCGTGTGAATACGTTAACAATAAAAATTTAAAAATGGGGGTCAACTTTTCCCACAAACGATGAATAAACGCAGAGAGGCGCATTGAACCCGGTACCCGGTTCGCGGGGGGAGGGGGGTCCGTAGGTAGCTGGGAACGAGTGCCGATGCCAGCTGAACGTTATTTTTTCCCACAGCATTGTTCTTCCGACCGTAGAATATAACGATTTTTGAATTAAGTCGATTTTCAAATTTTCGAGGAGTGCACTACACTAGTATTGGAAAAGCACTACACTACATATTGACTAGAGGGAAAATAAAGTAAATACGAAGAAAAATGTGTCGGAAGCGCGCGCGCCGCGCGTGAGGCGGACAACTTTACTGTCGAGCCGAACTGACTGGTCGTAGAACGGCATGCGGCGTGCGTGAATCGCGCAAACCCTGCAGCGTGGAGCCCCTTTCGTCCCCTACCTCGCCCCTCGGGCGACCGGTCCTTACTCCTTTGCATTGTCAAGATTGACTACCGGTGAGGTCATCACATCAGGCAGTCAGAAATGTGAAGCTAAGTGATTTTGCAACCAAAGATCTAGACTTGGTATCGCTGTTCCAACAAATTTCACACTTAGGTAAGCCTTATCTTCTATAGCTTTTTCTGGACGTGGGCTTCGCGTGGATAGTAAATCTTATACCAACACTAAGGCCCAATTTCACTGAGGATTATTTATATTGATAAAAGTTGACCGACCGTCAAACGGGATATTTAGATTCTTAATGTCATGATTAATACCGTTATATACATTGAATAGTAACTGTCTTAGTTAATGTAATTATACGTCGGTAGAATTTGGGTTTAAGTTGAAAAGTATGTGTACAAAACCAAATGGCAGACCTCTCATGGCATCCGCCTGAATTGCAACAGCTGCTGCGCGGGCGGCTCGTGCGAGTGGGTCGGACGCAGGTGTTACCGGTTTATTGGCATACGAACACATGACATCAATGGATCATCTTAACATTCATTTGTATTATTTCGAAAAATATTTTCAGCATCTACCAATCTCTGTTACTTACTCTGCCCAACTTTTAGATAAACATATTACACGAATGACAGTTACATAATGTCGCATAGATTGATGTTCTTAAGCTGTCTGTAGCTTACGCGAGTAGTACACATTTAAATAAACCACTATAACGGTTTTAAATGCGATGTATATTAGTTAAACTTATTTGAATATTATTTTAACAACGACCCGACGTTTCGGATGCTTTGAGTTTCCCCGTGACCACGGCTGCTGCAAAGCATCCGAAACGTCGGGCTGAAGTTAGAAATCATTTTCAAATAAGTTTAACTAATATATCGCGTTTTAAACCGTTAAAGTGTTTTATTTAAATGTGTACTACTCGCGTAAACTATAGACAGTATTTAAAAATAAAATCTACAGTTACTTTTAAAATGAAGTAAAACTGTTTTTTATTTCCTCGTTGAGTCAGTCATTTGAGTCATCAGTTACATGAATTCCTATAATTTTAGTTCCTTAAGAACATGAGAACCTTTCTACGTGACGTCAAAGAATGTCGTATAAAAACCATACTTTTGAGAGAGGGCAAGATCAATGTTACGTTAGGCAATTTGGGCTTTAAAGATTTTTATTTCTTCATTAAATATTTTGCGCTAGTTTTTATTATTTTTCACGATCTAACAAACTGTAGAGTTTGACATTTTACATTACTTATTTCTTTTAACATTGCCCAATCTTGGACGAGGGGTTGTTCTGGACCCCTTCCCCCACTCTTTCTATAACACTGCCGCTAACAATCTTTATTAAAAAAAAAAAACAATAATTTTTATACATATCGTTTCCTGACACAATTTTATTGATATATTTTACGTGCTTATCACATAGGATGTTTCAAATACTCATTGATAAAATTTGGTATTTACTGAATTATTTATCACGCCGAGTGAGTAGGTTATATTAGCACATACATTATATTTATCGGATTTTATACTAGTTCTATCTTGATTTTGAATACGTAGTTTAAAATAATTATAACGATCAGAGCCACGAGGATATTGCACATTGAGTTCTATGTTTTGCATATAATATAATAAATAGTTTGAACGCTTATGTATATTTCATATTTTTGTCGGTAAAGTGTACTACAAATAATATCTTACTTTAAATACTGTCTATAGTTTACGCGAGTAGTACACATTTAAATAAAACACTTTAACGGTTTAAAACGCGATATATTAGTTAAACATATTTGAAAATGATTTTTAACTTCGGCCCGACGTTTCGGATGCTTTGCAGCAGCCGTGGTCACGGGGAGACTCCTTAATATCTTACTTTATTAAAAGTATTGCCCAAGTTCTCCGTATACATACTATAGAAAATCTATGGTCGAATAAAATGATTTTAAATTTTTTTAACTATAAGGTTAGACAGGAGTGGTTGTATGTTTATCGTATTAAGTACTAAACAATAAATTATTACACTAATGTTGAAAGTTTTTATATAATTTAACTTCAATGAAACAATTAATTGCCAAGTCCCTCCCTACTATAATTAATTATCATCCTATTTCAGACAAAGTATAAGGTCGTAAACGATAAAGGAAAGGCGTAAGAAATGTATAACGCGACAAAGTAATGTGTAAGTAAATACGAATCTAAAAGGCTAAAAGTAAACGCCCTGCATCGGTTTCACAAGATCATGTTTCACGTCATTCAAGAAGGGTCATTATAATAGCGATCAGAAGCATACAAAGTACACTTTGTTTAGGTTCAACGATGTTTACGTGCAGTTTTTCGAGAGAACAAGCATCCTTGTGAGAGACTATACATTATATGGAAGTTTGAGATCAACAGATAAATGTGGTAACTATTTTAATCTGATGACCTATATACATAAAGTTACAAGGTTTCGATAAATATACCGAAGAGACCGTGAAGTCTAAACCGCCAATTAAACACACAAAAATTCTTAAAGGTATGTTCTTCGTACGCAAGAAATAATAAAGGCGTTTCCGAATTAGCGATAGGGGAAAAATTTCGTACTCGCATGTAGCAAAGCAACGTCAACTTAATAATTTTGATAACTTTTAAATAAAACACTTTAAAGGTTTAAAACGCGATTTATGTTAGTTAAACATATTTGAATATTATTTTAACAACACCCGACGTTTCGGATGCTTTGAATTTCCCCGTGACCACGGCTGCTGTAAAGCATCCGAAACGTCCGGCCGAAGTTAAAAATCATTTTCAAATAAGTTTAACTAATACATCGCGTTTTAAACCGTTAAAGTGTTTTATTTAAATGTGTACTACTCGCGGCAACTATAGACAGTATTTAATTTTAATAACTATTCAGAAGTCATGTTTAATATTTTATTGATACCGATAAAAGATGTAGAAAGTTATGAATCATATAGGTATTTAAATGTAAAATAAAGAACTTAAGATGACAGACTCGTTCCAAGTATACAAAACTTATGGTCAAGTTATGTCAAAATGGATTCGGAATTCGAAAATCAAATGATTAATTCACACAGTTTTCTATCACAAGCACGAACAACGGCACCATAAACAAAAGACTCGAGGACAGTGACACTGTTACCTGTTACGCTTTTAGCAACCATAAAATTGCAGACTCAGTTATCTATTCAGCAGTTTCCGTTTCAGTGTATTTTACATAAGTACTTCTTATGTATAGATTAGAAACTTCTGTTTGACATTGACTCAAATGTCTCTCTGATACGATGGGCTTCGTTAATTAAGTCTATCGGTTACGGAATTCGCTACAAGGCCGCATACCTAACTATTAGAATTGACGCTCATGATAGGTCATGGAGCTTCGAGCGCACCTACACAATGGTAACCGAATAAGTTGCGTTTTATTCTTAGTTGATAGCTATAATACCTATTCATTCTGAGGAATTGAATGAAACTTTGCGTGAGATTTTAAAGGATAAATTTTTTGGTCAAGTATATATAAAATAAAGGAATATATTAATATTTCCACACAACGTTAAATATGAACGATAAACTTATATTAATTTACTAGATTGAACTTAAAAAGTGTGAAATCCTCTTTTCCCTCGTGGGGCATAGCGCCGAACACACGGCAGTGTCCGTTTCAATGATCGGTTTTATTTACAGGCAGTAGTTGATCAGACTTCTGTGCCCTGCCCTACCGAAACAATTTACTGTTTCCCCGGGATTCGAACCCAGGACCTCTCGCGCTTAACGCAAAGCTAGGCCACACGTTTAACCATTTCGCTACAGAGGCGGTCTTTGATTGAACTTATATTATTCTTATTTTGGGCATCGAAATTTATTTTTGCAAACCTCCTTCTAATCTTTAAAAATTATAACTGTGGTAATCACGACGTCAGTCGCGTCCCATCGTTCTTGCAAGTTAATCTTAAAAGACTATTATTATTATAGTAGATCATTAAACTTTTTGCTCCTATTGGTCGCAGCGTGACATTTTACCTAACCTATTCTTCCTTGATTGATGCTCTAAGCAACGCGAAAAGAATCCCTCAATTCGAACCAGCACCTGAGATTGGTGAGTTTAAACAAACAAACTCTTCGGCTACAAAATAAAAACAGAACTTTCTAACAGCAAAAATAAAGAGAATACAAAATACTAAAAATAAGTAGCATCCTTGTATAGACGAAATATTTGCACTAAAATAACTGCAGCTCGTTATAACGGCAACTGCTAAAGGTGAGATATTAAAAACAAGTGACATCTTGCATACCAACATTCGGTACTTGCCGTTACTTTAATTGCGATCACGTTAAACCACCGGATATTAGCACTATGCGGACGGACTTCGAATACACCTACAACATCAAAATCTAATGGCACTCAGTAACAAGCTGGCCGTCAACACGATTAGACCGATTAAAAGCACTAATTGTGCAAATGTTTTTATTCTGTGCTCTAACATTGTAATCAAAACGGCGCAATACGGCGATAAAGCTATGACCGCTTGGACCATGTTCAGTTGGAGAAGATTATACAATGGAAGGGGGGTAGAGACTGCTGAGGACTCGAGAGTGGAGCTACCGGCCGATACCAGGCAACTTGTTTACAATGTCTACGTTTACTTCAGTAGGCGACCGGGGAGAAGTGCGAAGACAGCTATTACGAAAACCGCACGGGCGACAATGGTGCCGAGGGATATAGTAGCTGATATAATACGGGATAAGTGTCAAGAATAGTCATAAAGTTAACAGCTAGAGATTTTTTACTCTGGCTTGGTATAATTATACGTCGTATTTAAGTACGAAATGATATTATATTTCATATGTGTGCGTTTAAAACATCTTATCGCGAAAGTATGTGTAAATATTAGAACCATAAACGTGAAAACCGCACGAAGTGAGAAATCACATCTGAGAACTTGTTTTAAAGTAATGTTAATGCTAATCACCTTCTCTATACTAATGGCAATGCAATTCAATGGCAGCTTAAAAAAGTTGTAAAATATTGCTTTTATATTTCTTTCATACAGAACAATCTAGAGTCGATTAATAATGTATCTTTTTAGACGATGTCACTTGTAAAGAAGTAGGCGGAACTTATAAGCGCTTAAATGTAATTTTATAATGAATATGTATAAGTCTAAGGAATATTGGAAAATTGATCTCGTAAAAATGTTTGTTAAAATAAAGATAGCTTCTTAATTTTGATGTAAATGTATTTGATTTCAACAAGTATCTTTGACATTTCAAAACCGGAAATAAATAATTATGAACAAGTATTATTTCCAGTCAAGGAAAACAAGCAAACGTATTACTACGTATTTTCAACGGAAAGTAATACTTGCTGATAACGTTACCTGTTCAGCTATGAAAAAAAAAATTGTGTTAGGAATAGATTTGAAAATAATTTGAACTCTGAACTTTCTAAAAATAAGATTGGAATATAGCCGAAGGGCTTTGTTCGCGCGTTTTGTTTCCGCAATCGATGTTAACAACATTTCAGCTGGAAATATGTATAATATCTATATATATATATATATATATATTTTTTACTTTTTTTTTTTTTTTTTTTTTTTTTATATAAAAGAAAATAAACATACCGGCGATTGATATCAAACGCTGAGCGTAAAATGCATTATAGCAAACAACACATGGCGAACTGAACGTACACTTACACAACCCGAGACCTCACCTTTAATCCACTCACTTTCCAGTCCAATTCTGTTATTTACATTGGCCGCTTGCTGGCCCGACTGGTAACATAGTAGAATGCTACTAACACAATGGTTTATCACACGACACTGGCTTTTAACAGCTCTTTAGCACAGTCTATCGTATCCCGTGGCTAAATACGCTCATATTACTCAACGTTTCAGCAAGATATATACAATGTAACGCTTGCCAAGTGCGAAGAAGCGAGTAGACCTGTATGAAGTGAACGCGGCTGATTACTCCACCGCACTGACTATTTCAGGCGGACTAAATACCTACATCAAGTGAAACACCAGCACTGATTCACACGAACCGAACGTTACAACACTTCAGGTATTAATGAAGGTTAAACCGACTTCTGGTCAGACTAAAAATAGGATACTGCAGAGCTATTGTTTTTCCATACATTTGAGGAAATGGGAAAATAATGTAAACTATAAACAGTGCACTTTGTACTATCGAATAATGTTTTTACAGCTTCACATTGTATGTTATGGCCTTCATGGTACAGTTCTAAACGCGTCAATGCAAATCGAAAGTCCGCTGTTCCGATTCCAGAGATAATATAGAAATTACTAGTGTCTATACTTTACGCGAGTAGTACACATAATAAAAGCACTTTAACGGTTTAAAACTGTTGTGATCACGTGAAGACTGTCTCCCCGTGACCACGGCTGCTGTAAATCATCCGAAACGTCGGGACGAAGTTAAAAATAATTTTCAAATAAGTTTAACTAATATATCGCGTTTTAAACCGTTAAAGTGTTTTATTTAAATTACTAGTGTCCTGTCTACTTAAAGTAATTGATTTTTAAATGGACATATAATTGTGTCTTATTGTCTAAATTAATCAAAAGTGCATTCTTTACACAGAATGTTAAATTAAATTTGCAAGGTCACTGATAAAAACTTTATTTCACTATTTCATAATTGGAGATATTAATTCATAATTTAACCCGTTTTTTTATCTGAACAATTCATACTTATTTATTAGTATTTCTAGACAATAATAATTGAAGTTGTTAAGTAAACAAACTTACTTCTAGTGTGACAAATTATATATTTATTCACATTGCAATGAGATTTATCACATTGTTTGATTTAGTCCTTATCATGAAAGTGCTAAGTTTAATTAATAATAATTGCACATTTAACTTGGTTTTCAAAATGTACATGTTAAATTACTCTGTATGTATTCTGTATTATGTTTGTCAGTAATTATGCTACTTAAAATAGAAAACAAGAATTAGATATACATATGGCAAAAAAAAAATTATGCATAGCAATTAGATCAAAACTATAACATTTTAACATGCTACTAAGTATATTTATACAGATACCGGTAAATTTTATGAATCCAATAAATATAAATAATGGAACATAAAGACAAATATTCAAGGAAAATATTGAATAAAACCAGTTAGTTTTTACTCAGTATTAAACACGGTGGAAGATACATATATAATATTATTACAATTTATCTACATCGAGTTTTATCAATAAGAAAGGTACCTATTTAGAAACTTTTATGGGTGTATATTGATTACAAATTTCCCCTTTAACATCAAACGTTTTTAGACAACTGTGTTAGAATACATCCATGTAAGACTAATTAAATATTTTTCTGCAAAGAATTTTATCATTATTGAAACAAATAGGCACTTTGAAATGGAAACATTATGTAGTTCTAAAATTAAAATCTTCGTCTAACATCAAGTTCTTTTTTAATTATGATAAAACATTAAAAGTAGCTTGGTCAAATTGCCCTAATGATACATGCAAAATATTAATATTAATTACCACTGCATTTTTCTATAGCATCAGTTGCTAGTATGGGATACAGATAAAAAATATTTGCAGAGAGTTTACGCAATAAAAGATATTCCAAAAAATATATAACAACATAGTAGAACTTACACATATAATATTATTTTTCCACTTACCAGTCATAAATCGATTTCATACTAATTGTCGCGAGTCCGTGGAAATTAACAAGCGTTGCAAATATGGAAATTAATACATGAACACTGTAAACCGGCGAGTGAAATTTAAATACAGAAACACCCCACACTGTTCCATTTAATGTATTGATTAAAAATAGTAGGTAAAGGTTACAATAAAATTATTTTACGAATTAGTTTCTTCGCTTTAATCACATTTTTTAAAAGAATATAAAACACCAATAAAGTGTCAAGTAATTTGACCGCGATTCTAAAATATATTTATTACAGTTTTAGGTTTTTTGAAGATGGATTTTCTTATTTCCCTTCGGGTTTTGAGTTTTGGTAGTTGACAACGATGTCAAAAAGTGACAACTATTGACGGTTTGACGAGAATGTTCCTCAGGGACAAAATATAAATTCTTTTATTCCCTTTCTTTTTAAAGGAATATGATGAAAAAAATAATAAGTTTAAGTCATTAATTATAATTATCATTTTAATAAAATAAACAAATGCAACGTGTATTAACTTAAAAATAAATTATTTATATTCACCACAGGCATTTCTTAGTCGTTCAGTGGTTGTCACTGCTTGACAACTGCCAGCTGTCAAATGTTAATGCAGTCTAAGACTCTAAGTAAATATTCTGTTTTTATTATTCTTACTTCAAATTTCAACTTTAGAATTAATCATAATAAATAACATATTTAAATAAAATACTTAACTATTTTTACTGTATGTGATGTTTTATTTCTTCAGGTTTTTCATTATTTAACTTTTCTTGTTTACAAACAAAACCTTTCTTTTTCAGGGGTTTCCGGCTAATACAAGAAGCGAAAAGCTATAAGCATTTTGTGTTATTTATATTAATTTCAACCATGGATACAGTTGTAAAGGGTATGTTAGAAGAATCCGAGGAAGAGAAGCCAGTAAGATTTTCTCATTAAATTGTAGCTTAAAATTAGATCCGTGCGGTTTTTACATTAGGTTATTAGTACTTTCTGGAAGTCTTGTTATGTAATTTTTATATATTTAAACCTAAACCTTTGTATGAAGTTTTAAAAAAACCCTTATTGTTGCTTCTTGAGTTGAGACATTTTAATTATAATTATTAAATTCTACTTTATTTTTAAATCAACACTTTTTCCAGGGAATAATGCTTTTTGGAAGAGACTTGTCAAAGATACCTTGTTTTCGGGAAAGTTTCATCTGTGGTATAGCATCAGGAGTCGGAATGGGCTTTGCGTCCTTTATGAAAACCTCAAAACCTTTGCTGTCACAGCATGTTGGTTTTGGTACCTTTGCGATGTCAACATTAGTTTATTGGTCATATTGCAGATGGCAATGGTCAAAGCAGAGATTTGATGCTCAATTATTACAGGATTGCCTAAAAGAAAGAATAATATATGAGGGTACACAAGTTGAGAAAGAGTTAGAAGGAAAAGGTATTTTAAAATCAGTTTAGAATGATAACTAATAAAACTATCTAAAATCCACCACTATAAAAAAGTTGGTAAATGCTGAAATTTGTATTTTACATGAACAGTCTACCCAATCCTTATACATATATTGGTCAACAAGCTTTCCAATGTATTGCTCAATAACCATGTATTGAAGTGCATACAGCGTCACTTATTTATTGTAATATTTTGTTAAAATAAGTATATTTTATTAATATAAGTAGAATAGATTGTTTGTATTATAGTAGAGAGCAATAAATTTTTAGATTCTATGTTTTCTTTTATTTCAACACTATATTAATTTCAGGATAATTTCTCGAGTAATTATTGTTTAGCTACATTACCCATTAGTCTTGGTATCAAGTACTAATTTCAAATAAATTTTCTTATTCTGGCAATGTGATTACTGTATAATGAATAATTTGTGTGTAATATACATACGCCTTACTTGAAGACAAAGCAATTACTTTTTCTGTCCATTTTGCCAGTACTAGTACAGTACAGTTAGTATTTATCTAAAATTATTTTTCATGCAGTTTGTGTCATGCTGGTGTAGTGGTTTGTGCCTCCGAGATTTGTTAGGACTTCCCTCTACAGCCAATGCAGAAAAATTATAATTAATAAATTATATTTAGCGTGGTTTTTTAAAAAACGACATGTCTTAAAACCAAAAATTCCACCATATGTATTGTCTGGCAACTTCCAATATACATTTAGCCCAAGATTAGGAATAGAAAGTTCCAGTTGTAAAAACAATTAGAAGACTGTTGACAATGATAACTTATGGCGGTTACTACGTCAAATTGCATAGAATTAACCTGGTTTTTCGCATACTAAACTAATTGCAGTGCACTTAAATTTCAAGGTTCATTAGAAAAGGTTTATATAGTTTGGGATTTAATGTTTAGGTTGCTAGTTTATTTAACTTATCTATGGCCAACAAATTCGGAGGCATTAGGGCGGTTCTGTTTTTTTATGATAGAGATAGACAAACAAACATTGGTTTTATTAGATAGAAGGTGAAATTCCCAAGCCATATAACATTTAAACAAGATAGACTGTCGACTGTCATTTGTCTTTAGATATTAGGAAAACCACAGAGATAAACCGAAACGCAATTAAACATCACTATCCACTCGCTGTTTCCATCTGTGGATAGTGGATCGTCATGTAGACGGAATTTCGATATTCCAACCATACATGTAATTTCCAGATGTAGCCCAAAACCTGGTGAGCCTTTGGGGACAGAACCCACTATCCGTCGATTAGTCAAATGCCATGGTAGACCAACGAGGCTTTCGGTAGGATTTTTCAAAATAAGACGACTCCTCATAATTAATGCTATAGTATCATTACAAATGTAATTCGTAGCTAAATACGAGTCTATAGTTACGCGAGTAGTATAAATGTAAATATCGTTTTAAGGAAATAATAAGACGCTAAAAATCATTTTCAAATAAGTTTAACTATATATCGCTTTAAATTAAATTTTATTTAAATAATTCGTAGCTACTTAAATATTTATATGTTGACCGGGTACATTTACAACTAGACCTATGATCCAGAAATCTACCATCCAATCACCAATCGGGCAAAATGCTGGTCCAGTAAATCGATATTTTCTAATACCAGGGCAGTTGGAAATGGGAGGTGTTATGAGCCCCTGTGTAGGCAGCTTGTCATTTCAGATGTATCTATAAATAATGCTAGGTAAGAAAGTCGAATCTTCTTTGCCTTTCAAATACTCATCGATCGTCGGTACTAACTCCATCACTGTATTAAGAAATTAAAACACGCAAACAAATCCGAGCATAGAAATCGCTTACGCAGTAATTGAGTTGTTTTTTTTTTATATTAAACGTTAATGGGCATTAATTGACCGATTTCTAGATTCGTTTCTATTCACATTATTTGATAATATTGTGTAAAACAAACAATCGGACTTTAATACTCTAGAATCAATGATCAATGAATCCTCTTGAAAGACTCTAGAGTCATTGATCAATTGAACAGATAGAACATTTAATATTTCTTACATGTATTGCACAATATGATGGCATTACATACATTAAAAATCTATTTCGATTAAAACATTTTTACGACGTGGGCGAGCCTTGAACTGGCATCAACAGCGTTCCGTGCTGCTGCTATAACCACTGTATTGTAGCTCTATATTTTAGATGCCAAGGTTCAAAATGGCCCCTATCTTAATTTATTCAATCAACATACATTTTCAATTTATATGTATTACAGTGTAAGTGACTGATTCTTGAAACCTTCCAATTTGCATACATGAAATATAATATTTTAAGTTACAAAAAACAGCGAAACAGATTTGTGATGAAACTTTTTCATCCATTTGAATGTCCATCATTTCTGAGGCCCCCTGACCACGGCTGCGTAAAAACTGCATCGGAAACGTCAATCTTTAACAATTAATTACTATTTTAGATTTCTTTCACAGCAGTAGTGTTTAAACTGTTTAAAAAAATACCTCTCCAAAATAAATGCCATATCAATTGAATTCCTGTTTTTATGTAATGGCAAGTGGCAACGAATTTTTACTTAAAAATTAAGGGAAAAAGCGACATCACGGGCGAGATTCGAACCTTTGGCCAATAGCGTACCGTGCTCAACAAACTATTGTGTCGCGTGTCAGAAAATTGGATGACGTATATTTAATGTTATGGGTTATGGTTCAGTAAAGGGTGACTATCATCTATAAGATATCGAACAATGATAAGATATAATCATTAAATGATCATATTTGTTATTCGATCGAAGCATTTTTAATAATTAATTACTTACCAACATTTGGTTAGATTATGATAACTTTATCTATAGCTTTCATTCCTACATTTGAAGCTTATCTTCTTCTCTGATTCCTTGTCATGATGACTTTCAAAAGATGTTCGCCACGCATTGATTCATTATCTCATTATATCATTTTACAAAAATAATAAATTATTAATGATTGTAGATTGTACTAGATATAGCTAGTATTTCCCTTGATTTGAAGTGATCAGTATTAGCACACTGAAATACTTAGGTATAGGTAATCCAACTAAAATCGCAATAAAATTAGTACAAATTATACAATAACAATAATTATAAAATCTAAAATCTATAATTATAATAATTATAGATTAGGGTTAACAATTTAATATCGTAAATCTAGGTTGTTAACGTTTCGGTCGGGCAGGGCACAAAAAACCTGATCTTTGCTGCTATCTTATTATAGTTGTGTAAATATAGTAAGTACAAGTGAGGTGAGAATCTATGATGAGATAACCTTTAGTTTAAATAAAACACTTTAACGGTTTAAAACGCGATATGTTAGTTAAACTTATTTGAAAATGGTTTTTAACTTCGGGCCGACGTTAACCTTTAGTTATTCAAGAGAAAAAAATATTAACTAAAATTAATTTTTTTTTCCTATCTGTATGTAAACGCTAATATCCGATATTGATGTAAGGATCTCTTCGCGGTTTTCACCGTTTCAAAATATAGGTCTTGTTGATAACACTGAGGAAAAAAAGTTATTCATTGAAAAACAAGTTATTATACGAAATACAATAAAACAAAAATACATTAAAAACAAATATTTTCTACAAGTGTGATTCATGACTTAGCTAAGAGAAGTATACAGGTACAGTTTAGATTTTTTAAAATTAGAATAACATTAAGTTATGATTACAGGCTGCATTCAACTCATCTAAGCACAATGCTAGTGAAAGCGCAAGTAGATATTATGTAGTGCATCATCATATATAAGGCAAAACAAGAAACAAAGCAAACAAATACAGTTTATTTATAGAGCTATCTGTGACATTTAATTTGTTTACGTAGGTATCCTTTTAGCATTTGTTAGTGGTCCAATAAAATCTCATTATAACACATGCTTGGAAATAATACTTAACAGGGGCTTTAGTCAAGTTAATAAGTAAATGAAACATGTGTACCTTACCTTTAACTAGATATTTTTATTTGTAATTTTAAAATTTTACTTGTCAAAATATTAGAATTTATTGATATCGAGCAGAAATGGTCTCAATAATGCGTTGTTTGAAGAGGAATCGAACCCCCCTTAAAATTCCCTTTTCTGTATCAACTGAGTATTTTTAAGGTTGACATTTTTATCAAAAAAAAGAGCAAAAAAAATCACTGTTTGTAGTTTACGTGAGTACTTTACATTTAAATAAAAACTTAACGGTTTAAAACGCGATATATTAGTTAAACTTATTTGAAAATGATTTTTAACTTCGGCCCCCCGACGTTTCGGATGCTTTGCAGCCCAGCCGTGGTCACGGGGAGACCCCCGTTCAAAAAAATCACGTTTGTTTCTTAGGAGTACTTTACATATTTTTTTGTTTTTTTGCTATAGCGGCAAAGAAAATATATGATTTCTGAAAATGAAAACTTTAATTTTCAGAAATAAAGGCTGGTAACATACAAACGGTGAGCTGGCGTAGTCATATTAATTATAGAGTCCTTTACCCTTTGTGCACGGAACCCAAACAAACATAACTAAAAAAGTATGAGATTGACATGCACTGTCAAACCCATATTGATGCACAACGAACACAGTTATCGTATTTTGTTGAGGCTAAGTCCACAGTAGTGCTCCACCGAACGCAGTAGATACATACATAACACAAAGTCGTTAGCTGCGAGTAAATATTTTCATAAATCGCCCAGGCCTCAGTCGTTCGACAGCGGCCAAGAAAGTTGCGAGTGTCGTCAAGTGGATAATATATTGAATTCTACCGTTACTGAACGCGGTGAAAACATGTCAAATATAGAAGATTTTTTGCCACCAAAAAGAACGACTACACTGGAATTTTTCGTCAACGGTAAAAAGGTATGTTATTCGTTGTTTACGTGTGTTTTTAATGATTAATAATTAATGAAAATTCATAAACGCAATCGAGTATTAGGTGAAGGAGAAGTACACGGATTGTATTGTACTTAAATATTAATGACAATATTTACTTAAGTTAAACGGTTTTTAAAATGATGTTAATTGTTTCATTATTTCTTAAATACTCTATCGTTTGTTTCTAGACACGCAAACACTAACTGCGTTTAGTAAAAACGTTTTATAAAACTTCTGCTCGTATATCGTTACGATGTTAAGCTTGCATAAGATGTTCATTCGTTTTTTATACTTACGTAGACTACATATATACCATTATCTATAAGTGCGCGCTAAATTTTAGTTACGAAATAAATTTGACTATGAAAAAATTCAATTCATGTAAAAATAAGCAGAATTTGCATTCATGAGAAAACTCGTCGTCGGGAATATCTAAATATTAAATATTTTTTTCTTGTCCGTTTAATATACTTTTATACGTACAATTTCGAAATGCATACCTTTGTGTATAATATAAATATCAATCACTAATTACATAACACAAAAAAAATACAGGACAAGGCAACAACAATATTTGTTTTCAGGGCTATTTTATTTTTTATAATTTTATCTACATTATTATTATGAGGTATTTTTCATCATTCATCTTTAATATCATTTTTAGTCTGAATTATCTCATTATATCCTATGTTAGTCCTCGTTGTTTATAACCTCATAGGAACTACCATTTTATAGTAAGTTAAAGTAGATTAATTAAACTGTACACCTAATTAAGAAACCTTATTATTAATAAAACAAAAACCTTTTAAATGCCAATACAACGTTCAATCCTAACATATACTTATTTAAAAGATAATAAATAATAAACTTAAACATTACATTTTCAGGTAGTAGAGCCAAAGCCAGATCCAGAATGGACTTTGCTTTGGTACTTGCGAAAGAAGCTCCATCTCACTGGAACGAAGTACGGGTGTGGCGAAGGCGGCTGTGGTGCATGCACCGTCATGATTTCGCAGTACATCAAGGACGAGGAACGTATCAAGTATCCTTTTAATACGCGTATTGCTTTGACCGAACTAATTAGTATTACGAAATATTCACACTCTTCGAACCGATTCAAGTTAGTTCAATTGATATGTGAGTGTTATAAGTTCAATTCGTAGAGAAATGATAAGGAGTCGAAATCATCTACGACTCGGTGAGGTTTTGAACTAGCACCCACAGCGTGCCGTGCTGTTGCTCTAGAGTGCCACTTGCGACTTGCTCCGAGTCGTATTTTTGTTCAATTTATAATCGATTTTTAATTTATATAGCGCAATAACATGTGAAAATTTTAAGATTTCAAAGACAAGTCATGTCAAGAGATTATGTTCTAATCTCTTTTATCAATCGAATTTATTTTTTTTATTAAATTAAGACCTCATCGAAATTATAAAGATACAATTAGTATCGTAATTCTCGAAATATTGGTTTCTCTCCGAATTAACCGCGAAACATGAAACTGACACTTGAAGAATGGTATCTTGTAATTGGAATATTATTCCTAATCTATAAATCAGACACTATGCAGTTAATGCATGCTTGATGCCGCTGTGTGTTATGCAAGGTATGGCTGTAACTACCGTAGAAGGTATTGGTTCTACCCAAGATAAGTTACACCCAGTTCAGGAAAGAATAGCAAACGCTCACGGCTCTCAATGTGGCTTTTGCACTCCAGGTATTGTTATGTCAATGTACGCCCTTCTGAGGACCAAAAATAAGATCGATTTTAACGATATAGATACGGCGTTACAGGGGAACCTATGTAGATGCACAGGATATCGGCCGATTATCGAAGGATTTAGGACTTTTATAGAGGAGTGGGAATATCACTATAATGGACAATCAAATGGTATAGAAAAGACAACACCTTGCATGATGGGAAAGGATTGCTGTCGTCTTAATAATAAGGAAAATGGAGAAAAGGAATTGACCCTTTATAACAAATCAGAATTCACACCGTACAGCTCCAGTCAGGAACCAATTTTTCCACCTGAATTAAAATTAAATTGTACTCATTATACATCAAGTCTTGCTATTTTTAAAGGGCATGATACAACATGGATAAGGCCTATTTCATTAGACGAATTACTTCTCCTCAAAAAACAATTTCCGCACAGCAAACTTGTAGCGGGCAACACGGAAGTTGGTGTAGAAGTGAAATTCAAGAAGATGGTATATCCAATTTTAATATCTCCAATTATATTAAAAGAAATGAACTTTATACGTCCAACGAATGATGGCTTGGAGATTGGAGCTGCTGCATCTTTGACCGATATCATGTCATTCATGTCAAGTTTTATTAAGAAAGGCAGTAATAAGGGCAAAACTTTTGAAGCTATTCAAGATATGTTGCATTGGTTTGCGGGTACACAAATTCGTAATACGGCATCTCTCGTAGGTAATATTATCACAGCAAGTCCTATTTCTGATTTGAATCCTATATTAATGGCATCTTCCGCATCATTGGTTGTGAAGAGCTTGGATCGTGGGGAAAGAGAGCTCATTATCGATACGAATTTCTTTAAAGGCTATAGAAAAGTAGCTCTCAGTGAAGATGAGGTAGTATTATTTGTACGAATACCTTTTACAAGCGAAGATCAATATATTAAAGCTTACAAACAAGCCAAACGCAGGGAAGATGATATATCAATAGTAACAGCAGCATTTAATGTTGAGTTTGAGAGAAATAGCCTCAAGGTTGCAGATGCAAAGTTATGTTTCGGAGGAATGGCTCCAACTACAGTATGTGCTACACAAACATCAGATTTGATAAAAGGAAAGAGCTGGGACCAAGTATTACTCAAAACAGTATTTGATTCCTTAACAGAGGAATTTAAATTAGATAGCTCAGTGCCAGGAGGAATGGCTGAATACAGAAAATCACTTTGTCTTAGTCTCTTCTTCAGATATTACTTACACGTTTTACAAATAAGGAGTGTTAATGGATCCAGGCCAGCCAATTATGAATTATCTGGTAGTGAAGAAATATCTGCCTTGGAACCAAAAAGTTCACAATGCTTTGAAATTAAAAATAATGACAAAAACATATATGATGCTGTTGGAAAACCAGTTGTACATATGTCGGCACTAAAACAAGCTACAGGGGAGGCAATTTATTGTGACGATCTGCCGACTATGGCGGAAGAATTGTACTTGACTGTAGTGTTTAGCAAAGAATCGTATGCAAAAATAAAATCTATTGATGCATCTCGAGCTCTGGCAATGGACGGTGTGGTGGCCTTTTTTTCAAGAGCAGATATAGCAAAAGAACATAATAAAATGGGTGCTGTAATAAAAGATGAGGAGGTCTTTGCACAAGATATTGTTACAAGCCGGTCATGTGTTGTAGGAGCTATAGTCGCTAAGACCGAGCAAATTGCAAGAAAAGCTAAAGAATTAGTTTCGGTAACATATGAAAAGCTAGAACCTGTTATAGTAACTATAGAAGATGCTATAGAACATAATTCATATTTTTCTGGAAGTTACCGACAACTTGTACACGGAAATGTGAATGAGGCCTTTAAAACTTCAGCCCATTCCAAAAATAGTTATGTCAGGATTGGTGCACAGGAACACTTTTACTTAGAGACTGTTTCAGCTTTTGCTGTAAGAAAGGAAGATGAGTTAGAAATAATTTGTAGTTCTCAAAACCCTGCTGAAGTTGCGGTGAGGATTTTTCTTTTAAAAATTATTAAAATATTAATTATTGTTTATTAATACCATCTTCTTTATTTTGCACATATATTTAACGGAAGACAAAACAATAAAATTTAATAAATAAGAACTAATTTAGCATAGTAATTTTTATAACCTTAAATTGGTCTTTCAGCTAACCATGTCGGAAGTATTAAATATACCACACAATAAAGTTTATGCCAAAGCTAAAAGACTCGGTGGTGGTTTTGGTGGTAAGGAGACCAGACCATTGTTGCTTATAGCTCCAGTAGCTTTGGCAGCTTATCGGTTAAGGAAGCCCGTCAGAGGGGTCTTGGACAGAGACGAAGACATGCAAGGTTCAGGCTACAGGCATCCATGTTTAATCAAATATAAAGTAGCTTTCGACAACACTGGAAAAATTAACGGCGCTATATTCGATGTTTATGCGAATGGAGGAAATTATACCGATATATCTAATTCTGTAAGCTTTACTTTTTATACTTAATAACTATTAGCAGTATCATAGTTATCTAGTCAGAGATTTATATTATGTAAACAAAAATGTTTCAGATGCTGGAAAGACTGATGACACATCTTGATAATTGTTGCATAATTCCAAACGTAGAAATCAATTTAAATCTTTGTAAGACTAATACCCCATCGAATACAGCATTTAGAGGATTCGGTGCACCCCAAGCAATGTTTGCTACCGAAAACATGCTCAGGGATGTAGCGTCCGCTTTAAATAAGAGTTATGAAGATGTTTTTGAAATAAACATGTACCGAGAGAAGGATACGACTTATTATGACCAAGAACTGATACACTGTACAATACCACGGTGTTGGTCTGAATGTATTGAATCATCAAACTATTGGCAGAGAAAAAAAGACGTGGAGGAGTTTAACAGGTACGATCTTAATATATTTTTTTTAGATTACACTCATCACTTTACTCATTAAGCACCTATGAAGGTAATTAACTCTCATTTATAGGATGTAGATGTAGAAATAATTTCTTATAATACAGTATATATTTTCAAAAACTGTAAACGTGTTTACGAATTAATTTCCTAATTTATGCTTCATATTTTCAGATTAAATCGCTGGAAAAAGAAAGGCATAACCGTGGTTCCAACAAAATATGGAATATCATTTCAAATTGATGTGTTAATGCAGGGAGGCGCTTTAATCTTGGTATACACAGATGGATCCGTACTTTTGTCTATTGGCGGAGTTGAAATGGGGCAAGGACTTTTTACGAAAATGATTCAAGTAGCATCACGCGTTCTGGAAATTGATGTATCCAAAATTTACATCAGCGAAATGGCAACTGATAAAGTCCCCAATAGTTCTCCCACAGCAGCCAGTGTTAGTTCTGATTTATATGGTATGGCTGTATTAAATGCATGTACAACAATTAAGGAGCGTTTGGAGCCAATCAGGGCAAAAAATCCTAATGGGAAGTGGGAAGATTGGGTCGCAACTGCGTATGTAGAGCGAGTTAGTCTATCAGCGACCGGATTCTATGCAGCTCCAAAAATAGACTTTAACCGAGATACAAACTCAGGAAGGCTATTTGAATATTACACGTTTGGCGTTGCATGTTCCGAGGTAATAATCGACTGTTTAACGGGAGACCACCAAGTTCTTCGTACTGACATAGTTATGGACCTAGGGGAAAGTCTTAATCCAGCGATTGATATTGGTCAAATAGAAGGTGGATTTATGCAAGGATATGGTCTGTTTACAATGGAAGAAATGCTGTATTCACCGACTGGCGAAATCTTATCCCGAGGGCCAGGGGCTTACAAGATACCTGGTTTCTCGGATATACCGAAAGAATTTAATGTTTCTTTGTTGAAGGGGGCTCCAAATCCACGAGCTGTTTACTCGTCAAAGGTAAGTTAATTTTTTTGTAATAATTACTCTAGTATGTCAGCAAAGAGTTGCGTAACTTAAACTATTTCTTTAATGTTTTTCAGGCAGTTGGTGAGCCCCCACTATTCCTAGCAGCTTCGGTTTTCTTTGCCATCAAAGAAGCTATAAGGGCAGCTCGCTTGGATGCTGGCGTCAACCCTGACTTCGTGCTGGAAGCACCAGCAACGTGCGCCCGCATCAGAATGGCTTGCGAAGACCATATTACAAAACAGGTAAATTTCCATCTAATGATTAGTATTTCAAGGCCTTACAAACATCGACCTAATTGGATATATTTTAAATCGCAGTCACGCAAATATCCAGTTTTTTTTTATATATCTGAATGTAATTGTAATGTATTAGTAATTAATTTTAAGTGCATTGTAATATATTTACAATCTAAGTAGTTAGTAATTAATAAAACAAAACAGATTAATCGTTCAACTTAACTACCCTCTTAGGTAGTTTGGGAGAGAAAACACATTAAAAGAAGGCAAACAATTTTAAGAATGCAATAGTTTTTTTAATTATATTTAAATTTTACACAAAAGCACAAATATAAATTATGAACACGGTTTTAGATTAAATACTGTTTATAGATTACGCGAGTAGTACGGGTCACACGTCTGCTGCAAAGCATCCGAAACGTCGGGCCGAAGTTAAAAATCATTTTCAAATAAGTTTAACTTATATATCGCGTTTTAAACCGCTAAAGTGTTTTATTTAAACGGTTTTAGATACTTAGTTCTTTGTAGGTACTACTCTCCTAAATAGTCACTAAAAAGCAATATGGAAAAACTGGCAATCTAACTAAAAATAATGAATAATTCATTAATACAAATAATAAGCTTGTTATTTATAGATTTAACAAAATTTTCTCACGTGGTAATAATAATATGAATATTAGAGGCCATGCGTGTATATACAGTTTAATCCGTTTTTTATGACTCCGCTTATTTTGACCAACCGTTTATTATGAAGTCATTACGCTACGAAGTTTGGTTTTCATATAAAATCTTTATGACGTTCGCTTATTATGACGTATTTGTCAGTTCCTTTCGACGTCATTATAAACGGATTCAACTGATATACAAAATATTAAATTAACTTACAATGGGAATTTGCAAGAATTACTTTGGGACGGAAGTCAAATATATTATTAAAAGTAGCTGTGGCCCTGACACGAAAAGTTATTTTGGGCACTAAAAATTGTTTTTGCAAACCTCTTTATATAACGACGTCGTTGTAACCCACGACGTCATCCGCGTCCCATCGTTCTTGCAAGTTAATCTTAAAAGATAGACATGAAATGTCGGGGACAATTTTTTAGATCATTTAAAGAGGATGGAGGAGGATTTATTGTTACATATTTGACTGTTTCTAAAAAGCCTTCCTCGTTAACAAACACATAAACAATTTTTCAATTCGAACCAGTAGCTTCTAATATTAGCGTTCAAACAAACAAACCTTTATAATATTAGTATAGATTAAAATGTCTTTCAAGGTCCAAATCCAATAATAAATAAAACTGTTCTATCAATGTCGTTAAGATAAACTGTAAGGTTCATACTTATGATAAAAGGGCATTCATTGTTCACTTGACGTCATCTCAAGTCTGAACTTTGAATGAAAATTTGTTTTAAAGCGCATGAACCTTATTAATGAAAAACTGGTTTGAGATAAGATTATGAGAATCTTTGTGGTCAGTTTACATATTAATCGAGCCTGCTGGCCACGACACTAAATTCCACTTCGATTGATGAAATATTGTGCAACACTACAGTACAGGGTCAGGTAGTAAACGTATTTTGCACAAGAACTAAATATACGATGTTCCTTAATATAAAATACTGGCTGTAACTCACGACATCCACGTCCCGGCGTTCTTGAGAGCTTATCTTAAAATATAGACATATATCTGTATCCTGAACCGTTTTTGCAGCGCGCGCAACGAAATACTACAAGAATGAATAATCCATTAAAAACCCCCCCGCGGGCCCCCCCCCCCCCCCCCCCCTCGCTTCCGTGCTGTTGCTCTACCAATTGAGCTACCGAGTCCACCTCATTAATTTTTTCAACTTATTGATACATGCACCTCCCCAATTATTTTACCTTAAACTTATTGAAAATTTTTTCAATTTATTTTCGATTTTTAAATTATATAGTGCCTTCTCATAAATTGAAAAATATAATGTTTTCATCTTTCCAGCTTTTTTCACATTTTCCACGTTTTCTTCGCTCCTGTTGGTTGCAGCGTGATACCTTTATGCCTTCCTCGATAAACTAACGCAAAAATAATTTCAATTCGAACTTGTAATTTCTGAGATGAGCGCGTTCAAACAAACAAACAAACTCGTCAGCTTTAATATTAGTGTATATATTAAAATGTCTTTATTTTTACAGGTTATACCAACGATAAAAAATGTCGGTCGGCCCTGGAATGTAACTCCGTAACTCAGCACGGGCGTAAGGAAACGAAAATTTAGATTTTATTGACTTATTTAAATATAGAATACAAGCCCCTTCACATTTAGTTGTTACAAGAGTCTTATTAGTGAAGAGAGATTATATTTGTTAAAAAAATCTAAAGTAATTAGAAAGTGTGAATTTATCAACTTTATTGCGCCAGTACATAAATTGTATTTTTTTATTTCAAATTTATTCGAGACCATGGTTTATAGGACACATTATAAATGTTTTGAACTTAAAAATTTTAGTTTGTTATGATTTAAGACTAATATTTATATACTGTAAGCAAATGTACACATGAAGAAACGGTAAAAATATAAAACATGATCCCCGAAGCTATGGCTATTAAAAAGTGTCTGACGTCCGCGTCGGGTCTAGTTTAATAAATTGTATATTTCGCATTTTATACCGTAAAATAGATTTCTTTATATTGTTTTATGTTTAAGAAAATTATTGTCTTCTGTGTATGTCCATGTGAATAAAACTGACATTAATAGCTTTAAAACTGTCTAAGCGTTTTATTACAATGTTTTTTTAAGCTTTCACACTGACCGTCACATGCCTAATCCAAATTATCTGAAAACTGAAGGAAATGCGCTGGTTAAAGTATATTTTAACGCTCAGTGGCAAGACAAGCAAATAAAAAAAAATGTTGGTGCATTTTTTTTTATTTATTTATTATAGGATACCACAGCAAAACTCAGCAATGATTAAGAATATTTCATTGGTTTATGGATATGTTCCCTTACTTGTTTCTATTCAGATGTATACAAGATTAAAAAAAAAATTGAATCCCAGTTATTGACAGAAAAATAACAAAAAATACAGCAGTTACAAATTAAAGTACGCAAGGAAAAGACTTTGGATATTCGGAAATACACAGAGTGAAACCGCAACGCGATTAAGCTTCACGGCTTTTTTATCAATGGACGGTGATTCGTGACTCGTACGGAAATTGGGAATCCAGACTTTCTAGATTCATTCTCCTCTGATCTGATATTTCTTTCTGGATTGGGCATGACATATTCTATTTTTAATTACAACATTTGAATAAAATCTGCAAAGCTAGACATTAGTGGCCAGATTGAAGCTAGATTCATAACGGTCCTATTAAGTATTTATAAATACGTACTAAGTAGGTACAGTACAAGAAAATATGTATTTATACGAGTTGGAATATTCTAATATTATAATAAATATAAATAGATACAAATACAAGTAAGACCTGATTTATATATAGGTTTAGTACTGACGTTGGGTCACAGTTTTTTAAACGTTAACGGTTGTGATACATTTAAAAATTTTTTGTTGATTTTTTTTAATGAATGAATTTAATTGAAAGATTTAATTAAATGAATTGTATTTTAGTTATATGTTTTAATTGTTATTAAAGTTATCGATCAACTTGTCTCAACTACATTGGATTAACACCTGTATCTTATGACGTAAAATAAGGAAATTATTAGAATATAAAAAACCAGTTTACTTTACAAATTTACCGTATTATTAATAAAAGACGTACATTATAAGAGTCTTGATGTATTAAAAATAAACTTAAAAAGTAACTCCGGTGCACTGCACCGAACAGTGATCAGATGTAACAGTTTTAAAAGGGAGAGAAAAGATATCTAATCAGGTTATCGGGTTACGTGAAAATTGATATCAAAGTCTAAGTGGATAATATTTCAGTCTAATTGCAGTTATGAATGAATTCATGTTTCGTTTATAAGCAATCAACCTGTTGCTGAGTACAAGTCACGCTATTTCGTATTGACGACTTACATACATTGTAGAGGTTCTTCTGTAGGCAGGGGGAGATATCGTTTAATCGCTTAGCATGTCATTTTCGTCCTGTTCGGCCGACGTGAGCGAGAAGAGATTCTCTCTTGAAAAAAATAAGCCCACTAATTGAGGAATACAAATAGAAGAAGCTGACATCAAGCTACTAAAGGAAATGATGAATTTCCGTGAAGGATCGGGAAACTTAAGGATGCACAGTGCGCTTTGTATAACTTAACATCCCTTAAAGGAGGGGAATGGCGAACTAAGTGAACAGGTCAGCATTTTATGAGGACTAATCACCCGACCTTCCATCGGTATCTGAGGAAATAAATAAAGTCTTGCCGTATACCCGGCAAAAAAATAAAATGGCGTGAGACTTGGGGAACCTTCGATAACACTGAAAGTTCTAGATAAAGTTAGTTATCCTATAAAAAGTATAACTTCATATACTTATTTGTATGTTTTCTTCTAGATATAAATTAATTCAATCAATACAAAGTTACAATATAATACTTTCAAAAGTATATAACAGTGCCTTTAAACTTTACTTTTTTTTTAAATACCTTAAACTCCACACGTAAATACCTATAAGACATTGTTATGTGCGAATGATGCCTCCTCTTTGTACACTATTTGCTTTGATTTTATTGAAAGGTTTTATTTTTAGGACAGATTATAAAATAAGTCACAACATTTACACTTTGAAAAAATGTTTTAGTCATGTTCTATTTCTCTCATAGTGCGAGCATTAATAAAAGACTACGAATTTTTTTATTGAAAAAATAACTAATTAAATAAAATTGAAGTGGTGAATCACATCCAGCACAGGAAGGAATATTACTCGACTATTTTATTCTGAGTAACACGAAAACAAGTTTAGCTACCTAATAACAGACTGTGCATATACATAAATGTACATTTATATAGGTACATATGTACCCACACTGTTATTATATATTATTAGGTACTATAAAGTTATAATAGGTGGATTTATTAGGTTACCTAACCTTAGAATATATAATATAAAGAAATAATGAATGATTTATTCAAGAAGTTGAGGCTTGAGTAAAACTTGATTACCCATAATAAGAAATACCTGCGTCAGACCAGATAACATTGACAATGATCTTACTGCAATTACGGTGTGTATCAGATATCCGATTAAGTGGAAAAAAGTCTCATAATATAAAGAGCAATCCATTAATAAAAAGTTGCGCGTCGTGTCAGGACGTCTTTAATTACGAAATTGTTGTTCAAATACTGATTGATAAGAGCCACCTACAGATAACCGAGATAGTGTTGCGTTAATAATATCATTGTAAGTTTGATCACTATTGCGCGATGGACGGGGCTCGTTTGTCGAGCAAACCCGTAGGACAACTTTAAATTGAACTCAGTGTTGTTATGACTCGCGTGTGAATAAGGCGTAAATAACATCTTCGTATCGCACCACAAATATGGGTCTTCTGAACCTGGATGAGGAAAGCGGTGAAGTGTCCACCGAGCTGGTGTTCTATGTGAACGGAAAGAAGGTATTTTTAGAAACGGACTTGGTTTTGAAGACGAATTATATTTATAACAATAAGTTCTTATCAAGCATGTTTATATAACGAGATCTGTGTTAATTTCTTAGTGTAGATGTTTCGATGTATCTATTATTAATGTGTGAAATAAAAACATGATAAGTAGTGACCCTTTTACAACGCGGACGAATACGCACATAGATTATATAGAAGAGGTAAAAATATGAATCGAGATTTGTTATTTTGAATTGTGACTACAGATTGTCTATTTTAGATAAATAGGTGGGTATAATGCGAACCGGTTATAAGACTGCTATTGCAGAATCTGTAAATAAATGAATGGTTCAAGAATGTAGCCATTTTTGTTATAATCTGTCAGATCAGAAAGGACAACAATATAATATTGTATTATATTAAGGAAATAATTAATAACCTCCATTTGTTTTTAGTCCTGTTTACTTCTTTAAATACTATCTATAATATAAGATATAGTTTCGAGTCCAATTTAAAATTATCTCGAACGATTAGACGGTAGACTTACGTGTACAGTTGCGTTGTAAGTAGTTTAAATTAACAATAATTGCAGATGATTGGTTATCGTTTGTAATGTATTTATCTTTTAGTAAAGTATAGGACTATGTGAAAATATAAAACGCTCTTTTCCCATATATAACTGAAGCTAAGTATTTAATGGAAAAATACAAAAGGCAATGTTTTAATCAACAAGGATTCGACTACGGGATACTCACCTACCGATAGTTTTTCATTGCTTGAAGAACATGTTATAAACTATTTAAATAAAACACTTTAACGGTTTAAAACGCGATATATTAGTTAAACTTATTTGAAAATGATTTTTAACTTCGGCCCGACGTTTCGGATGCTTTGCAGCAGCCGTGCTAATATATCGCGTTTTAAACCGTTCAAGTGTTTTATTTAAATGTGTACTACTCGCGTAAACTATAGACAGTATTTAATGTTCTAAACTAATTACTTATTCTTAAAATGCTACAGAAGCAGTTGTAAATGCAAATTATCATTTAATAATGATATCCATATTATTAAGTAATGCAAATGCCGTCTTCGTTTATTTATTTCGTAATTAACCACCTGCAGTCAGTAATAATGTAGGTATAATGAAAAAAATTGGTGTACTGAAATAAAAAGTTTCTCGGGTGTTCTTCTCAGCTATGTTGCTCTTTTGAACACTGTAGAATCACGACGAACAGACAGACAAACATAAAAAAGGGCGAATCTAAATAATTGTTAAAAATTTAAAGAGAATAAAGTATATTTAAATAAAACACTTTAACGGTTTAAAACGCGATATATTAGAATAAAGTATAATTTATTTGAAAAAGTAACAAGAACGGTTTGAGCGAACGATAGTGCCATTGGGTAGTAAATTAGACTAAATATACTTTCTTTAGTTCACGCGAGTATTACACATTTAAATGGAACAATTTTAACGGCTTAAAACACGAAATGTATTATTTAAACTTATTTATCAATTATTTTAAATACGGCCTGACGTTTCGGATACTATTCAGCAGCTGTTATCATGGGGAGACTAAAGGTTTCCTTAATGTCAAAGTGTAAGTAATACATTAAACTAATATATTTCGCCTTTTAAACCGTTAAAAGAGTTTTATTTAAATAGTAAATTAGACTTTATGAAATAAATACATATATAAAACTGCTTTCTGTATACTATATGTATGTCAATAAAATAGTCACTTTTCTTAACGGTATTGGGTGTTTATACCCAGCAGAAAACGTAGGTAACAGTGCGTGAAACGGAACGGTTCGAGATGTTTCATATTGGAGTGATTTTCCATTATATTACATGATATTGATCCAAAAATACGACGAGAAAACAGTAGGAAAAAGTACTAAAAACCAGCCAGTTCTACTGTACCATAACCAAAAAAAATCCTTTTTCGTTTCTTTTATAAGAGCTGAAATCTCAAAATTCGGAGCAGGTCTTATGTATACGTAGTCTAGTATAAGGCAAAAGCATCCGAAACGTCAGTCGTGTAACTTTAAAAAAAAATCTTATACTGTCTGTAATTTACGCGAGTAGTACACTTTTAAATAAAACACTTCTTACCGGTTAAAAACGCGAAATTTATTATGACCTTATTCTCCACTTAGTGCCTAGTCGAGTGGAAGTTAAATTAACTTAAGTAATATATTTCTTGTTTTTAACCATCCAACATATCTCATAACATGTGAACACCGCGCGAAAAGTATTTGTGTCTCCCTATCTTTGGGTACAGAATCCTAAGATTTATTTAATACTAGGTGTGTCAGCGACTTCGTCCGCATAGAATATTTCTTTGGTCTCCTATTAGTCACATCGTTATGTTTTAGCCTATAATAGCCTTCCTCGTTGAAGGCTCAAACAAAAAAATATTTTTTGTAATCGAACCAGTAGTTCGTGAGATTAGCGCGATCAAACAAAGGAGAATGAATATTAGGTAAAACAATTAATTAATTGTTTCTGCTATTGTTGTATTAGTTGAGAGGTACATAATTCCGTAATTATGTTTAATTGTTTTAATAGCATTAGTGCATTAATCTTATAAATTGCAGTTTATATTACACTAAACGCTTGTAAACAAAGTCAATTTATTGAGGTTTTGTTAAGCCCCTTAAGAAATCTCTACTAAGTCTACTAGCTACTAGAAAAGTTTTCATATTACATAACAGTTATTAAATACTGTCTATAGTTTACGCGAGTAGTATACATTTAAATAAAACACTTTAACGGTTTAGAACGCGATATATTAGTTAAACTTATTTGAAAATGATTTTTAACTTCGGCCCGACGTTTCGGATGCTTTGCAGCAGCCGTGGTCACGGGGAGACCCGTGGGGTGGGGGTTTATTTAAATTATACCGTATGGGTTACGAAATACCGTCTACACATGTAAAAACCATTAAGTTTAATCGCGTTTCGGTTTAAGTCTGTGGATTTCCGAACATCCAATAAGTCGACAGCGTTACTGTTTCTTACTTGTTTTTGCCTGGGGTTATTTTGCCTACCTCTTGGACCCCATGCTTGTCTGTTCTTCTCTAATATAAAAAGAAACTAATAAAGATAAAGAGCTAAATAAAGTTAGGCAGGGCAGGTCTTGAACCGGCATCCACAGCGTTCTGTGCTGTTGCTCTAACCAATTGAGTTACACGCAAATCTGGAACAAAGAGAATATTTCTTGAAAAATATTTCGATTTTATTTCAGTTCAAGATAGTTTATGTATGGTAAAAATTATAATAAAGTAGGTATGTAAATTGTTTTTGTTTAATCTCAACGAGGCTTGTGGCGCAGACATATCTGTGTCTATTTTACTTAGCGATATTATAAACAGAGAAAACTATATATTACGTTTTTTAATAACTGTAAATATATTAAATACATTGCGCGCGCAGTGCAATGCGTTTAACCATAGAGTCAAGAAGGCGGCGTGCAATACCGAGATTATAATAATTTGTTTCCAAAAAAAAACTAATAGTTCCATAATGTTATATGTTAATCTATCTCCAATCGTGGTTTATTCAACGTATTGCATATCCCTGAAAAAGGTTTGCTCTTTTTAAAACTACAGAACTATTTTAATAATTCATAAGAATTAGCCCTATTTAAAATTCATGAGACAACAAACAATGTTGTATTCAATAAAAAAAAAATAAGAGAAATATGAATACAATAGAATCCCTCAATCGAGGGTCAAAACTGTAGTAAAAATTAATAAATTGTCTTTAGAGGAAGTAATGATTATCATTTACCTCGTTAATTGTAGCAAAAAAAAGTCTTTTCTTAGAGCCTAAGTGAACTGTAATTATTGTTAATTAGTATCTAATAAAACCTAGGGTTTTATATAAAACATCAAGGCAAGATTTTTCAAGTCTTTAAATGCAAATGTTTGTTAAAGGGTATTTAAGAAGTATTAAATAAAACACTTTAACGGTTTAAAACGCGATCTATTTGACAATTATTTTATTTACTAAGTATTAACATTTATCCGTTATAGGCTTAAACCGTTTTAGGGTTTTATTTAAATTTGTACTACTCGCGTAAACTACAGACAGTATTTACTTTCAAAGGTAACAAACAAATAAAAATAAAAATTTTTTTTTCACCAAAACTGTGTAAATATTATTACAGGGTGTTCCCCCCCCCCCCCCAAGTTTCCCCCCCTCGGGGGGGGGGCTTTCCCCCCCCCTTCCTTCAGACAATGTATTCTACTGTTCAAGCTATTATACACTTTGTTTTTCAATAAAAATATTTATTCAAGTTAGCAATAATGACAGTCGGTGTCTATGTATCCAAGAAAGTTGATATAAAATTGAATAAAAAAAAAACAAGAGCAGGTCTCGAACGCACAAAATTCGTTTACAACCAACAATTTTAAACTCTCACTTGGTTTACTTCGCACTTTGATGTGTGTGTTGTTTCCAACCAATTAATTGCGCATGCGATTTATTTTAATCACCTCGTGACTATAATTCGATGCTATTACTTAAATACAACTGAACTGCTTAAAATTGCCTAATAAAGAACGCGACCTAATGATTCATTTTCCAATACAATACTGGTGTCACTTGTGTTCCTTAACCGACGACGACGAATTGAAAAAGAGGGTAGTGAGTGAGTAATCCTGTATGCATTGTATGTCTCTAGTTCACTCTTTTAGCTCTGTTATTTGAATTGTAACAGAGTTTATTTCGGAGCTGTTGTTGCCAAAGTACTAAATGAAACTAAAGTCTGGCTATCAAATTGATTTTAATGAACGAGATGTTAAATCATTCTTTATTGGTGGTGTTCCACGTCGCCTAGTAGCTGAAGAAGGTTATTGGAGGCATTTTAAGAAGTGTGTAGTACGCCCTAAATAAAAAATGTATGTAAATAAATTAAATACACACTTTTAACGGTTTAAAACACGAAATATATTATTTAAGTAATTTTTGACTACGGCCCGATGGTTCGAATCCTTTGTAGCAGCAATAGTCACCACGTGGGAGCGATGTGACCACTGATATATTTTGTTTAAACCGTTAAAAGTGTTGTATTTAAATGTGCACTAGTCGCGTAAACTTAGGACAATATTAAAAATAATACAAAATTAACATCGGCGACATCTAACGAATATTACTTTTATATTTTTATAGGTTGTGGAAAAGAACCCGGATCCAGAATGGACGTTATTATGGTATTTGAGAAAGAAGCTTCGCCTGACAGGAACAAAGCTTGGCTGCGCAGAAGGTGGTTGTGGTGCCTGCACAGTTATGATTTCCAAATATCAGAGGAAGGAAAAGAAAGTTGTGTATCCTTTAAATTAATAGAGTATTATATAATATAATGGCAATCAGAGATGGCTGAAATTGACGACCATCTTTTTAATAATGTGTATTTCTGGCGGTTAAGTTTCTATTCGACCTAACAGTTGATACTATATATTTTATATGGAGTTGACATCGAAAAACAAATAATATGGATAGGTTTTTACTTTCTAAAACCTAAATCGATGTCCTTATATCTCGGTAAAAATATAAAATCTTAGAAATAATGCTACTAGAAGCAGAGGTAATTTAAGTTGGTGTTAATACCTACATAGTGTAAACTTTTCTTAATATATTATTCAGGCACCTTGCAGTTAACGCCTGTTTAGCTCCAGTATGTGCAATGCACGGTTTAGCAGTTACAACAGTGGAAGGAATTGGATCTACTAAGACAAAACTTCATCCAGTTCAGGAACGAATCGCCAAAGCCCATGGCTCTCAGTGTGGATTTTGCACACCAGGAATTGTGATGTCAATGTATACCTTACTAAGGAGCTGTTCTAAAATTTCATACTCCGATATGGAAGTCGCCTTTCAAGGTAACCTGTGTAGATGCACCGGGTACAGGGCTATAATCGAAGGTTACAAAACATTCTTAGAAGACTGGGAAACAACAAGAATAAGCAGCGAGCCAAATGGAACAAATGGAAAGACTAATGGCGTATGCGGTTTAGGAAAAGACTGCTGTAAAAATAAGACTGACGACAGTGAAACGGAATTTATTTTTGATAGGTCCTCCTTTTTACCATATGATCCAAGCCAAGAACCTATTTTCCCACCAGAACTTAAGTTATATTCGCTTTACGATGAACAATATTTGATATTTAGGGGAGGTAAGACAACGTGGTACAGGCCAACAACAATTGAATCTTTATTGAATTTGAAGAAGAAATATCCTGATGCAAAAATCGTTGTTGGGAATACTGAAGTTGGTGTGGAGGTAAAGTTTAAGCATTGTGTATACCCAGTAATTATAATGCCAACATTGATCCCGGAATTAAATTCTGTTGTTGAAATCGATAATGGTCTAACAGTGGGTGCATCGGTGACTCTTATGGATTTGGAACTCGCCCTTAGAAAATACATCGAGGTTTTACCGACATATAAGACTAGAACATTTGTTACAATTATTGAAATGTTAAACTGGTTTGCTGGTAAGCAAATACGTAATGTTGCAGCCATAGGCGGTAATATAATGACGGGTAGTCCTATTTCTGATCTTAATCCTATTCTAATGGCACTAAAAGTTAAATTGAATCTGTCGAGTGCAAAAGATGGTAATCGTTCAGTTCTAATGGATGAGCATTTTTTCACTAGTTATAGACGAAATATAGTAAAACCTGATGAAGTTTTGATATCAGTTGAAATCCCTTATACAAACCGATTTCAGTATGTCAAAGCTTTTAAACAGGCGAAGCGACGTGAAGACGATATTTCTATAGTAACAGCTGCTATTAACGTAGAATTCGAAGATTATAATAACAAAATAAAGTATATAAACTTAGGATTCGGTGGTATGGCTCCTGTTACTAAACTCGCAACAAAGACTAGTGAAGCATTAAAAGGTTTAAAGTGGAACGAAGAAATGTTAGAAGTAGCATACAAAGAAATGTTAGAGGAATTACCACTAAGCCCATCTGCTCCGGGTGGAAACATTCTTTATCGACGATCTTTAACACTGAGCTTATTCCTTAAAGCTTATTTAAAAATAGCAAAAGAAATGTCGAAAGATTACGTACACGAAGACCTTGTTGTACCATATCACAGTAGTGGCGCAGAGCAATTTCACGGCGCCTTACCTAAAAGTGCTCAATATTTTGAATTAGTGGGAGATAAACAAATAAGAAGCGACGCTGTAGGTAGACCCATTCAGCATGTATCTGCATTTAAGCAGACTACTGGAGAAGCAATTTATTGTGATGACATGCCTATTGCAGAAAACGAATTATATTTGGCTTTTGTTCTCAGTACGAAAGCACATGCTAAAGTTATATCCATTAATGCTGAAGAGGCATTAAAGGAACCTGGAGTAGTCGCATTCTTCTCAGCTAAAGATTTAACGCCCGAACAGAATGCAATTGGGGCCATATTTCACGATGAGGAGTTGTTTATCAGCGAAAAAGTCACCAGTCAAGGACAAACTATCGGTGTAGTAATAGCAGAAGATCAGCAGACAGCACAGGCAGCAGCGCGTAAAGTCAAGGTGGAATACGAAGAGATTCAACCAATAATTATAACTATAGAAGATGCTATAGAACACAAAAGCTTTTACAAGCAGTATCCAAAGGGTATCAAAAATGGAAATGTACAGGCTACATTTGATGACCCAAATAACATTATAATTGAAAGTGAATGTCGTATGGGAGGACAGGAACATTTTTACTTAGAGACACACGCGGCGTTTGCTATTCCGAAAAAGGAAGACGACGAATTGGAAATATATTGTTCTAGCCAACATCCTACAGAAATTGCGGTAGGTATTTAAACTTATTTCATCGTTAAAAGCTATCGTGGCGATTAATAATTCTGTTCTCTTCTTTCAGAAACTTGCAAGTCACGTTCTTCATGTTCCTATGAATAGAATCGTAGCCAGAGTTAAACGAATGGGTGGTGGTTTTGGTGGCAAAGAAGCGAGGGGTATGTTAATTGCGTTACCAGTTGCTTTTGCCGCACACAAATTGCAGAGGCCCGTACGTTGTATGTTAGACCGAGATGAAGATATGTTGATGACTGGAACACGGCATCCTTTCCTTATCAAATATAAAGCTGCTGTTACCAAAGAGGGCATAATAATGGGAGCTAAAGTGGACATTTTTAATAACGGAGGATATTCCCTCGATTTGTCTGGTCCTGTAAGTATAATTGTTGTAATGTACAATTTTAAGTAATAAGCGATGTAAATAATTATTTTTAATAATTTATTCTCATGCGCGTTTCAGGTTTTAGATCGAGCACTGTTTCACTATGAAAATGCATATTACATACCAAATTGTGAAGTAAACGGTTACGTCTGTAAAACGAATCTCCCGTCTAATACAGCCTTTCGTGGATTCGGTGGTCCACAAGGAATGTACGGGGCGGAATGTATGATAACTGACATCGCATACAAACTTGGCAAGAATCCAGATGATATCAGGAAAATCAACCTATATAAAGAAAACCATATAACACATTATCAACAGACTTTAACATATTGTACCTTACAAAGATGTTGGGATGAATGTATAGAAAAGAGTAATATGGCTCAACGGAAGATGGATATTGAAAACTTCAATAAGTATGTCTCATCCTATTTAAGTGACGTTTAAATAAACACTTTGAACGGTTTAGAACGCAAAACATATTAGTTAAACTATTTTTAATTTTACCTACAGCCATTAATGTTTTCTTGATATGTCCTATTCGCGTAAACTACAGACAATACTTTTTGTAATGTCGTTACTTAACTCTAATTTCAAATTATATGTTTTTTTTACAGACAAAATAGGTGGAGAAAGAGAGGAATATCCATTGTACCAACAAAGTTCGGTATTGCATTTACGGAAAAGTTTTTGAATCAAGCCGGTGCTTTGGTAATCATATACCTCGATGGTTCTGTTCTTCTTTCCCACGGAGGAACTGAAATGGGTCAAGGATTGCACACAAAGATGCTGCAAGTGGCATCACGAGCATTAGGTGTCGATATCTCTAAAATATTCATAAGCGACACATCTACCGATAAAGTCCCTAACACATCAGCTACGGCGGCAAGTGCTGGGTCAGATCTGAATGGTATGGCGGTTCTTGAAGCGTGCGAGATTCTGGTCAAACGGCTACAGCCCTACAAAGAAAAGAATCCTAATGGTACATGGGAGAATTGGGTATCTGCTGCCTACATGGACCGTGTTAGTTTGTCAGCTACCGGTTTTCATGCCACACCTGACATCGGCTACAATTTTGCTAAGAACGAGGGAAGAGCTTTCAACTACTTCACATTCGGTGCCGCATGTAGTGAGGTTGAAATTGACTGTCTCAGCGGCGATCACCAAGTAATCCGAACAGATATTGTCATGGATTTAGGCGAAAGCATTAACCCAGCTATTGATATAGGACAAATCGAAGGAGGATTTATGCAAGGCTATGGTCTATTTACAATTGAGGAGCTCATATATTCACCTACCGGAACCCTTTATTCGCGTGGGCCTGGTGCTTACAAAATACCTGGCTTCGGGGATATACCGCAGGAATTTAACGTGTCGTTACTTAAAGGGGCACCAAATCACAGAGCTGTCTACTCATCCAAGGTAAGATTACTTTTCAGAATAAATACGAATGGGCCACCTTCTTTCCACCAAAACTACAATTAATATTAACGATAAAAGTTTAAATTAATGTATTTTTTATTATGATAGAGAAGGACATACTAGCATGTGGGTCACATGATGGAAGATCCCAGCCATATAAGACAATATGCGCTTTAAAGATCTATTTTGACTTTGGATATTCGGAAATCCACAGACTGAAAGTGAAACACGTTTAAACTTCACAGCTTTTTCATCTGCAGACAGTGTTTCGTGACCCGGACGGAATTTCGATATTTTACAAATTATACAAAGATTTAATGTTTCTTATAGGCCGTGGGTGAACCACCTCTATTCTTGGCAAGCTCTATATTCTTTGCGATAAAGGAGGCAATAAAGGCAGCTCGTGCTGACGCTGGAGTGCCATTGGAATTTAGATTGGACTCGCCTGCTACTTCTGCCCGGATTCGGATGGCCTGTGAAGATCATATTACTAAGAAGGTAAATTTTCGTATCGTAAATTTAATTTACAGTTTAACTAATGAACTGGCATTGTCAAGTTATCTGACTGATGTAGTAAACAAAATGAACATTGATTACAAATAATATTTGTCAAAAAACGATTGACAAAACTTAGAAACGCAATGCATAATTTTGTCCTTAAACAAATCAGTTCAACTTATTTGATTAGATAATAGATAAGTGATGACAATAGACAGTTATCAAATCAAATAGTCACAATATGAGGCTGCTAGAGCCAAAGTGGCCTAATAACAAAAACATGATTTTCAATAAGGAAAATAAAAATGCGCAATCAACTTAGGCCGAAATGCATTACTATAATGTGTAAGAATATGTTATAAATTTGCTGTGCTCTTTACACTATGAAAATAAAAATAACGAAAGTCATAAAATTGCATCCCAGTGATGTTATTTTGGAAAATCCGCTATCCATCCCACCTTTACAACTATTTTTTTGTACTAAAAGGTAAATATAATGTTTCAGATACCTGAATCAAAGCCCGGATCCTTCATGCCATGGAACGTGGTTCCCTAAATACGATATTCAAGAAGAAAGATACTCAGAATAATTTAAAGGTTTTATAAGTTATATATTTAAGAGATTATGTTTTCATATATATTATATAACACTACTGCGTGGTAGTGTAAATGTTATAACTTTCGTAATAAAACAAGAATTGATAATAAAATTTTATTTAAATTCTAATATAATGTACATTATCCTCTAATTAAACGATTTAAAAATAAATTAAATAATGTCACTACCTTGACAAAGGAGGGTTTATAAGTACCGACTTATACAAATCACAAATACAACAAACCTAGTTTCATGTCCGTAGGAGAAAATGGAGTTAGTAAGGATGAATCTTGAAGCATTGTAATATAAAACACATCATTGGATAATACTAAAATTATATTGATAGATCAGGTACAGAAATAAGTTTGAATTGAAATAATACATAATTATATACATAAATAATATGTACACACGAAGATATTAGAATTGAATGAATTATCTAGGCTTCAAACAAATTAAAAATTTGCATCGTGATTGTACAATTTGTTGATTCGTATTTTCATAGCTAAATTGAAGTGTATTTATTGCTTGACATATGGCCCCAAAACGTAATTCACTGATAGCGAGTTAAATAAACAAAAACACATTGTTTACCGCTTCTTATCTCGAGTACACTGAAATTATCTGTGCAAAGACGAATTATGATAAAAAGTAATACGTTTTCATTAAAATAAATTGGCATTTATAAACATTATACATATTAGTTTGAAATTCAAAAAGGTTTCATTTATTACATTAAGATTTCATGGGATGACACTGCGAACAAATATACGACGTCTGATTTTAAGTGATTGTCGAAGAGTCATTAAAAAGTGATATTTATTATGATCGAATTTCTCGTTACTTCCAAACAAAGAACCTGCCACTGAAAATCATGTTTAGTAGTAAGTATTCAACGCGATTCAAATTGAAAACTTTAATATTTTTCATGTGGATGGTGGAAGTATATAAATTAAAAATCAATTATAAAATTAAAAAAAAAATGTTGCGCGAGAGGTGCATGTATCAAAAAGTTGAAAAAATTCGACGATGACATATAGAACTCTGTAGCTGTTATTTGGTGGGAGCAACAGCACGGGATGCTGTGGATGCCGGTTCACGTCCTGCCCGAGGCGTAGCTTTTTTTCAAAATATAATCGATTGTTGATTTATATAGCGATTAAAATGATTGAAACCGTCTCAGCTAGTATCGTAAAAATGTCGCTTGATTTTTTACCTATTAAGAAATTACTACTGTAAGTGTTACTATAGACATCAATGTATATTTGATCACAGCTATTGCCTTCACTTAGTATATCAGTAAGAGATAACAAGAGTCAGGCACGTTTGGTTTCGTCTCGAATATTGCATCATTAAACATTAAAATTCTTAAAGCGCGAATTACACTAGTGGAGTTTGAATTATTGCGTCACTTACAAACGTCTTTGTCCTATTCGTCCAAGATTAACGATCCCGTTGTGAAGAAACCCTTACCGTAGAATAAATTTGGCTTCGATTATAATTAAATTCACTTTTCTGACTCCGAGGAACATCCTGAACCGGAACTAGCACCTGCAATATGAGGAGGTCGGGTTTAATATGATAAAAACTCTACATAAGTAAAAGCAGACTACACATCTTCAATAAAGTAATTAGAAAGTATATAGACATCTAAGCCATTGCCGTCCATATTGTATGTTAGGAGAAGACACGTTAATGTAAATCGAAAGCGGTAAACTTTCCGACAAGTGTCGATTATACTAGCAGCCTCAATTAGCAAGAAGTATGACAGCCGCAAACTTATTTGCTCTCTATTTCATTAATATAGACAGACGATTATATTAACCACACAATTACTATTCAAAGATTCAAATGGCATTTCACGTTTTTGTGTGTTAACGTTTAAACGCCACGAAAAACTCGTAGCGGACGTATAATTAGAATAATTACTTGAGCGGGTGTCGATTATTTGGAAATAGTCATTGACAAGCTTTGCAAAATGCTCGGTTTACAATGTACAGGTTGCTTCAAAAAATGATATTTATATAAACTACATTAGTCACAAAATCACAAATCAGAATCAAACCTGCGACTAACATAATGTGGCATGTCTGTAATAATGGATCAAGACAAAAATGTATAAACTACGAATGTGGCGGCGTTATTCTAAAATCACTTGTGACTTTTTCCCTTTATCTTAAACTATGTATTTGTGAGAAACAACTGTTTAGAGGTTTAAGTAAACGCGTCGCTGGAATTGAAATAAAACACGATTAATGTAAACTAGACATCGATTATTTTTTTTGGATATAGGACAAGCACTAGATGGAAGTATAATTCCCAGCCATTTAATACAAGATGCGCTTTTATCGCGTGTATTTTGGCTTTGAATATTCGAAAACCACAGACTGAAATCGATACGCGATTTAAGTTAGGCTACGTCTCTGGGCGGTGACTTGGGCAGAATTTCGATAATCCCACCACACATTTTAAATCCAGATTTAATTTTCAAACGATTTTAAAACTAATTATACCAAAAACCCAGTCAAATGGTTGTCGTATATGTACACACATATACAAAGATATTTATCATGAAATCATTGCAAGAGTGTTGTAACTAATGTTTACAAATTTCAAGTGTCGGTAACACTTATCGTGATTAATAGCCAGTTTTTTAGGGATGCTATTAACCAAATCGGGTAAAACAAGTTACATGCATCGAGTTTTTTTATGGTGAAATATCAAGCTGTTTTAATTTCGTATAGCATTAAATATAATAGCACCAATTTATAATGACGCTAGCTGTGACCGCGACTTCGTCCGCATGGAATTGTTATTTTGCAACTTACATTTATTTTTGCAAAAAAAACCTCCTTTATAGATTATACCTGTTACCGACGACGTCGAACGCGAGTTAATTTGAAAAGATATATTCTCGCGAAAATTTTTTAGATTATTTAAAGAATAACTCTGTTATATATTTAAATAAAACACTTTAACGGTTTAAAACGCGATATATTAGTTAAACTTATTTGAAAATGATTTTTAACTTCGGCCCGACGTTTCGGATGCTTTGCAGCAGCCGTGGTCACGGGGAGACCCGTGACGTTTAACTAATATATCGCGTTTTAAACCGTTAAAGTGTTTTATTTAAATGTATACTACTCGCGTAAACTATAGACAGTATTCTGTCATATATATTGTTTGGGTATCTTTAATCATTTTCGCAGAAACAACTGAAGTCTTCAAATTTGAATCACCATTTTTTCCACATTTCTTATTTCTTTGCTCCTATTAGCCATTGCCTAATGTTTTATAGCCCTTTGGGCTTCCTCGACAATTGTTCTAACTAACACAAATATAATTTTGCAATTCGAACTACTAGTTACTGTAAATAGCGCGTTTAAACTACGAAACAAACTTTTCGGCTTTATAATATTAGTATAGATATAAACGATATACATGAAATAATTTTGATATAAAATTGATATTGACACGTAAGGGTTGCAAAATATTTTTTCCTTTAAAATATTATTTTTCTTTTGTTGTAGTGAATGTAATGTACATTTTATCTTTCTTACACTCAAAATTTCGTATAGAGCTACAATGAAATGCGAGACTAAGCAACAAAAATGTTTAGTACGCTTTTCGGGTTATCTCTTGTAATAGGTACCGTTCTTGTTTGTGGTCGTGAGACCGATTTGGAGGCAAAAGATTTTGCTAAGTTCCATTTTGCCAGAGTCGGGTTGAAGTTACCTGAGCGAGTGGAATACCGCCTGCGGCGTGGTCTGCGCGTCGGACTGTCTGAATTATATTCTGTCTCCGTCTCACCTGGACCATTGCGGCTCCGAGATCCTCTTCCACCTTCGTACCTATTCACAATGAAAAAAGCTTTTTTATTAGCTATCTGATCCAAAAACAAATACTTAAACATACTGGTAACAAACTTATATTTTAAAATTTAATTACAAAATTATTTACAGTAATTCTTTACCTATTGACAACATTAAATGATTAACTATCTATATATGACAAGATTTAAAAGGTATTTTCAAAGTAAAAAAGCGCCTGTAATTTACGCTAGTAGTATACATTTACCGGTTTAAAAAGCGCAATGTATTAGTTATACTTTACAAATTGTTCAACGAACAAAATGTACGGCCCGACGTTTCGGATGATTTGCAGCGGCCGCAGCTTTTTAAACCGTTAAAAGTGTTTTATTTAAATAAAACTCTTTACTTAAATGCTATGTATGATCCAAATTAACTAAAACTGAAAACTTGGAGGTCTAAATGACGCACTGCACAAAATCTAGAGCTATGAGTTAGTCATACTTCATTTGTTTTTTTAAATATGAGAATTGAGTTTATATCAATATTATTTTAAACAAGATCTATTTTTCTATCACATAGAGCTTAATTCTGAGAAGTGTTCCCAATTACCTCTCAATAGACCGTCGCCGCGACCTGGGCGAGTACGGCGAGCGTCTCCTTGGTGAATATCTTCTCGATGGCGAATACCTCACAGTTTCTGGAGAGTATCTGCTTTCGGGCGAGTATCGACTCTCCGGCGAGTACCGACTCCCGGGCGAGTACCGGCTATCGGGTGAATACCGCCTTTCACTATACCTATATTCAAAGATAAATTGTATCTATATAATATTTATGTTCATACTTTTAAAATATTGTTAATGTTTTTTTATTAGCTTTACTCTTCTTTTACAATAGTTTTACATTAGCTATTAATATATAATTAAAATTGTTTAAATTCGTTCCACAGCGTTCTTTAAATTTTTGGTACTACTATCTTTTAAAGGACAGACTGAAAATCAGCGCTAAGCAAGCTTTGCTTAGCGTTGATTTTCAGTGCAAGTTGGTTTTGTATTTTATCATAAACAGATTATTTATTTTCTTCACTTCATATTTCTATTTATGTAGAAACAGTTTTACCTACGACGCGAGCGAAATTTACTTTGAATTGATAAAACCCAAAACATTATTTTATTTTTTATATTATGTAAAATAGGGACAAGTGACTGGGGAAAAAGCAATCGGTCTTTGTCTTGTACAAACTCTTGTCTAATGTGTAGGTCTATCATCGAATATGTTATCCTTTTCTAAATGTGTTATTTTTTAAGAATATATGAAGGAAGAATTTACCTGGGCCCGTGAGGCGATGGTAGTCTGCCCAGAGGTGGAGGTCTTGGCAGCGGCGGGAGAAGGGGTGGCGGCAAGAAGGCTAGGGGCGGAGGCAGAGCTGGTGGTAATCCATCGGGGACTTCGTGTGGAGACACCACAGCTATAGAATAAAAAATCCATGCTAGATTAAGCTGTTATTATATAAGTAATAATTATTAAAAATAATATGCATATATCTGCTATGAATGATATGCGTGTTAAGTGTTCTCGTTTTGTTTTTATATTTTTTACTGATAGACTTTTGACCTATTTTGACTTAGGATATTTGGAATTATAAAGATGTTAGACCCGGTGGGGATCTAACCCACTGTCCGTCGATTATGAGTCATACGAGCTAGTCCAATTTGCAGAAATACATAATGTATTAAAATTTTAACTAATAAATCTTTTACGAATCAGACTGCCACCACAGACTTAGGATCCAGTTACTTTAGATATGGAGAACCCAAAAAAACACGGAACCACGAATTAGTACTAGCAATACTCACGTCTATTGGGTGAGGCAGCACCATCAGCTTGATGCATAGCTGCCAGCTTTCTTCGGAGAGCAGTGGCCTCGTCTCGCGCAGCCTCCGTCTCTCTCTTCGCCTGTCTTGCTTCAAGCCACGCAGTGTGCGCACGAGTTTCCATTTCGCTGATAGCCGTGCGGCGAGCTGACTCTTGCTCCGCTAACTCTCGAGTTAGTGTGTCACACTTCTCTCTGAAAAGAATTTTATTATAAATTACAATGTAGTAATGCCAAAAGCACAGAAATTATACATAATTCTTGAATTATTGAAAAATATGAATGGCATTATATAACGCGGGACTCTGTGGACGCCGGTTCAAGTCTTGACGGTGAAGTATTTTTTTTTTAATTTAAAATCGATCTTGAATTATTGTAATACTGGGATTGAAACAAAATAGTTACAATAATAAAATGACACAGATACGCATATATTATAATTTTCTTTTCGATAATGTTTGCAATACAGACATACTCTTGTGTCAATTTTATCAATCAACTTTTATTTAAAAGCGGCTTTAGTTCAGTTTTTGGGCCTTAGCCAAGCCTAATAATGTTTAATATTATAGAATTGAGCTACAATGTAAAGTAAATGAATATAAATAAGTCTTACTTATATCTCTGCACTTCTTGTTGCAATAGTTCTATCTTCTCGACTGTACTCGCTGACTCTCCTTGTTTGCTAAGCCACAGGGATTCTTTTGTGCTTAGCTCCCTTAAATTAAAATTGGAATATCAATAGAAGAAGAACGGTCTATTTTGATATTTAATATTCCTATTCTATTCAGAAATTAACAAGCAATGTATAATTAAATAGATAAATAATTACATTTATATTACATAACAATTACAATATTTTACTTAAAACTAAATATTATTTAATTGCAAGATAGTATATGTAAATACAAAACTCACTTAAGTAATTCACTCTCTCGTTCTTGGAAGTATTTTCCTAGAACGTCCAGTCTGGTTAGAGCTTCAGTGGCCTGCTGACTCGCTGTCTTCAAAGATTCTTGAGTGCTTTGCAGTTCTTCTGCTAGTCTGGATCTCTCCTTTTGTTCTACCTAATGTATATAGAACACATACAAAAGGAAAGCAAGTTAACAACAAAATATTTCTTATAAAGTAGCTGTTGTAAACATTTGTTTTGGACAAAGAAATTAAATTAAGTCGTTTAGGTTTTTTAAAAGTATGCTGTGTTAGTAACTTAAATCACAATAATAAAGGGTTTGAAAGATCATCAATATGATAATACACAGAATTGGTGGATTTTCATTTAGGTAGGGTTTTATTGACTAAGGAACAAAAGGACATTAATTGTGTATAAATATATTAACAGTAAATTATCAAAGTTAAAAGTATCGGCCAGAAATATAATATGGTTAATTCCATAACCGTTACATTTTAATCAAACACTCAAGATAAATTGTATTAGAAGATGAAAAATAGAGCAAACACGCGTGAGTTGTTCGATAAGAATTATTCATGCGTATTATCTTCGTTCAACATAGCTGAATCGGCATGCTGAGCGGCCTGTCCCATTTTGCAATTCTTGTACAATTAAATATTGTAAAATAAAATTGTGTATTGAAAAACAAAGTAGTTATAGCGTCTACGTATTACTAACAAAAATACAAATCTGCTAGTTTATAATATAAGAACAGATAGTAATCTTACCTCAAATTGATGTTTAAATGTCTCTCTTTCTTCAACAGCTTTAGTAAGCTTCGCCTTGATTTCTGTATGATCAATCAATGAAGCCACGTCTATATTCGAAGTATTACCACCTTTCAATTCCTTCATAGCATCCTGGAAAGAGAAAAATATGGTAAGAAAGCAGTAGAAGAAAAGAGAGAGAAAGAGATTTAAAAAAAACTATTTTAAAAGTAAAAAAATGAAGGTAACAATAATATGCCAATGTAGCTTGATTGTGTTATAATTATTTGTCTATATTTGTTATTTTTATTTGTTGTACCTAATTTCCCTTTAAATTAATACATTTGAAAATTTAAAATATTAAAGCGGAGGTATGAAAAAATTAGGACAATAGTTCAGCAACGACAAAATGTTGTAATATAATGTATGTAAACATTTAACAAGCACACTGTGAAGCTATTTATAGTTAGAAAGTTGAATTACCTTCAGCGCAACAATTTCATGCTTCTGTAATTCGATTGTATTGTTAGCTGCTGATAACTGCTGGTTAACATCTTCAAACTGTTTCTTCTGCTTCATAAATTCTTCCAAAGCACTCTCGGCTGAAGCATATTTCAATTGATAGTTGTCTCTATCCCGAGTGACTGATATTAATTCTTCTTCAAATGCTTGGATCTTTCCTGCCTAATAATAAAACATACAAATAAGCATTATCAGTTGTTTATGCAAGTAGTACACATTTAAATAAAACACTTTTAAATATTAAATTGCTGTGGTTTTATGCTGCAAAGCATCCGAGGTCATCTAAGACATCAGGCCAAAGTAAAAAAAAATGGTAGTTAGTTAACTGCGATTTGAACCGTTAAGTGTTTTATTTGGATATTTAAGAATAAGTTTGTTTAATTTTAATAGCTAATAAAAATTATACCATTATAAACACAAAGATAGATGTCATGATAAATGGATGCATACTTGCTAAACTATTGTATTACATTACTATAATGTTTCTTTTTTATTGACATTTTCCTATCCTAAACATCACCTTCTATCAGTGGGAAGCAATTTATTTTTAATGTGACTATTTAGATACTAATCGCCAGCTTGATTATATTTTAAAATACAATAAATAGTATAAAAAACTTTGTAGGTTTCTTGGGAAAGCTTATTACCATTCATTTCTGCAACTTGTTCCTCCGCATGTGCTCTCTCAGCTAACAGTTCACTGAGTGTGTTTTCTACCTCACTCAACGTGTTCTGAAGTTCACCAGCAGTGTTCTCGGATACCCTGAGCAACTTCTCATTATCATCCAAAGAGTGTCGTAGTCTATCGTTTTGTGCTTTCATTTCTATTATCTCTTCTTTTAAAGACTGCACCATGTCATCTTTACCAAATGAGCTATCTTCTATCGAGTTCAGTTTGTTCTTTGTAGTGCCAAGCTCCTCCTTAAGGATCTCACACTCCTAGATTTTAAAGCCATATTTATTTTCGATTCCTAAACTAGAAAGGTTTTTAAAGAATCAAACAGTAAATTAAAATTCACATATAGCTATTTGCTACATGCAAACAATTTACTTATATATAATAAGGTTAAGTTGAATTAGAAAGGTTTTAAATATGCAAGATAATATAAAATGTGTATTAAGTAATTCAAATGGTCAAAATATTGCATGATAAAAGGAGTAAGGGAAATTACTTTTTGTCTAGTTGACATTAATTCACCTACTTTTCAAGCCAGTAGTAATGCAAAATGTATGCGTTAACACTTGTTTACCTTGGTAGCAAAAAGCAATTCCCTCTGTAGTTTATTTATGGTGCCAATGAACTTGCTATCTTGCCGTTTATTATCAATGTAGTAATAACCAAGAGTAAACAGGAGTACTGATGTGGCAGTTGTTAAGATGAATGTCAAGAACCTGTTGCGCTGACCATAATCTTCACCATCGCAGTATTCCTCAGAAAAGCATGTATCACCTGACAAATTTATTAAGGTGTTAATATCATAAATTACCTTATTGTAAGAATTCAAGCACGCTTATTGTTTATTTTAATTATTTATTTATAAAGAAGTAAGAAGTCGCATGAAGTTTGAATGTAGTGTCTACATATTTATATATCTTAATTTTTAAGGTTTTTTACTTGTATAAAGCCATTTATATCATGTCTATATATTAAAGCTTAGTTTTGTAGACCTTTTAATAAAAAAATAAAAAAAAAGTCATAAAAATAAAACTGACCTGAAGAGGGATACAGTGCTCTGCTTTGTTTGGTAGATCCCATTATAGAGGTTATGTAAGATGATAAATACGATGTGATAGACATGCTCTCAGACTCTTGAGGTACAGGTGGTTGTACATTTTCTGGGTTAAATATTGGCTCTGAAGGAGGGTCAGCAGATGGTGGCACCATATCAGCTATAATGGAGTAGATATTGGAGAAAAATCCCCCTGTTTCTTCTTCAACACTTGGTGTTTCTGTGGTAGGGGTATTTAATACTTCTTCAATTAAATTCTCTGTAGATGTATGAATATATGTGTCTGTTATCATAGGCTCTGTTGTGGACTCAGTAATTTCCTCCGAAGAAGTTGTCCGAGAGCTTTCTGTATTGAATTGTTCTGGTTCTGTGTTGTATACTACATCTGGATTTGATTGAATAGTTTCTCTCATAGAATCCTCAGAATTTGCATTGACATCATTATTATCAGAAATAATGTTCTCTGATATTTTGTTGTTCTCTATTGGAGTATACTCTGTTGTGAGTGTAGTGTCTGTTGTTACTTGCATATGTGGCACTTTAAGGGTTGTAGTGTCTGCATTCTGTAATTCCTGAAGAAGTAAGTTAATGTCTGCAGCAGGTATTGTTTGTGGGTTGGTTTCAGGCATAGTTTTGATATTATCAGAAGACGTTTGAGCTTGTGAAGTGGCTTTTTCAGTTTCTGTTGTGTCTGTACTTGGTGTAGTCAGGTCTTGGGTGTCTATAGGTAGGGTTGTCAACTCAGGAATATAATCTGTAGGAGTTTCATTAAGTTCTTCTTCCGAATTTACTTCATCAGTAGCATCTTCATTTATGTTTTCCAGACCTTCAATATTAGATTCGGAGTTTGGCAATGCTTTATCTACAAGAGCCTGTTCACTAACTTGATCTTGTTCACTTTGAGTTTTTTCAGTAGAATTCTGGTCAGATACTTTTAATTCACTATTGCTCACTAAATCCTCATTATTAGTTTCGCCTTTACTTTCAGGTATTATGTTTGAATTTTCAATTGAATTAGTTGCAGTGTTCAGTAATACATTATCAACAAGTGCATGTTCTCTGACTTCGTCTTGTTCACTTTGAGTTTTTTCAGAAGAATGCTCTCCAGATTCATTTAATTCACTGTTATCTTTTTCTTTGTTGGTAATAGTAGATAATAGCATCTCAGATAAGTCTACTTTCTGGTCCTCAATAGATTCTATACTAACATTAGGATCTTCTAACGCTGAATCCTCGATTGTAATCGAAGCATCCTCAGTTTTCACTATAGTTTCAATAACTTCTTTGTTATCTTTAGGGTTTTCTACATTGTTTTGTTTATCTCCTGCAAGAGGTGCAAAAGCCGTATCACTTTTGGAATCTGAAGATGGAGGAATATCTTGTGGATTTATTTCTACATTGTATTGATTATCTTGTTTAGAGGTTAAGTTATCTAAAGGATTATCTTGAGGAGGTATTTCTGGCACTATCGTTGGGTCAACCTGGGATTGATCTGGTTCAGGTGAATAAATAGTAGTACCCTCAATTACTTCATGAGGTTGTTGTACTTTATTAGGTTGCACATCTGGTGTATTTGATTTTATTTCTAAAGGGCGTTCTATTAAGTTTTTAGTGTATACTTTCATTTCCCTCAAGAATTTTGTGCTCACAAAACCAGATTTTCCATTAATGTTTGCATACCACAAATCTGAGTTTGCCCCTTCAGATTTCATAATGATAGTTGCTTCAGAATTACCCTTGAATGACATGAGATCAGAGTCTGCACTGTTATAGCTTAGAAGAGTTCTAGCTTTAGATATAGGTTCTGAAAAGATTAAGAGAATAAAACATTGATTTTCATGTAAGACTGGTAACTTTAATAATGAAGAAAATTAAGCCACATTTTACACAGAACTGAATGCCATACAGTTATTTCGGCATAACATTTAAAATACAATAGTAACAGATGTGTTTTATGTAAAATAACTTACCGCTACATTCTTGATTAGCACAGTATACTTTTTCGGGCAATCTACTGTAGCAAATTGTGATTAACACAAAAAATAAAACAGTCTTTATTATAATCATCTTCGCATTGTATTGTAATATAATTTATTTTAGAAACATTTAATTCCAAAATTAAGAGATCGAATCGTTAGGCCACATCATCTGTCAAATGCTGTCAAAGATGTTTAAAGTTGTCAATTCACTTTCACGGAGTGGTTTGTTACTGTCAATACAGTAAACGTCATGAAGAATTTTGTTTTTTTTTTAAATAATATTTTATGGCCTGGTCCTTTAAGCCAAGTTTTATTTTTTCACTTATTAAAAGTAGGTATTTTCATTTATAACACTTCACACCTCTCTACTATTCTCTACTTATGTCATATTTGTATTTTTATCACTGTAACACTTTTTGTTTTTCAATAAATAACATTACTGGCAGCGGGAAGTTCCACTATATACTTTTATAAAACTTGCCGATACAAGTCTATGAAAAATAAAAAACATAGTTGTTTTGGATCTTAAATGCCGAGAGTATAATATCGAGAATAAAAAACTTTGGATGTTTCTTTTTCGACATTTAATTTAGCTCTGAATGATCAGAAGTGATGAATATACGATTATAAAAAAATACGCCCGTTAGAGGCGTACAAGCAATACTGCTTCAACAAAATTTGCCTGCTCCTTCATTTCTTTTATTGCGCCACAACAATAGTGTTTTGAGACGTAAAAAATGTGTTTCATGTCTCCAACATTTTCGTTACAGTAGTTGCAAATATTGCTATTTATTCTAGCTTGCTATAGACCCTACAATATCTGTGGTTAAAGGATTTTGTTGCGTTTCGCCGTAGATAAACTTTGGTTGTTTATAATTATAAATAAACATAAATAAAATATAATGTATAAGAAAGCTATTAAAAATCATTAAATAAACGCCTTTCATAAAACCTTCGTTGTTTGTACATTTTATAAATGTTGTCAAACAATTAAATAAAAATAACACATAATAAAATAAAAAAGGATATGTATTTAATTGGCAAAAGTTACTGTAAACAACTTTAAAATAACTACTAAAATGACTAGCTCTCATATCTCTTTATTAGATTTGTCGAAGCAGCTGTTTTTTCAAATTGGTAACTGAGAATTATGTTTTTACCCTAATTAGTATTTATACATATATTGTATTATATTAGTAGATAGGTAGATTGATATGAATATTAAAAAGAAAAAATATCGCGTGTTAATGTAAATTTTAGATGATGAGACCAAAAAGCAGCTGTGTTTTGCTGAAACGTTAATCATTAGTTGCGGTCATCGTGATGGAGAAGTTGAAGATGAAGCTTCTGATTCTGAGTGGACTTGCGAAGAATCTTCTGACAGCGAAGATTTAGCGGAGGTCAAGCCAACAGTCCTTAATAAGGATCAAACTGTAGACGTTGAAGAGGCAATAGAACAAAAAGAACCTGACGGGATGGAAAATAACTTTCATTTCTTTTTCTTTCCTGATTGCTCAAAACCGCTTCCTCCAAAGGATAGCATAACAAGTATAGTTATTGAAGATGGTATGCCGACGGTAAACCTTGCTGCGCTCAACAAAGAAAAATGTTTGTGTGCATTAGATAAAGAAGGGAAATGTCCATGTCACACTAAAGTACCCTGTAGATGTGGGCCTAAGACAAGAGCGGAGTGTAAATGCTTAGAAGTAGAAAATCTTTGCTTATGTGATGATGGAAAACCGCAATTAGTATGTACTTGTAAACCAAGTAATGTTTGCATGTGTCATCCTGATTGTAAACCACGGCCTTTGTGCAAGTGCTCGCAAGTTAATAAACCATGTATTTGCAAAAGGGGCAAGTATCCATGTCCTATATGCATTTGCGAATGCAAGCCTGTTTGTTCTGATCATGCTGAGATACAAAAAACAAAATATGGAGAAGAAACCACATTACAAGAAGAAGAAGAAGAAGAAGAAGTAGAAAAAATAGTTACTGAAGAACCTAAACATGAATCTGAAAAAGTACCGTGTACGTGCCAAAATGAAGATAAAAAACCTATATGCTTTTGTAAAAAGGGCAAAGAGTGTATTTGTGAAGAAGGTGTTTGCATATGCGGTGTACAAAGATCATGCATTTGTGAGAAAATTGAGGAAGAGGAACCGCCCTGTAAAGATGATGAATCTAAGTCCATTTGCAGCTGTCCTGTTACTCCACTATGCACTTGCTTTGCTGACTCCCCCGATAAGTGCAAATGTTTTCCAAAGCCTGGTCTTTGCACTTGCGGAGATCCTGAAGACTGTAAATGTTTTAAAACATGTGACTGCAAGGAACCTTGCATCTGTGATGTAATTCCACTTCAAGGCGAAGGTATTTGCACATGTCCTGATAATCACACAAAAATAGCAGGGGGTACGGTTTGTACTTGTCCGCGCAAAAAGAGTATCCAAAGAAAACTGAAAAGGACGAGAGCTGGCAAGCACGGCTACCGCTGGTGCCACGATGTCGACCCGAGACATACATATTTTGATTACGGTTATGGAAGACATGACAAAATATCTTACGAGGAACCGAAGAAAGAAAAGATAAAAAGTTTTAGGACTCCACGAGGAAAAAGAAACAGAGGCAGCTGCGTGCCCTGTTCATGAAGTTAAAGCGCCCGAATTCGTAAAGAAGATTCGTAAGCCATCTTTAGATTGTTGCAGCGCTGTGGGTGGTAAGTTGTTTATGTTTTTGTTCGAATACGAGCTCTTTATAAACTCATAACGATAATTTTACATTTATTACATACAGGAATGAGTATTAGTGTAGAAACTTTGGGTGAAGATGAGGATAAATTTTTGGTTCAAGTTGTTTCTCATTCATCGAAAGACGGAGCCAAAACTGGGTCAAAGCTTGTCAGTATTTTGGATTGCAATTTGCATACAATGGAGGAGAGCAGAAGCGAGTAAGATGTTACAAAAATAATATCGTGTAGAGATTTATAAGCAGGAACTTAACGAGACTTATGTAGTATAGCAACATACATTTTACTTATTTGTTATTATATACGCAATAAGTGGGTAGGTTGATGACCAACGATAGTGATACTAATATAATGAGACTGGCTGCGCCTGCAAACGTTGTTTTATCACATAAATTATTCTAGGAAATTTCTAGTGTGTAAAGATCTGTACCAAACTCCGTAGTACAGGCATCGGTCTCATCCTTACTTGGTGCTGTTTACCGGGTGAGAAGTGACACCGGTAGACGCCTGGGGGGATAACTTACTAAGCGATAATTGATCGTTTATCGAGCGGGATGATAAATTATTACAAACTAGTACAAATCTTAGACGATAGAAAAAAAATGTCCAAAAATATAAAAAAATGATTAGGGGTGGAGAATCCTTATCACTTAGGGGTATAATCAATATATAGTAACGGAGTCTTAGAACTACTGAATTTGTATATAAAATTTCATTAAAATCGGTCGAGCTGTTTTATACGAGTAAAGTAAGTAACAGTATGGTAAGATATTTTTTTTTTTTAATTAGATAAGCTACCTATTTCAGGCAAATAACAAAGAAGGACACTACAAAAGAGCGTAGGAGTTATATGACAATTTGCGAAAGCGGCTATTATAACAAAGTGACCCGTATCTGTGGGGAGCGCCATTTTGTAAAACGCATTTACCATTCGTTTGAAGATGCTCGCAACTTTTTATTAGAAGGTGCGAACGTTGTGTTGCTGCGGTATTTGGGCATTAGCCGGCACAAAGGTCTTATTAAAACTGACACCGTTCTCATAGACGGTATAATATGTGAAAGTCTTTTCGTAAGTATTGGTTTTCTCTTTTATCGTAAAGATGGACATTTAAATAAAACACTTTAACGGTTTAAAGCGCGATATATTAGTTAAACTTATTTGGAAATGATTTTTAACTTCGGCCCGATCGGATGCTTTGCAGCAGCCATGGCCACGGGGAGAACAGACTTAATTGTTATTATATATAAATACAATAATATTTTACCAAAACACCGTAATAATACCTGTTGTAAGTTAATGTTGGTCAAAGGTATATTTTTCGATAAATTTGTATGCGTTAGACTTAAGTGTAAAAATAATTTGGTTGAAGTTGTATAACATTTTGGTACTGTATGCTTATAAATAGGTATGCCCCGGCACAAGTCAAGCAATCGTGAACGGAAAGCCCCTTTTTGTGGTAAAAGTTGAACGCCATATTATAGAGCCATCTGGTTTTATTCATCAAACCTTGATCGTTCTAACACTTCGAGGTGATTATTATCTTTTTCTCTTTTATAACCAAGAAACACAAAATGTAGGTATACTTTTGAAATAAAACACTTTAAAGGTTTAAAACCTGAAATATTCGTTTATTATTTTACCATGGCCCGACATTTTTGATGCTATACAGCAGCCCTGTATTTTAAATAAGTTTAGCTAATATATTTCGCGTTTTAAACCGTTAAAGTGTTTTATATAAATGTGTACTATTCGCATCACTACCGACAAACAGACTACATTATTAATAAAATAATTATTAGAGTAGTTGTGTTAACACGGAAAGAATGACAGAATAAAAAAAAAGTACTCCTGTGTTTTATAATTCATACCAAATGGTAGTGGTTGCCCTAAATTGGGTATACTTGAGGTGTACCTATATTTATACAAATATACATATGTTTGTACATGTAAAGAGATATTTCTGGTATAAGGTTACCTTGTAAGCCACGAGTGGGCGGACAATAGCTACATAATTCACTTGAACCCTTTGCTGCGCGTCATTCCCGAGAAGGATGAGATAGAACCCCACGAGCCCAGGCGTGAGAAATGGCGGAACGACCTTCAACTGTTCTCGGATTATTTGGACTTCAAGGTTTATTCTAACGCTTACTTGCCAGTCTTTAAATAGCCTTTGATAACTATTGCTTCATTAATTTAATACAGACTTTGATGACATGATGGTACTATATAAAAAAAAGCGTGTAGGGCTCGGTAGCACAATTGGTTAGAGCAACACCACATAGCAATGTGGATGCCGGTTCAAGTCCTGCCCGAGTCAATTTTTTTTTCAATTTATAATCGATTTTTAATTTAATCTAATGCATCTAACACAAACTGGTGTTAAGGACATGACTTATATAATTATTATCAAGCGTGTAAAATTAGACCTCCTTGGAAAGCAAATATCCAACACGGTTTTTAACACAACTACAAGAATAGTGTATGGTACTGTTTTAATATCAATCCTCGACATTATTATAAAAATATCTATAAACTTCACTCTTCTACCTTTTGCTTTTTCTTTTTAAATGATATAATTTCTTATATCATTTAAAAAGGAATGACTCGTATTTGTATATATTTTTGGCAATCTTTAACAGTTTTGCGTTGCGCACGCAATGGAAACCGTCAAAGATGAATGATTTTACCCGCTTTTTCCACATTGTCCACTATTTCTTCGCTCGTATTGGTCACAGCGTGTTGTTAAGTCCAAAGCCTTCCTTGATAAAGTGCTCTAATCAAAACAAAATAATTTTTCAATTTCAACCAGTAGTTCTTGAGCTCGTTCAACAAAACAAACAAACTCTTTAGCACTATATATTAGTATATAGATTCATATATTTAAGTTCTTATAAAAGTAACCGTAAGTTAGAAGTGCGATATTTTACAAAGTTTGAAAACGTTTCGGAAACATTAGGTATTGACTTGAAAGTTGAAACGGGTCTTGAGAGTTGAAGTTTTACGATCGTCTAATAAGTGCATTGTACTCCAGAGTACCAGATCGTCGGAGGGAGCACGCTACGTCACCGAGAATGGTGAACTGGCTGGAACCATACGCGACTATCTCCAAACCCTTCTGCTACTCCGACCTCATGATGCTTTACACTTCACTAAGCACTATTTTGGAGCAGCACTTTCGGCTCTTGATCTACCACATAACGAATATTTCGACCCTTGTACCAAGCATGTTAGATATTTCTTCTTTGAAGAGTAGATACACTGAATTTTCTGAATGATGATCATATTTTGAATAGCTTTTTATATTTTGGAAACTTGTATTAAAATTTCACTTGATTAAATTTATATTGACGAGAATTTTCTTATTTCTAAATGGACAAAGTAAATGGAATTTTATTCAGTCAATTTGTGTATACCATAAATGCGTCATGTAGGCGTGATCGCGTTTGGGATTCTGTCATTAAAGAATCCTTTGTACAACAGGTAATGTCTGAAAATTGAAAGGGGTCAATCTTTTTTTTTTATAATAGAGTGGCCGCGTGGGATTTACTTGATGGTAAGTAAAATATCTCCCTATAGCATCTGAACAAAATGCACTATCGATCGATTTTGGCTTTATATATTCGGAAATCCACAGAATTAAACCGTACCGCAATTATACTTCACGGCTTTTTCATCTGTGGACTGTGGACTCGGACGAAATTTCGATATTCCTACCTGTCAGAAAAATTACAAACATGTAGGACACGGTGGGGATCGAACCACGACCCGTTGATTTTGACCAACGAGTCCGTAATCTAATTTAATCGTTAATGCGATTTATTTTATATAATCAAAGAAATATCACATTTATAACTAAAAATAAAAATTTAAAATATAAAAATCGTCACATTATAGAAACATATCGTTTATTATCACACGATTTAATATTTAATACAGACTAAAAACTAAAAATTTCAATCGTTTTATCAATTGCCATCTTAAAGAAAAAACAACAATGCAAATAATAATTAATAGAAAAGAAATAAGGGCCAACTTTTAAAGACGTTTAGAATTTATCAAAGCTTCGAATAAATGTAATTATTAAATTGTATTACCTGGCAAGACAATTGGGTCTCGTCGCTAATTTTATTAGGGTGTTAAAAAACACTTACAAGTAAATAAATATATTTCAGGTTTGAAACTGTTAAAGTATTTGCAATTTATTTTAATTACGGTCTAATATTTCTTTGCTTTGAAACAGCCGTAGTCACAGGGTAACTGGACTTTATTTAAATGTGTTAGTTGTGTGTAAGTTTAACGGCTTTAAACGCGATATATATTAGTAAAACTTATTTGATTCCGTCTAAGTTGGTATTGTCGACGGAACATATGGCATTAGCGTAGCAGTTTTTTACTTTGTAAACTTTAATATTTTTTACATGTTATTAGCACATGAAGGCACTATATACTTTTAAAATTCAAATGAAAAAAATGACTAGGGCAGGACTTGAACCGGCATCGTCAGCGTTCCGTGCTGTTGCTCTTTTTACTTGCGTTGTAGTTTTTTACTTTGCCGCCAGAGACACCCTCCATTTTTAGTCTCCCCGCGACCACGGCTGTGGCAAAGCATCCGAAACGTCGGGCCGTTGTTGAAATAATTTTCAGATAACTAATATATCGCGTTTTAAACCTTTAGTGTTCTAATTAAATGTGTACTATTCGCGTGAAGTACAGCGAATACTTAAGCGTTTTTAATGACCATCATCAGATCTTATAGGTTATAATTTTACCCGAAGATACTGTCAGTAGTAGAATAAAACGATTGTTACTATGTAAAGTAGCAAGGCATTGTCTATATTATATCTAGTAACAAACCGATGTTTCACGGGTTTAATAATTTTAAGCAGCGAGCACCGGCAATAACTTGGCATCCCTCAATTTGTATGCAATGTTAGCAAACGTAGGTACGTCTGCTTGTTTGTAAACTGTATTGCTATGGAATGCCCGAAGCTCATCCTAACAAGTTAATTTAAACTTCTAACGCTTATCCGGTTTAGGTTTACGAGACTATTAAGACTGTGTAAGTGAAATTTTAATTAATTCACGGACACAAGGCTATGTTACATGCCTTTAATACTTAGAGTATTTGAAACCTTTTCCACATGTGCACATGATACTATATGATGTGTGAGATGTGCAAATATCAACAGGTTAAAAAAATATCGACGATCACTTGTAGGACTCGGTCGTTCAATTGGTTGGAGTAACAGCACGAGCGAGGTTGGGTTCAAGTCCTGCCCGAGTCGTGAATTTTTTATCGATTTTTAATTCATACATATTTGAAATTATTAAAGATATTTTGTTAGTGCGAAAGCTCTGTCTTTAGAATTCCGGGTAGATTTGTCAAATGTATGTCAACCCATATTCTATAGGAGAAACAACTAACACGATTTAAATAAAACACTTTAACGGTTTAAAACGCGATTTATATTAGTTAAACTTATTTGAAAATTATTTTACTACGGCCCGACGTTTCGGACGCTTTGAGTCTCCCCGTGATCACGGCTGCTGCAAAGTATCCGTAACGTCGGGCACTAGTTAAAACAATTCCAATAAGTTTAACTAATATATATCGCGTTTTAAACCGTTAAAGTGTTTTATTTAAATGTGTACCACTCGCGTAAACTACAGACAGTATTTTATTAACGTGTAACTATTTAAAAACAATTGATAAGCTGTAAAAGTCCTTCGTGTTACCAACAGCAAACCATACTGTACTAATGAAGAGCACGGCTGTTGGCTGTGGGTTTGAGTCCTGAGTTAAAACTATTTATATAAGATTGCACGTATAAATGTTTCAACAGGCCTTTGGGTGTCAAAATTGTAGCCCCATCCGATGTTCGCGTTCCAAGCCTAATAATAAATTCCTTTGTGCAAAAGGAACCGAAAAATTAACATTCCTTACATGTCCCAGGGTTTCCTTGAGCGCTGGTTTGTCATTTTGTTCCCGTTGTAACATACGCAAATCTCCCGGCCGCGAATACTACTCTTCATCTTTATACACGACGCGTTTGTTAATAAAATTCTTTGAACTTGTACATTTGCATTCGTTTCTAACTTCCACGAAGTTATAATTAAGTAATTTTGTCTGAAGATCAGAGGTGAATTTGGATTTTTGTTTTTCTTCACGTAGATATTCATAATATGAACTAGCTGTGTCCGCGACTTTGTCCACGTCGAATAGTTATTTTGGGCATCAAAACTGGTTTTTGTAAAGTACATCTTCAGCTTTAAAAATTATAGCTGTGTTACCCACGACGTCGTCGGCGTCCTGACGTTCTTGCGAGTTCATCTTAAAAGGTAGACAAATATTGTCGCGGACATTTTTTTTATCATTACAAAAATATTGTGTCATACATATTTTCTTAAACCGTTTTCGTAGCGCACGCAAGGAAAGCACTCGAATAAATAAATATTCCTTTTATTTTTTCACATTTACCTCTGTTTTTTCGCCTCTATTATACGTTTTATTATAGCGTATATATATCATTCTTACCTGTAGTTCTTAAAATAAGCACGTTTTAACAAATAAACGAACTTCAGCTTTAACATTAGCGCGAGACAGCCTAAATTTATAACCTGCTAATATTATACCGCAATTTCTTACGAAGGTATACGTCAGAGGTTTTTTTTTGTCACAATTGATCAGAATTGTGTATCCTGTTCGAGCAAATTATTTATGTTTTCACCAGAATTTAAACCCTTCATCAAGCTATGTATAATCTAAGCTTTACAGTCAAAAGCCTACATAAAATTATTAATTCTCTTAGATCTTTATAAAAGCCTCCTAGAAATGGTCTCTTGAATCATCTTTTCAGTGTTCAGTGAAATAGCTAGTAAGGCTTATTTCTTAGAAGTCTGAAGCGTCGAGGATGTTATATAATATAGTAATATGACTTGACATAGAGAAATCTGTTCAAAAATGGAAATGCAGGTGCTTTACAAGAAAATGTCAGAAGGCTTTTCACAAGATATGAGGCCGCTAAATACAGAGTAGCCTAACTGCAATTATATAACTTGAGTTATTTATATTTTTATAATTTAAATACGTTAATCTACAAGAGCACAGTGCCCTAAAATTGTTAATATAATTCTTACACAAATTATAGTACAAATTAATTTTAAGTTAATTGCGCGTTTTTATTTTCCAGCTTATTGAAAATCATGTTTTTGTTTTTAGGCCACACTGCCTCTAGCAGCCTCATATATAAATACTATATTACTAGTATTTTGCGAAACAAATGTTAATTTTAACAATAGTAAATCGTATTATTATATTCGTATAAGACTAAAAGCAATTGTCGATACAATAATCTTGATTATTAACTGAAACTATAAACCTACTGTCTGCAGTTTATGTGAGTAGTAAAAATTTAAATAAAAAACTTTTAACGACTTTAAACATTAAAATAATTTGTAAATAAGTCTAACTAAAACATTTCGCGTTCTAAACCGTTAACAGTGTTTAAAACTATGTATTTTTATACACATGCTTTAAGTAATAAGACGTCCCTACCTATATTCACTACCTAATTTGTTGTGTTTAGTATATTTTCCATTAAATAATATTGAACAATCCCATTGTAAAAGTTCTTTGTGTTACGTAAATAGAATATTGGCCCGTAGGAATTACGAGCAGTGTCCATCAGTTGGACAATAAATTAAGTTAATTGTCAACGTTTTATTGGACAGGTGACGCCTGCAGGGAATCGGGGACAAACGAGAGTAAGTGTATAAATATATTGCGAAGGTCTTATTAAATATTAATGATTTTGTTGCTACTTTTATTGTTGAATAAAATCGTTATCCCTATTTATATTAGTTTACTTAAAATGTATTTATTAAGTAATCAGTCTTCCTTATACCTTACACGACTGCAAGAATTTTCCCAGTACTCAAACTCAGGACGTATTGAATTTAATGCTATTTGAAAGGACAATGTAATTTGGAAAGTATTTTTTTTAATTAATTCTACCGACACTATTGGTAAGAACTATATGAGTTTATTTTTTATCTAAACTTTGTTTAAATTACAATTAAAAAGCTGGGTGATATGAAATTTCATGCCGTTTATGTGGGGCATGGGACAGACATTTCTGTGTCTGTTTCACCAATCGACTTTGTTAACAAAATAGCTTACAAAGTAATTGTATTAATAGAATTAAAGATTTAAATAAAACACTTTAACGGTTCAAAACGCGATATATTAGTTAA